TGCTGTTGGTCCCGAAGTCCTTGGGTCTTCTTTAAGTATTAATTAAAGGATAAAAACATTTGCTTAGCATAATATTGTTTGGAGTGTTTAATATTAAATCGGTTGCATAATTTTGGCACACAAACTCGTGGGGAAACCCCGTAGCCGGTTATTATGAATGTAAAATGTTATATCTGTGATTATTTGGTAATTTGTATAATGATTATAGAAAAACAAGCCACATCTTGGGTATACAAGACCAGTTTAATAGGACTGAAGACAATTTCCTTACTTTGTTTTTAATATTTCCCGCAAATAATGGCTAAAAAGGCTTTGCTAAGAGTAAATAATAAATTATTTATCTTTGTGATATTGGAAATTGGCGATTTATTATAGTAAAAATACAGGTTAAAAAGGAAAGAGTTATTGATAAAAAAACAAAAAAGAATATTATTTATCGAAACTCAAGGGTTTGTGTTGCGATGGCCCAGATTCTGTTTTGTTTCTTCAAATTATTTCGTAGTCCGTTCGAACCTCGGTTCGCAAGAATACAAATCTGAGACAGGGATTTATTTTATTATAAATTCTCGACAATCCGCCATTGCATCATGCAAACATGTCGCCGAAAAGGACAGGTCATGCTCGTAAAACATCAGACAAAGGGAAAATGTGCATCGTGTGTTGCAAGCGCTCGTAAAAGCATTGTTGTGCCTAATTCTCTCACTCGCCAGTCACGTAGGACCCACCTTTGGCATGTATCATCAAAGCAGGGATCAACTTAGTTGAACAATTTTGATAGTATTGGCTCTATCTGACTCCATGTTTTATTTGTAGCTGACCTCAACCTGGCCCAGATTTAAATTTCAATCAGCACTTGTCAAATGGTTTAAATGAGGCAGTTAAATCTCGATCACTCAAGATTCGTAAATGGATTTGATATGATTTAGATGGCCTACGTTGAAATGGTGTAGTTTTGATATGTTCTATGTACGAACCATTAAATAAATAATCATAAAGCACTCGCTAGACCCCAGGATTGCGAGTCGCAAGGTCGCCCACGTGAGTTCGAGGGCACTCGCCATGATAAACTCATTTGGTTCTGTGAACGTGATTACCATGAATGTAATATGTTGCCATGGAACGTAAACAAACCCGCATGTTCGTCTTATGACGCAATTGCAACAGCATACCTACTTAAATTGCAACTCGATGAACTTGCGTTTGCGAAAATTACGAGGGCTGCACTAAAAGTATCGGGAATGGAATATTTCCACTGTTCCAGTCATATTAAAATCTATTTAATTGCAAACTCCAGGGTTTTAAAAATCGTATACCATTTATTTATTTAAAAAAAGATTCTCGGTCGTATCACAAGGTCTTGTCAAACTTGTTTAGTCGTTGAGAAAATGGAATTGACTCGAGAAAATTCAAGAGCGATGATTTATTATGACTTTTGAAGTGGTTTAACACAAAAACAGTGTGTTGACCGGATGATTTCTGCATTTGGTAATGAAGCCCCATCCAAAACCACAATTTATCGCTGGTTTCCTGAATTTCAACGTGGACGTGTCAAGCTCAGTGATGATCCCCGTCAAGGTCGTCCAAAAACTGCAGTCACCTAAGAAAACGTTGATGCTGTGCGTAAGCTGATTGAAGAAGATCGACATGTGATATACCGCGAAATTCAGGCAACTTTAGACATTGGCATGAGTCAAATACAAATAATCTTGCATGAACAATTAGGTGTAAAAAAGTTGTTTTCCCGATGGATACCGCATTCGCTCTGTGAAGAGCAAAAAGCAGCTCGCGTTACTTGGTGCGTCAGAACTCTCGGGAGATTACATGCAGGATCCTCAAATGCTGTATACAACATCGTATCAGGTGACGAATCATGGATATACGCGTACGAACCCGAAACAAAAAACCAGTCACGAGTTTGGGTGTTCGAAAATGAATTAAAGCCAACAAAAATTGTTCGTTCACGGAGTGTTGCAAAAAAAATGGTGGCCACGTTTGTCTCCAAAACCGGCCATGTTGCGACTATTCCTCTTGGGGGACAAAGAACGGTTAATGCAGATTAGTATGCTAGCATTTGTTTGCCACAGGTCGTTTCTGAACTCCGTAAAGAGAACTGCAACCGCCGCATCATCCTCCATCACGACAATGCGAGTTCTCACACCGCGCACTGAACAAAAGAGTTTTTAGAGCAAGAAAACATAGAATTATTAGTCCATCCGCCGTACAGCCCCGACCTAAGCCCTAATGATTTCTATACTTTCCCTAAAATAAAGAATAAATTGCGTGGTCAGAGATTTTCATCACCTGAAGAAGCTGTGGAAGCCTACAAAACGGCCATTTTGGAGACCCAAACTTCCGAATGCAATGGTTGCTTCAATGATTGGTTTCGTGTATGGAAAAATGTGTCAAATTTCGCGGAGAATACTTTAAAAAGCAATAAATACATTTTTAAATAGTAATGTTGTTTCACTTCCTTGATTCCCGAAATTTTCAGTGCCGCCCTCGTATGACGCTGTATGCATGCATATTTGTGATCATCATAACATGTTTGTTAGTATGTATTGTACTTTTTCACCTTTACATTCAACTTTTTCAACAGCTGTCAAAACAATGTCAGACAGTCGACCGATCATCTCATTAATTTGTTTTCTGGGTCCAATATTGATGAGATTATAAATGACTGATTAACCAACTGTCACAAGGCTAATTAATATCTCTCTAACTTAAACACAACTCAATTTCTGACGTTACTTTAAAGGCTACTAAACCTCATCATTAGACTCTCTTATCATTAAAACCCCATTAAAAGTATCACAATTAATTACATATGCACAGTGTGCTCGACATAAAGTATGCGTGATCTCAGCGTTGATTTATTCTGACCGTGTCGTAGATATTGTGTTTTAAAACGTCACTCCTCTACCGGTAGAGACGACAGCCAAATATTGTGGGATCATGTGTAGTTGCAATAGATGTGATATTAGCCAAATCATCATTATCATCATTTCAGCCGCAGGACGTCTGTTCAACATAGGCCTCCCCCAATGACTTCCACATCGCACGGTTGGTGGCGGCCTGCATCCAGCGCCTTCCTGCTACCTTTATCCGATAGTCGGTCCACCTTGTTACCCAAATAGGCTGCTACCTTTAATCTTATGTGCTGGTGGATGACTGTAGCTACTGACATAAAATCTTAGTGAACACGGCAATGACCAGAAAAGGGCGTTGAAGTCATTCATTATTTAAAGGTCAGTTAGGGTAATCACGTAGCCTTTTAAAAATATCTAAATTGTTGTTATTTCATAATCGTAGCTAACGTTGTTTACTTGTTGTATTAAAAAAACTGACGTTTGGTGTAAAATTTAAATTAGGTTTTCTGGAACACATCCTATATTTATTGCGTGCATGTCCCAAAACTAATTAATGGAGAGCTAGCGTGTTTTCGCTGATTGAATCAGTAATTTGAATTTCGTAAAATTAACTCAACTCATAATCACTATTATTCAGAGATAACAATTCTGGATTGAGTTACGATAACAGCTTTGTTTTCGAACTTGAGAATGCATAAATCGTTTAAATTATAATGAACCTACAAAAGGTGGGGTCATCGGAATAGCTCGGACATTACATCAATGCGGGGTCGGCGAACCTTTGACATTGGTGTCATAACACGTGACGTCACCACGATCTCGGACTGCGATGAGATTGCTATCGTTAACACGCTGTTTTCGCGTGTGGGAAAACTTAGGTCAAAAATCTCAGGGCTAAAGTATTATTTTGGGCATTTGAAATACTATAAACATTTTCTTGTTGATAAAATTAACGTAGTGTTAGACTTTTTAAAGTGTTAATAGTACGTCAAATATAGACGAGTCGACATCCGAACAAAAAAAATGCAACTTTTTTTACTCGTGTATAAAATCTGCCAACACGTGTTAATGAATGGAATCTCATTTAAGTCATCAGCTGTTGTGTTTATTTATACACCAGTCCATTCCCTACGTGCACTGCACCCACCTACATTCGTATTACGTGTAAATCTTGCTGATTACGTGTTTGTAAATATTAATAGATATTTAAACAAAGTTGTTTTCTCTTATTGTTATCTTGATGTAGTTTGCCCGCGTGCAGCGGGGCATTTTATAAGCATGCACGTTGCAGTTCTTATTGTAGATTTGTATCATCGATATTTATTTTGTAGCAGTTTTAACAACGTTCTGCTGACCTATGGAAATGATGGACGACTATAATATGTTTTTGTCGTTTATGTAATGATGATGATACTTGCCCTTTTGAAATGTTTATATGATTGGTCAATTTGACGCTCTTTTCCTGAGAAAACTATTCGCACGCTCAATTCACGCTCTGTCTTTCAGCATTTTTGCTCGAATCGCATTACTCTAAAAGTATAATTATTGTGAAAACAAATAAACAAGCGAACCCTATAATCTCACTCTAGATAATGTTTTTTGTCTTTGATACGTCCAAACAAAGATAAGTATACAAACCGAATAAGTATCATGCGATTTGAAGTATTCTGCGAATATCGTGATGTAATTACGCCTACTGCGTCAGATATTACTTTCGTATCAAACGTATACAATATGTCCGTGAGTAGCGTCTGTAAACAATAGACGCTATATCCCAAGTTATTCCGAAGATAACTTATCTAACACATCTTAGCAGTAGCAGCCTCTTAAGCTGGGTTTTGTTGGTCTGTATAGATACAGGGTGTACATTACAACTGAACAATAGTCCTTGAGAATGCGAAATCTGAGAATCTACAACGACAACACAAGTGATTGTGATTATTGACATTGCACTTGTACGGAAAACACGTCAAGGCTAATCCACTGGTAACTGTGTAGTTGTATTCTGACGATGTTACACATTTACAATCGAGAATATGACATGTAGTAGTAACTGTTCCCATCAAAATCATAAATTAAAAAGATAGTGTATGAGCCCTTGACTGGTCCATACATTAAATTGATGTATCTTGGGTGATCTTGATAATAACAACACTCGAAGACTTGAAATACTTGATTTACTGTTTCGACTTGATACAATGATGTAATGTGTGTGCACACTAATAAAGGCAGCAGTGAACTAATCGTAGATTTAACAAAATAAATAATGTCAACTAGCAAAGCGTAAATAACATTTGGTTTTATGCTTGCTTGCAATAAACTGTACTTTGTACATATTCCCGGGCGGGAGATGCTGGGGAATTTTATTGATAAAAAATAGAAAAATTAAAGAAGATAAAATTAAAACTTAAATATTTTACATGTCATGCTTAAGTCTAATCTTATAAATTGATAAATTTCATTTAACACTTCACGACACTGTATTATGTAGCCGCTGGGTGTAAGCCCTTCTTGGTGGGGGAGACGTGTTCTTGTCGACGTGCAGAGGTTCTTCTACGTTCGGAGTGCTTCGGTAGGCGGGAGCAGGCCGGGGACGTGACTCGCTGACGGGAGACAGCTCTATGGCTGCGGTCGTGGCGGCTGGCTCTGGGCTTGTTACATTCACTCTTCGTCTGCATGGCGAGCGACGTACGATCCATACGACTCCTACTATCGCTACGCCAGCTATTACGATGTATATCATGACGTAGTGGTGGATGTCATGGAACGAGACTGCTTCTGAAGAAATTGTTAGTTCATCCTCTTTTGTTTTGATTGCTTTGATCTTGTCATCGATTTTAATTGCTTCTTGTTGGATGGATGAACGAGCACTTGGTTCAATTTCTTTCATGTCGTGAGGTATTGATAAGTTGATGATGTTGTTGATAGGCGCCAATGTCGGAGAGTATACGTCTGGTGATAATCTTATCTCGCTTGTATGAGATCTATGTGGATAAATGGTGAACTTTTCCGTCTTGATAATGCAGCCATGACCTATGGTGATAAGGCCACTGCCGCTCAGCTGATGTGTTGCAATTTGATCGTCGCACATGATTCGTACTTGACATTGTAAACAACAAAAATAAACGTAAGTGTTTATAGAATATGACTCTTTCCAGACGTCTTGGCATGACCTTGTTTCTATCATGCATTCTGAGTTCTCTTGTTGACATAGATTTTTGTCGGCTTTCATCAGATATTCTGGGCCTTGGTTACGACAAAAATATGCATCATCTTGATGAAAACATTTTGATAAGTCGCTGTCAGATATAGTTATGAATAAATCTTTCTTGATGTTGACTGCTACATAATCTGCTACTGGAACTAGGCTGATCATCTTCTCATCTTGATATTTAGGCAATGGAATGATGCGTAGGATCTCGAAGGTGTCTCTGCTTATGAGTGGTATCCTTATTTCGAAGATAAAGTATTCATCGAGGACTCTTGTTCGTACACTCATGAATTCATACATCTTGGCGAGGTCTGACTGAAGATTGTTCACAGGTAGCGACACGTCTTGTGGTGCTTGGCTTGATACAGTGCTTAGTTCTTTTCTAAGTTGATCAGGTGTAAGTATGTGAATGTTGAAGTATCCTTGATGAATTTCAGTGACAGTTTGCAAGAGCGTGTCTTGTAGGACTCTCAAGTTGCTTAGCATGTTACTCGCTATTATGGACTCTAATGCAAAGTCGTTAAGGTTCAGATTTACTTCCGCGGCATTTTTCAGATCATCCATGGCTTTTTCTAATGTTATAATATGTTGATTTGCAGTCTTGTGTTGCTGATTCATCAAATCTTCAGTCCTCTTTAAAAGATTGTTTTCTGCTTCTACTATGGAAGTCTGATTTTTCCATAAATTCAATAAATGTTTCTGGTTCTCACGCAGTAACTTGATATCTTGTTCATATTGTTTTGCGAAGCGGTCATCTAATACGCCAAACAGGTCGCCGGCTAGGTTTCCAATTGCATTGATAAAGCCGCGTCGCGTGCGCCTCGCGTGCTTAGCACGAGCTCGAATTTGCTGATTTACTAACAGGTGATTATAGTACTCGAGTTCCGTAAACTGATGACGCAGTTGTAGGGTTATTGCACTACATTGAACTTGTTCCCTTGTTATCACTCCGCATGATTTTTCTAATGTTTGTAAGTACTTTTCTAAGGCTTGTGTTCCTTGCCAATATGGTTCCATATCAAAGTATGTCACGAGTTTCCATTCGTCTTTAATCAACTGCATGTTGGATAACTTGTCGAAGTATAGTCCTTGAGTATCCTTGAACTTGGTTATGTTCACCAAGCCATGTGAACTTGATATGAAGGTCATGAACATCAAAAATGTGGTAAGTAGGGTGGTAAACGAGAATTTCTTGCTTCTCTGTCGTCTTGTACTTGCGTTGTTGATGTCAGTATTGTTTGATTGACTTGTAGCTTGATTAATTACGTCACTCTTGTTGATTTCTTGATGTTCAGTTAATATTGATAATTTAGTGATAGGGCGTTTGATGTAGCCGCTTTTTGTTTTCAATGTTACAACTCTCACGTGGCCGTCTTGACCAGGGTGGGTATCTACCACTCTTCCCATTATCCACTTGCCTGGGGGAAGATTTTCGTCGTTGACTATTACAACGTCGTTGATGCTGATATTCTGTTGAAGTTTCCTCCATTTGGTTCTTGTTGTTAATTGTGTCAGATACTCTGCCTTCCAGCGGGACCATACATCTTGAAGAATCTTTTGGGTCATTTGCCAACGTGTTCTTGTGTCTCTTTCAGTCTCCACTATGGTCAGTAATGGACCACCAGTGAGAAAATGAGACGGAGTTAGAAAATCTAGGTCCTCAGGATCTTCTGATAGGGCGCACAGAGGCCTTGAGTTAAGACACCCCTCTATTTGTGCTAATAGAGTTGAGAATTCTTCAAATGTAAGCGCTTGTTGTCCAATCACTCTTTTAAGGTGAAACTTGAAACTCTTAACTGCAGCTTCAAAAATCCCACCAGCTGATGGCCACGCTGGAGCGTTGAAGTGCCACGTGATCTCTAGGTCTGTTATTTCTTTCATAAACTCGTCTGTGAAAACTTGCTGTATATCTTGATATTCTTGTTGTAATACTTTGCTCGCACCCACGAAGTTCCGGCCATTGTCACTGTACATGTGACTCAGATCATCCATGGCTTTTTCTAATGTTATAATATGTTGATTTGCAGTCTTGTGTTGCTGATTCATCAAATCTTCAGTCCTCTTTAAAAGATTGTTTTCTGCTTCTACTATGGAAGTCTGATTTTTCCATAAATTCAATAAATGTTTCTGGTTCTCACGCAGTAACTTGATATCTTGTTCATATTGTTTTGCGAAGCGGTCATCTAATACGCCAAACAGGTCGCCGGCTAGGTTTCCAATTGCATTGATAAAGCCGCGTCGCGTGCGCCTCGCGTGCTTAGCACGAGCTCGAATTTGCTGATTTACTAACAGGTGATTATAGTACTCGAGTTCCGTAAACTGATGACGCAGTTGTAGGGTTATTGCACTACATTGAACTTGTTCCCTTGTTATCACTCCGCATGATTTTTCTAATGTTTGTAAGTACTTTTCTAAGGCTTGTGTTCCTTGCCAATATGGTTCCATATCAAAGTATGTCACGAGTTTCCATTCGTCTTTAATCAACTGCATGTTGGATAACTTGTCGAAGTATAGTCCTTGAGTATCCTTGAACTTGGTTATGTTCACCAAGCCATGTGAACTTGATATGAAGGTCATGAACATCAAAAATGTGGTAAGTAGGGTGGTAAACGAGAATTTCTTGCTTCTCTGTCGTCTTGTACTTGCGTTGTTGATGTCAGTATTGTTTGATTGACTTGTAGCTTGATTAATTACGTCACTCTTGTTGATTTCTTGATGTTCAGTTAATATTGATAATTTAGTGATAGGGCGTTTGATGTAGCCGCTTTTTGTTTTCAATGTTACAACTCTCACGTGGCCGTCTTGACCAGGGTGGGTATCTACCACTCTTCCCATTATCCACTTGCCTGGGGGAAGATTTTCGTCGTTGACTATTACAACGTCGTTGATGCTGATATTCTGTTGAAGTTTCCTCCATTTGGTTCTTGTTGTTAATTGTGTCAGATACTCTGCCTTCCAGCGGGACCATACATCTTGAAGAATCTTTTGGGTCATTTGCCAACGTGTTCTTGTGTCTCTTTCAGTCTCCACTATGGTCAGTAATGGACCACCAGTGAGAAAATGAGACGGAGTTAGAAAATCTAGGTCCTCAGGATCTTCTGATAGGGCGCACAGAGGCCTTGAGTTAAGACACCCCTCTATTTGTGCTAATAGAGTTGAGAATTCTTCAAATGTAAGCGCTTGTTGTCCAATCACTCTTTTAAGGTGAAACTTGAAACTCTTAACTGCAGCTTCAAAAATCCCACCAGCTGATGGCCACGCTGGAGCGTTGAAGTGCCACGTGATCTCTAGGTCTGTTATTTCTTTCATAAACTCGTCTGTGAAAACTTGCTGTATATCTTGATATTCTTGTTGTAATACTTTGCTCGCACCCACGAAGTTCCGGCCATTGTCACTGTACATGTGACGAGGTTTTCCCCTTCGTGCTGCCATTCTTCGCAGCGCAGCTATGAAAGATGATGTTGTCAGGTCAGACACTAATTCGAGATGCACAGCCTTGGTTACCATGCACACGAATACTGCGATGTAGGCTTTAAGTGTCTTTATTCCGCGACCCTTGTTGGCTTTCACAAACACGTGCCCCGTGAAATCAACTCCAGTATGAAGGAACGGACGGGATTGATTGACTCTAGCACCTGGTAGCTGTCCCATCAGTTGTTCTTGTTTTATAGGTTTTTGCTTCTTGCAGGTCACACACTTTCTTATGTGCTTTTTTGTTGCTCTATTTCCGCATATCAACCAATATTTTTGTCTAATAAAAGCCAAAGTAACACGAGCTCCGCCGTGGTAGGTTGCCTTGTGTGCGTCATCGATAACAAGGTCAGTCAGTCGACTGTTGTAGGGCAAGATTATTGGATGCATCATTTCTTGACTTATGTGAGCATTTTGCAATCTTCCTCCAACTCTCAACAATCCATCTTGATCCAAATAGGGATTCAGAGGAAGAATCTTGCTCTTAGGTGAAATCTGTTTGTTGTTTTGTAAGTCAGAGATTTCATCTTGATATGTCTCAGCTTGTGTTTGCTTGATGATGGCAATTTTTGCATTTTTTAATTCTTCCAACGTCAGGTACGACTCTCTCTTCCTTTTTCCTCCTGATATAAAACGACGTACCCAGCCCAAAATTCGTATCACTCTTGATAGTGAGCTGTACTTTTGTAATAAGTCTTTTATAATGCTTTCTTGTTCTGTGCTCTGAGTAGTTAAGTTGACTTGTGTGTTGTTTCTTGATTCTTCGTTTGTAAAATAGGTTTCTTGTTCAGTCTTTTCGTCCTTGAATGACGATAGCCAAGCCGGTCCTTGCCACCATAGGCTATGTTGTAGTAGTTGCGATGGTGTTATGCCTCGGCTGGCGCAGTCAGCGGGGTTGTCGGCTGACTTTACATACCGCCAATGCTCGGCTGGTAAGACCGTTGTGATTTTCCTTACTCTGTTGGAAACGAACGTTTTCCAGCGGTCTGGATTTCCTTGTATCCATCCGAGCACTGCTGTAGAGTCAGTCCATGCGTATAGACTGACTTTATAGTTGGTTAAGCATTGTTCAACTTTCTGCATTAATTGGGATAGCAGATGTGCCCCAATTAGTTCTTTCCTGGGCAGTGAGATGTCTTTGTTTCGTGGTACTATTTTTGATTTCGCGACAACTAGAATGATTTTTGTTTCTGTGTCACTTGATAACTTGCAATAAATGACGCAAGCGTAGGCATTTTGCGATGCGTCGCAAAATCCGTGCAATTCAATATCTGTGTCAGGCTTTGTACCTAACCATCTTGGTATTTGTATTTTATTGATGTTTATTAGGTCTTGTTTCAATTTTATCCATTCTATATTAATGTTGTCTGGTATCTTGGCGTCCCAGGGGATATCTTGTTCCCATACTTGTTGAAATAGCAGTTTCAATTTTGTAGAGATGGGTGTAAGCCATCCGAGAGGGTCGAAAAGTTTAGATAAATCAGATAACAGTTTTCTCTTGGTATTGTTGATGTTATCTGTAGGGTTGTCTATCATTGATTGAAATATAAACATGTCTTGTTCTGGATCCCAACGGAGTCCGAGTGTTTTCGTTGAAGTCAAATGCTTGAAATCGTATTCATCTTGTTTGGTATCATTTTGCTTGTCTTGCAGTAAATCTTGATGGTTTGAGGTCCATTTTCGCAGATTGAAGCCTCCTTTTTTCAATAATTCGATCAATTCTTGTTTTATTTTTATGGCGTTTTCCAGTGAATGAGATCCTTGAAGTAAATCATCCATATAAAAACTTGTTTTTACAATTTCTGCCGCTTCAGGATAATTTTGTCTTTCGTCTTCTGCTAATTGTCTCAGGGTCATCATGGCGAGGAATGGAGCGGCCTTGGTTCCATATGTGACTGACGTCAACTCGTATTCCTCTATGGCTTGATTAGGGAAGTCACGCCATATTATTTTCTGGAATTTTAGATCGTCGGGGTGTATCCAGATTTGGCGAAACATTTTTTCTATGTCTGCCGTGAAAGCGATGTAATATTGGCGCCATTTCAAAATCAATGCAAAAAGGTCCTGTTGTAGGTTTGGTCCTTTATGCATGTAGTCGTTAAGGCTCTTCCCATTACTGGTATTTTGGGAGGCGTTGAATACCACACGTAGTGACGTCGTGGTCGATTCTCGAAGCACACAATGATGTGGTAAAAAATATTCAGGTGTCGTCTTACAGTTGGCCTTTTGCATGTGACCTAAATCTTGGTATTCATGCATAAACATCTTGTACTCGGTTTCTACTTTTGGATTCGCCTTGAATTTCCTTTCTAATTGGAGGAACTGTGCGATTGCTTTGTTTCTTGATTGACCTAATTCATGGATGTCCTTCTTGAGCGGGAGTCGCACTTGATACTTTCCATCATTCCTTCTTGTTGTGGTTGTTTTATAAAAATCTATACATTCTTGATCATCATTTGATTGAGAGGGTTCACTTGATATTTCTTCAATCTCCCAAAATCGTTGAATGTCCTCTATATTGTTAAGGACAACGTTGCACTGCAGTGTTGTCGTTGTTTTTCCGTATAAAATCCAACCAAGTTGGGTTCTTTGTGCTACGGGTTGTGTGTTATTAGGTTTTCTTATCTCTTCCATCAGGATGCTTGCGTAAATATCAGCGCCTAGTAGTATGTCAATAGGACGACTGATGAAAAACTCGGGATCGGCGAGTGATAACTTGTTTAGGTATTTCCAGTCTGGTTTCTTGAATGTGTAGTTTGGCAAATTATTAGTTAACTTGTTCATGATGAGTGCTTCCGTGGTGAATGCGAAGTTTTCAATCAAGGACGAGCAATGGATCGTGATTTTCCCTTTGCAGTTTGTGTCCTTGGTACCAACTCCAGTTATTACTCCTGAACATTTTTGTCGCGGCAATCTTAGTTGTTGTGCAGCGTTCTCTGTGATGATGGATATCTGTGATCCTGGATCGATGAGGGCTCTCATTTTCCGGGATACACCATCTACTCCTGCTACTTGTATTATGGCGGTTGCTAATAGTACTTCAGATGATTCTCCTTGTTGAGCGGTGTAAGTGTTTGTCGGTTGTGAGCTTGATCCTTGAATCCCGGTCCTGGTTATCGGGTTATTGAACTTGCGAAATGCTTCGTGTAAAAGTGTGTTGTGATTTCCGTCACATTCACGACAACGTGAGCTTGAAGTGCAGTTTTTTCCATAGTGACTGCATAGGCAATTTGCGCAGTAATTCAGTTTCGTAATCGCTTGTCGTTTTTGCATTGGGGTCATCTCTAAAAATTGTTTGCAGAAATAAATTCCATGTTCATTGCTGTTGCAAATTGCGCAACATAGTTTGTAGCGATTTGATTGTACTTGATGAAATGTAGCTTTGTTGCTTGTATTTTGAAGATATTTTCTTGTTTGATGATTGTATTCTTGCTTTTTTGAAGGTGTTGCTTGGAAGTTGGGTCTTAGATTCGCTTCTTGCTTGCGACGTGATGACTCCATAGTTGTAAATTTGTTCTCCAAAAATGCCATAAAATCGATCATCTTAGGTAACTCTCTTGGGTCTTTAAGAGAGTTCATGTATTCACTATGCGTTTCTGCATCTAATTTTTGGGATATGATGTGTATGAGGATCGGGTCCCAGCTGTCGATGTCAACACCTAAGTTCTTGATGGCGTTTATACATTCTGTTGTGACGTCATGGATACGTTTTACTTGATTTGAGGTCACTTGCTGTATCGCTGGTATACTCATCAAAATATTCATATGGGAAGTGAATATTAGTTTTTTGTTGTTGTAGCGATGATTCAGGATGTCCCAACTTGCGAGGTAGTTTTCTGACCCAATTGGTAGGTGTTGGATCAAACGTTCAGCTTCACCTCTTAACTTGCTTTTGAGATGTTGCATCTTTTGAGCGTTTGATAGGGCAGGATTATTATGTATTGTTTCGCAAAACAGATCCTTGAACGACGCCCATTGTTGGTAGTTCCCGGTGAAGACTGGAATGTCCAGCTGGGGGGTCGACTTCTCTCGGTGTGAAACTGACCACAACTTGTTATTAATCGCTCGCTTGATATTGTTGTATTTCTGCTCATGTTGGGTAAATTCCATCTCGTATCCCATGTCTGACCCATTTAAGATACTGTCAATTTCCCAGTGGAGGGTGTCTATCGCTTGCCATCGGGAGTGTAGAGATCGCAACGTATCTTCAAATTCCCACTTATCTTGGATTGTCTCAATGTTAATTTGAGATATCGTTCTTGAAAATGCCTTGAAGTTGGTAGTTTGTTTTTTCATTAAGTCGTCTAATTGGCTATAATTTCCTCTCGAAGTAGATTTTGCTTGTTCTTCGTTTACTTCCGAGGCCCACGAGAAAGTAGGTTTTCCAGCTTCCATCGTGTCTTCCTTGTCTTTATCTTGCGGTTCTGGCAGTGATGATGATGATTTTATTGTAGTAATTAAATAGTGTCTTGTATCTTGATAACATTTTTGTATGATACTGTAGTCGTCTTCAGTGAAATATTCGTGATCGTCTTGTAGCACTTGACATAGTTTTCTATGATTTTCCTGATACTCGTTCCAGTTGTAATCTAATTTTTCGATCCGTCTCTTGATATTTTCCGACGTCTTGCGTTCTGCACTTTCTTTCTTGAAGTTACGTAAACAATTCTTGATTACTTCAGAAAGTTTTTCTTGACTTGCGAGTACTTCCATGATGAAAAAGGAAGTTGATGACTTGAAATATCTTGCTGATGTTGAGTGTTGATCTTGAAATTGAGTTCTGCTTTTTTGCCTTTAAATTCTTGATAGGTACGTACCGGCTTGATAACTTGATAATTCTTGTTTCTTGTGATTGTAGACTTGTTTCTTCACTTGTCGCTTGGTCTTGTTTAGTATTTCCGCAGACTCTGTATGGTCTTATGCGCCTTCTCAACTCTACCGGTGAGACCCGCTTCTGGGAGGCCGGCGAGCCGATTCGCAACCACACAAAATCACACGAAAATTACTAAAAATAGCTCGAAGGACCATTATTGTATGAGCCCTTGACTGGTCCATACATTAAATTGATGTATCTTGGGTGATCTTGATAATAACAACACTCGAAGACTTGAAATACTTGATTTACTGTTTCGACTTGATACAATGATGTAATGTGTGTGCACACTAATAAAGGCAGCAGTGAACTAATCGTAGATTTAACAAAATAAATAATGTCAACTAGCAAAGCGTAAATAACATTTGGTTTTATGCTTGCTTGCAATAAACTGTACTTTGTACAGATAGTGTTTACATTTTTTAATTCTAATTAGAACTCCCATGTAAAATTTCCCAATTTAACATCATCCCATTACATTTTCATGTACTGCCCTTCCTTGTACACCCTGTATGTTCACAAAGATACAGATAATCTGTTTGCAGTGAATGTAAATTTCCATTCGAAGCGGAGGGATACGCATGCACTCGGATCGTATTGCGTAAGCTTGGTTACATGATGAGGCTAGATTTGGCCTTAGTCACCGCACCGACACTATCCACGAGTATTGGCAGAATGGTTTCTAAAGCATAGGCAATATACTGTAACCGCTGATGTAACTTCCCTATTGTATCTTCGTTCGTTCACAAAATAGTGCGTGTTTAGTTTTGGCTTGATCACTTTCTATTCTAACAAAATGTTGACTTTTCGGTGTGATAAAAAATTACAAGTGTTATTTTTTATATTTTATATTTGCTAGTCTGACTAAAATATATTAATAACAGGTAGACTGCCGAGAACACAATTATTAATTTGCACCAGTATTTTTTCCTTAAACCGTAGCGCTGATTTATTATTTATATCACTGTAAACGGCAGAACTAATTATATCAATTAAAGGGAAAAATATTTTTTTCAGTGTTTTGATGAGGATACAATAGCAATTAACAGCTCTACATTTTTTCCATTTATCCATGACGGTTAACATTAATTTCACAATACATATAATTCAAGCCATTGCTGTACGTAATTAACTAATTAATCTTTAGGTGAAGAACTCCGCAATCGTCAAGTAGGTACATATTACACAAGTATTTATTTTATTTTACTTAAATTTGTTTACGTCGGGGGCATACGTTTTGCAAATGGCAGCGAATAGAAATAATGAAATATGAAAAAAAAAACGTAAATCGATTCAAGTTACTGATTCGGAGTTGCTCGTAAAATTCGGCAACACTGCAAAGTCACACGTGGTCACACTCACCCTGTATGTATTCACTTCATCTTTTTTCATATGATTTCATTTATTTAAAGTTGACAGTCTACGAGTATGTAGTAGGTATGTAGGTCGAACCATACACATAACATTTTTGCAAATAAAGCCGACCAACATCGGCAACATCTTTATCCCTAGTGATTCAGACACACTGTCCTAAAATTCAACGATAAGCTGGCCTCCGTAGGGTGGACATGGTCATGAATACTTTACGAAAAATGACAAAAAAATTGAGATAGATTTTTTTTCCTCAGGTAGTCATGACTGCAACCCTAGCCTATTTTTGTTATTAAATGACGTACACTTCTGGACAAAGGCCCAAATTTCTTTCCAATAAAGGATTTGCCTTAATCGCCACGCTTAGCAGGCCATCTATGGATGATGTAGATAATGTCATCGTCCCACCGCGGCGTGTGCAGCACTTGACAACGATATCGGCAATCACGTTCCAACTACGAGGCTACTGGCTTGCACGTGTGATGCATGCACTTCGTGCATCAAGTCTTTGGGATCTATGATTTCTTCGGATAGCTTGTAAATGGATAGGGCGAGTTTCCACCAAAGCGGAGTGGAGTAGAGTAGTTTGTGGAATAACCAATCAGATTTCAATATTTCTACTTCTCGTTTCCCCTCCGAACAGATCCGCGCCACCGCCGCTGTCAAATTCTATAGAAAAATTTGACGGTCCGACACTTCTCCGCTCTGCTAACAAGGCTTTAAAACAACTAGCAAGGGCTATAAATCTCTACACCTCACCATTCCAAGTTTCTAGTATAGTTTTAAACCAGTCTTATTTATACCACATAGACGGATCTATACGGATATTGAAGTTAATTTACAAATCTAATGAAACCAATTTCCGCTTTTTAAATCTGTGCGTCTTGTCAACAGAATCTTAATTAGATAGATAGATAGATAGGGCAGGTGACCCGGTTTTGGCCATGTTAAGAATTTTTTAGACTTTGAGGCTATATCATTTTACAGTTTTTGTTATCACGGACTTATTTCTTGTAAAAANCTTCAGATGATTCTCCTTGTTGAGCGGTGTAAGTGTTTGTCGGTTGTGAGCTTGATCCTTGAATCCCGGTCCTGGTTATCGGGTTATTGAACTTGCGAAATGCTTCGTGTAAAAGTGTGTTGTGATTTCCGTCACATTCACGACAACGTGAGCTTGAAGTGCAGTTTTTTCCATAGTGACTGCATAGGCAATTTGCGCAGTAATTCAGTTTCGTAATCGCTTGTCGTTTTTGCATTGGGGTCATCTCTAAAAATTGTTTGCAGAAATAAATTCCATGTTCATTGCTGTTGCAAATTGCGCAACATAGTTTGTAGCGATTTGATTGTACTTGATGAAATGTAGCTTTGTTGCTTGTATTTTGAAGATATTTTCTTGTTTGATGATTGTATTCTTGCTTTTTTGAAGGTGTTGCTTGGAAGTTGGGTCTTAGATTCGCTTCTTGCTTGCGACGTGATGACTCCATAGTTGTAAATTTGTTCTCCAAAAATGCCATAAAATCGATCATCTTAGGTAACTCTCTTGGGTCTTTAAGAGAGTTCATGTATTCACTATGCGTTTCTGCATCTAATTTTTGGGATATGATGTGTATGAGGATCGGGTCCCAGCTGTCGATGTCAACACCTAAGTTCTTGATGGCGTTTATACATTCTGTTGTGACGTCATGGATACGTTTTACTTGATTTGAGGTCACTTGCTGTATCGCTGGTATACTCATCAAAATATTCATATGGGAAGTGAATATTAGTTTTTTGTTGTTGTAGCGATGATTCAGGATGTCCCAACTTGCGAGGTAGTTTTCTGACCCAATTGGTAGGTGTTGGATCAAACGTTCAGCTTCACCTCTTAACTTGCTTTTGAGATGTTGCATCTTTTGAGCGTTTGATAGGGCAGGATTATTATGTATTGTTTCGCAAAACAGATCCTTGAACGACGCCCATTGTTGGTAGTTCCCGGTGAAGACTGGAATGTCCAGCTGGGGGGTCGACTTCTCTCGGTGTGAAACTGACCACAACTTGTTATTAATCGCTCGCTTGATATTGTTGTATTTCTGCTCATGTTGGGTAAATTCCATCTCGTATCCCATGTCTGACCCATTTAAGATACTGTCAATTTCCCAGTGGAGGGTGTCTATCGCTTGCCATCGGGAGTGTAGAGATCGCAACGTATCTTCAAATTCCCACTTATCTTGGATTGTCTCAATGTTAATTTGAGATATCGTTCTTGAAAATGCCTTGAAGTTGGTAGTTTGTTTTTTCATTAAGTCGTCTAATTGGCTATAATTTCCTCTCGAAGTAGATTTTGCTTGTTCTTCGTTTACTTCCGAGGCCCACGAGAAAGTAGGTTTTCCAGCTTCCATCGTGTCTTCCTTGTCTTTATCTTGCGGTTCTGGCAGTGATGATGATGATTTTATTGTAGTAATTAAATAGTGTCTTGTATCTTGATAACATTTTTGTATGATACTGTAGTCGTCTTCAGTGAAATATTCGTGATCGTCTTGTAGCACTTGACATAGTTTTCTATGATTTTCCTGATACTCGTTCCAGTTGTAATCTAATTTTTCGATCCGTCTCTTGATATTTTCCGACGTCTTGCGTTCTGCACTTTCTTTCTTGAAGTTACGTAAACAATTCTTGATTACTTCAGAAAGTTTTTCTTGACTTGCGAGTACTTCCATAATGAAAAAGGAAGTTGATGACTTGAAATATCTTGCTGATGTTGAGTGTTGATCTTGAAATTGAGTTCTGCTTTTTTGCCTTTAAATTCTTGATAGGTACGTACCGGCTTGATAACTTGATAATTCTTGTTTCTTGTGATTGTAGACTTGTTTCTTCACTTGTCGCTTGGTCTTGTTTAGTATTTCCGCAGACTCTGTATGGTCTTATGCGCCTTCTCAACTCTACCGGTGAGACCCGCTTCTGGGAGGCCGGCGAGCCGATTCGCAACCACACAAAATCACACGAAAATTACTAAAAATAGCTCGAAGGACCATTAATGTACTGCTTGCAATAAACTGTACTTTGTACAATAGTTATCTATAAAATTAAAAGAATTATCCTCCAACTCCCAAGCATTAAGGAGTTGTACCTTCTATCATCAGCTCATCAATATGAGATGATGATTTCCAGGAGCAAATACTTGAATAAATTAAGAAAAAGTTTGAAAAACGATATACGTGCCTATAAAATTTGAGGGTTGCCCTCAATTTTCCTAGGATCCCATCATCAGATCCTGACTTGGTGACAATGGGACCACCTCAGAAGTGTACCCTATCGAACAAAAAAAGAATTTTGAAAATCGGTCCACAATTGACGGAGTAATCGGTGAACATACATAGAAAAAAAAACATACATACAGTCGAACATATAACCTCCTCCTTTTTTGAAGTCGGTTAAAAACAATGCGTAACGTTGCAACCGATTGGCGGATACTTCCGGAATACCCTTATGTGATCCAAAAATAGACAGAAGCGGCTTGTGGTCAGTACGCAAAATGAACGGTTCTGACCGACCATACAGATATTGGTGAAACCGCCTGACACCAAATACAGGATGTTTCAAAATACCCCCTAAAGCCTGAAAGGGCACAGAAACTGAAACAATCTGAAATAGAAGCCGTTGTTCCTATTGTCATATCTTGAACGGTTTTGGAAATAACGTACATCGAAAGATTCCAAAAATATCGATATGAATTCCCTCACTTTCGATCAGCTGCAGCGGGGTTCATCGAACGCAAATCATAGACTTTGTATTTTTCAGAATGTCAATTAGCCGCATTTTTTGCCTACTTCCTTTATCGATGTGTTCAAAGCATGTTTGTTGGTTAAATAAAAATTTTAAATAGGTACTCACTAACACTTTACATGTGTACGTACATTTGAAAAATTTTGTAAAAACTTGCATCTATCGAAATCAGGCCACTTGATGGAAAAAAAATCGTAAGTAAATAACTTTTTCCGATAGCAACATCACTACTAATGATAGTTTTCAAACATTCTTAGACAACAGAAAAAAAAAATCCGTGAAATTCCAGGTAGGTTACGTTACCGTACCTTTAGTCGAATTCTGTTATTATTTAATCTTTGAAATTGCATTTCCGCCCATCTTTAGCTTAGGGGAACCTGTTGTACTTAGGCCAGTTTTTCGAATTTTGATTTTTTGAAAAATAATGGTGATAGTTAAACTTGTCTAGTGCAGTTATATTTAAAGATCATTTAATTAACTACATAATTCATTCATAAAATTGTTTATAATTTTAAAAATTTGGGCATACTAGCTGCTAGAAAAAAAAAGGGAAAACTGTCCTAGGTACAACAAGCCAGATGTACCTTGGACCGTGTACGTTGTACCTATTTAAATTTAAATAAATGCTTATATTCGCTTCAATTTGTTAATTTTCTGTTAAATTATTATTTGAAATACCAATTATTACAGTTATTAGCAACAATATCTAAGTAAAAGTATTTTTTAAAAATCATTAATACCACTTAGACAGTGTATTCTTTATTAAGGATTAACATAAACATTTAAAAAAATAAGAAGGATTTAGAAAATAATGATTGTTTACTCACCCGCTCGCCTTAGCCTTTTTGCTAAGACTTAAAACAATTAACGCTTCTCAAAAAATAATGACTTGTTGGATTGAAGTGAAGCTTGACACATCAAAGCTGTTAACGCTATCAGTGTTGCTAATATTAGATATTTTTATTCCCGTAAACCATAGAGTAATATATTAGTCTTTGCCTTAGTTATAACGAAAGTTTTGATGTCTGGGTGTTCTTTACTCCTCCACGCAAAAACCATCGAACGGATTCCACTGAAACTCCACAGTAGTATTGTTACTCCACATAGGCCACAATTTATGACGATATTATGTGACAAACAAATTTCAATAAATAAATAAGACGTCTAAAAAGCGCTATCTATCGTCATTGGTTAAAATCTACAGCGCTTGGCAAACCACTGTTTTTGACATTCGTAAATATTCATGCCGTGAAACGCCATCTATCAACACAATATCTAACGGGGGCAAATCATGGTCCACGCGTACGAAGTTACGGGCGGCCGCTAGTAAAAATAATAATAATCATAAATGTCAGTAGGTATGCGTGCCCGACGCATGCAAGAGAACATGTTCGCCCAGGCGACTATTACTGCGTATACCCAGCTGTTGAAAGCTCAGTAATGTGGACTTCATATAAGTTCTAAACTTGTGTTTGGAATAATTCTTGTCAATTATTTTGAAATAACGCCCAATTTCCCATCACCAGGAAACCCCCGCCGCCGCCGAAGAAGATATTCGAATACCTGAACAAGCACGTGGTAGGCCAGGAGTACGCCAAGAAAGTGCTGTCGGTCGCGGTGTACAACCACTACAAGAGGATCTACAACAACGTCACCAGCGGCGCGCCCGCCGACGCGCACCACCCGCTGCACCACACACACAGAGGTAACTACTCCGCTTCATGACTCGAGTACTGGACGAGCACGTGTGGCCAGGAGTGCGCCAAGGTGCTGTCGTGGCGGTGTACTACCACTACAAGAGGGTCTACAACAACGTCACCAGCGGCGCGCCCGCCGACGCGCACCACCCGCTGCACCACACACACAGAGGTAACTACTCCGCTTCATGACTCGAGTACTGGACGAGCCGTGTGGCCAGGAGTGCGCCAAGGTGCTGTGGTGGCTGTGTACTACCACTACAAGCGGATCTACAACAACGTCACCAGCGGCCGCAGACGTGCACCACCCGCTGCACCACACACACAGAGGTACCTAACTACTTTGCTTCATGACTCGAGTACTGAACGAGCCGTGGTGGCTAGGAGTGCGCCAAGGTGCTGTGGTGGCTGTGTACTACCACTACATGAGGATCTACATCACACACACAGAGGTAACTACTCCGCTTCATGACTCGAGTACTGAACGAGCCGTGGTGGCTAGGAGTGCGCCAAGGTGCTGTGGTGGCTGTGTACTACCACTACAAGCGGATCTACAACAACGTCACCAGCGGCCGCAGACGTGCACCACCCGCTGCACCACACACACAGAGGTAACTACTCTGCTTCATGACTCGAGTACTGGACGAGCACGTGTGGCCAGGAGTACGCCAAGGTGCTGTCGTGGCGGTGTACTACCACAACAAGAGGGTCTACAACAACGTCACCAGCGGCCGCAGACGCGCACCACCCGCTGCACCACACACACAGAGGTAACTATTCCGCTTCATGACTCGGGTACTGGACGAGCCGTGGTGGCCAGGAGTACGCCAAGGTGCTGTGGTGGCTGTGTACTTTCACTACAAGAGGATCTACAACAACTTTACCAGCGGCCGCAGACGCGCACCACCCGCTGCACCACACACACAGAGGTAACTGCTCTGCTTCATGACGAGTACTGAACGAGCCGTGGTGGCCAGGAGTACGCCAAGGTGCTGTGGTGGCTGTGTACTACCACTACAAGAGGATCTACAACAACTTTACCAGCGGCCGCAGACGCGCACCACCCGCTGCACCACACACACAGAGGTAACTATTCCGCTTCATGACTCGAGTACTGGACCAGCACGTGGTGGCCAGGAGTACGCCAATGTGCTGTCGTGGCGGTGTACTACCACTATAAGAGGATCTACAACAACGTCACCAGCGGCCGCAGACGCGCACCACCCGCTGCACCACACACACAGAGGTAACTACTCTGCTTCATGACTTGAGTACTGATCAAGCACGTGGTAGGCCAGGAGTACGCCAAGGTGCTGTGGTGGCTGTGTACTACCACTACAAGAGGATCTACAACAACTTCACCAGCGGCCGCAGACGCGCACCACCCGCTGCACCACACACACAGAGGTAACTACTCCGCTTCATGACTCGAGTACTGATCAAGCACGTGGTAGGCCAGGAGTACGCCAAGGTGCTGTCGTGGCAGTGTACTACCACTACAAGATCTACAACAACGTCACCAGCGGCCGCCGACGCGCACCACCCGCTACACCACACACACAGAGGTATCACTCTATTTATTTTAACCCGGCGAGCGTAAGGTTGGGTGTGGTACACCCAGACCTTGAAAAATCGATTAATATTTTAATAACGAATTGTTGTTATGCTTCGTGCGCTTGAGTAGCTGCGCGGAGGGACATACGGAAGCGTCCCTTGCCACTGTTTCAGGCGACCGCCGCCCGGGGTATGCTGAGGACGAGGTTAAAGCTGTCCACGGGTGCGTGACACCCGCCTTACGCTACGTGTAACGAATTTGATCAAACACATTTTATTTTATTTTTATTATTTTTTCGATTTTTTTGGTTTTTCTTCAGGCTAAAGATCTAGAATGTCTTATGAAGATAATCAAATAGATTATCAGGTCTTTTCAAACAAACTGAAGTCAGTTCTTCCGACAAGTCTGGTAGTGACCAAAATATTGATGATGTCAACGAAAGAAATTTTGAAAGTGACACAGGAGTAGGGGATATATGACGAGGCAGCATGAAGGATTGATAGAGAATAATGGCGAAGGCAATGGTAGTTATTTGTTGGGAAAACATGGAACAAAATGGTTCACAGTACCAAAAATTCGACTGTAAAAACTGCACAAAATCTCAAAACGAATTAAGTATTTTTTTATTAGTTTTATTATCCATTTTTAGTGTTATTTTGTTCTTATGTTGAGTCTATTTAAAGAAAAAATAGTCTTTATTGTTTTTGTTTTCATATTTTTGACAAAAAATCATAAACATGTGCCATTGTAAGTTCTAATTGTTAATTTTCTTAATTTCTTAAATAAATAACATTGCGTAATTATTTACTGTAATTTGTTTCTTAAATAAGTTCAAAATATAACTAAATATCAGTTTAATATCAAAGAAAATAGATATTTAAAATAATAGTGTATAATAACCACACAATCACGATCTGGGTGTGCTACACCCACCTAGCGCTATTTGTTACTTTTTCCAACCTTACGCTCGGCGGGTTAAGGAGCTGTTCTCTTTAAAAACTCTTTCCTCCAAGGAATGACTCCGTCTCGGTCTCGTTTTAAAGTAATGTTCAAGTCCTGGAAATAGATCTTCCTCCACGGATTTCCACAACCAATCCTTAGTTGCCCGCATCCACGCGTTTCTCGCGGCCTTCATCGTCTCGTACTTAGTGGGTAATTTTTGTATTTTTCTAAAGCCCGGTCTGTGAGCACGTAGAATTTTGTCCAATGACCCCAAGCTACCTATCCTTGTCGCTCGCGCCTAATTATGTTGCTGTCGCGACTGTGCGACGCGCGCCCGCAGTGAGTGTGCGAGCGCGACAGCAACATAATTACAAGGACAAAATTCTACGTGCTCGCAGACCAGACTATAGTCTATTGTTCAGAATCTAACTTTCTAGATTTTTTATAGATTGTTATTGAAAATTATATTATACAGTGTGAGTCACGTTAAAGTGTACATATGAAAATAGATGAAACTAGACCTATTTTTATCGACAAAAAAGAGGTCAAAAATTTTTTGAGATTTTTTTTTAATTTTTTATTGATTTTTTTTTCTTCCAATTACTTATTGTAAAGAAACGTAATAACTTTAAAACTAAGCGGTATATCCTGATAAAATAAAAACAGTAATAATGCTAAATAAAAGGCGATACTAAAAAAATACATAAAATACACAAAAAATGCCAACAAATAATAAAAAATAATACTTTTTGAAAAAAATCTGCTTTTAAATTCGTGTTTTTTGGTTATTTGATAAATTTCTCCAAAAAATGCCCCCTATAACCGGTGGTTTTTATTACTTTGTGTTATTCTCTATCGTATTATCTTTGTAAAACCAAAAATCGCATGTCTCTATCCCTATCACAACATTTGCTATGATCGTTTGAACAAAGGCCTGCCACAACATTATTCTCCGCTACAGGTAGAGAAAATTTTAATTTTAACTAAAATGCTTATTTTACTTCGAAATCTTTTGTTTTTATTTAAAATCTAACTTGTCTTTATCAAAATTACAAATCTAGAGCCATTTTCAGTTTCGTTGTTAACGAAACGTTGAATGGCGCGCCCGGAGAGGCTTAGTTCAAACGATCATTGCAAACGTTGTGATAGAGATAGATACATGCGATTTTTGGTTTTACGAAGGTAATACGATGGAGAATAATACAAAGTAATAAAAACCACCGATTATAGGGGCATTTTTTGGAGAAATTTATCAAATAACCAAAAAAACACGAATTTAAAAGCAGATTTTTTCAAAAAGTATCATTTTTTATTGTTTGTTTTCCTTTTTTGTGTATTTTATGTATTTTTTTAGTATCGCCTGTTATTTAGCATTATTACTGTTTTTATTTTATCAGGATATACCGCTTAGTTTAAAAGTTATTACGTTTTCTTTACAATAAGTAATTGGAAGAAAAAAAATCTATAAAAAATTAAAAAAAAATCTCAAAAAAATTTTGACCTCTTTTTTGTCGATAAAAATAGGTCTAATTTCATCTATTTTCATGTGTGCACTTTAACGTGACTCACACTGTATAGCAGGATACTCCTATGCCTATAAATAGGATGATACAATCGTAATTATTATTATTTTAATTAAACATGTACTTACTTAACAAATCACGCTGTGTAGCGTATAATTAAATGGAATAATACTGCCCGGTAAGTAAAAACAATAGTCTGGTTATAAAAGCATTTTTTAATGTTTTTTGAAGCCTCTTAATTTTAGATTTATCCCTACACAATCTTGGGTTGAATATCTAGATGGGGCATACAAATTGAGTAGTTTTGCCGATATTGTGTTTACTTCGTGCTCGATAGTGTAAAGAAAAGTGTTTTATTAAAGAGTAACAAAAACTTTTGTTCAAATTAAATTCCGTGAAAGCGTGACCAACCGATCAGCGACAGGCTTCAATGATTTCAATTCGACCTTTACGATTCAGGTCTTTAGGCTTCTTTTTATCTTCAGTGACGGCTTTTATCGAGGCTGCTAGTTGAGGACGATGTTTTGTAGTATTTCTATTATAATTATCTTTGTGCGTACTGGGTAAAACAGCAGTACATAAAATTCATTTATTTTTGCAAATAGGCTTTTAGAAAGCACTTTTACACGTCCCAATATTAACCCTACCACTTCTTCGGGACAATAAATGGGCCAGTGCTGAGAAGAAGCAGCGCAAGAAACTCAGTCACTATTGTCAGCCTCCTTTTCAACTTGCATTTGTACATTTTAAATTTGCATAAAAATATGGAAGACTTGTGCTCGAAGTAGGAAAATCCTGTCTTGCTTGACAGACCAGCTCCCTAGACAAAATTAAGCAGATAACCCTCCATAAAGGCAATCCAAACTGTCCTCCTAGCTAAACAACATATTATCATGACACGGTTGTATGACAGTGTAATTCCAAAAACATTTTGCTCCCGCGTTTTGTCGTTTAAAGTTCCTTCATTCCGTGAAGCTATTTCGTAGCTCTCATTTGCTATAAATGTTACCTCCCTATGGAGCTACATCATGATTGTTTTTCTCTGCCATCATTTAGAGACGAACATTTGGCTCAAAAACAAACTCAGTCATGAAAAGTAATGTTGTTACTTCAACAGACCTCCTTTTTTTCTGTACCAGCGTTTCCAGACAAACATTTATTTTGTCAAGTGCTAAGCTAGCTTCTGCACCACAACAAACTCAGTCATGAAAAGTATTGTTGTTCTCTCAGCAGACCTCCTGCACATAAGCCACGGGACCAGTACCGGAGGAGGCGGCGCCGAAGTCTTGGAGAGGCAGCACCACGAGCTGAGGCTTGACAAGAGCAACGTACTACTGTTAGGACCTACGGGATGCGGTGAGTGCTGATTATGAACCTATTTGTTTTGTGCTCTTGTAAGGTAACATCACGCATGTTTCCTTGGTATAATGGGGAGAGGTGAACTTTCCTAGATTTGGGTTCCAATTGGAATAAGCATTGCACAATGCACATGTATGAAGCATAGGCTGACTTCGAAGACTGTCGAATTAAAAATAAGCTTTAATAAAAATCGGAAATAGATATGAAATTACCAGTGATTTTACTTTAAAATGCAAGATAGTATATTTAGTGGGAACATAAACCATTAATTGTAACAGAATTAAGTACTTTGGCATTCCAAATCGATCGAATTGGTAATATTTTAAGTTTAAAAAATGGACGATTAAATTGACGAAGTAATATTTTTGCAGTAAAAGATATTACTGTCAACATAAACAATACTGTGTTAACTTAACATTACACAGCTGCTATATTTATTTGCAAGATTACCGATTATTTTGGCAAGCAGACGTTACGATAAGCTACTCAAGATATCCTAATATTTCTAATCCGTGACGATAAATATCAATGCACGATAATAAACCGTCTAATTTGTCTGGATACTTAAAAGGTTATTGACACACAAACTTTTAAATAATGTTGAATGGACTGTTTTGTAAGGCAGTAAACAATATTCGACATTTTAAATGTGCAATCACACATTCAGTTTACGCGCGCGCGAAAGTCGACATGAATGGAAATCACCCGAATTTAGTTTCATGACTTCAATCCATGACAAGGAATATTAAATAAATAAAATTGGACATTGAAGACATGAACACAATCTGCTCAAAAGTAATTTAGAAAACTATAGACTAATCAAGTCTTAGACATAAAATGACCTGAAGCGTTTCGACTATTGCATAATTATTCACATCGCTTTATTCATGCAACCCACTTCGACAACAAACTTTAATTCTATTGTAATTGCATTGCGGCTCGTCGCAACACATGTGTTTTCTGTATTTGGCGATTCGATTCGGTGTAAAACACTTGTAGTTGGCAAAGGAAAAATATATTTGCCTAACAATATAGCTATGTAAATTGCAGCTCGACATACTAGGAGCTCGATTTCCAAGCACGCGACTGGTTTAAAGACGCTACGATCACGAAAGGAGTCAAGGTGTCAATTAATTTATAAAAAAGGTCCAATTTGACAAAAAATCTCCAGTTTCGTCACTGTATGCCCTTTTATGTTGACTTGCAAGATAATCTTATTATTTTTGTTAACGTTTCATGTAAATTGGGTGCTTAAATTCTTAACGCGTACGATACTGATCAGCGATGAGTCAACCCAAATGTCCTTTAAAGTCATCTTTAATAGTGCCGTGCGTTTAAAGATGCGCCGGTTGAGAAAGAGGTAATTGTGTTTAATAACATCATCTGGCATTTCGAAGTTTGCGGTAAGCTGCAAAATGTTAAAGACACTGCAAAGCGGTCGATGCAGCTCAAACTGGTCTAGACGCAACTAGTCTCGATGGCTTTCATAAAGTAGTGCACTATAAATTGAAATAAGAACAAGTAGAGAGTAACAAGCACTTGCAACCAGTTTTATATGTCAAGTCGGTATTTAATTCATACGTAATTAACATAATCAATTCGGTGCCGACTACTGATCGTGTGCCATAGCTACAAGTATGAATTCAGAATGAAATCGGACGCCTTTTAATTACATGGATGTGTTAATTTAAACGTGGTAACAATTAATTGAAAAACAAACACTTGTTATGAAAACATGTATTTTAAAAACAAATTGAATCTTTGCATGCTCAATGGCTTCAAAGTTTAAGCAAATAGGATGATGTTTACTTGCATGTTCTATATATTATGTGTAATTATTAAAAGTCACGCACAGAGTATTGAGGTATTCTTAACAAGACAACAATGAACAAACGAAAATGTATAAATAATTACATACTACCGATAAACGTTTTGGAATTTTCAAAAGCATTCGAGTAGGTGGGTAAGTATAATATGTGAATAAATTACCGAATAAAAATTTTAAAATAAGCATTTTTAGTATGCTGCTTATCAATAATTTATGCGTTTTAAAAATGCATCAAACACATAATTCTAATTAGGGCTCACCTCAAGGATCTATTTTGTGTCCTCTCATAAACATTCTATAAATAAGTTGGTAGACATAACTTTTGATATTTAAAATTAAGGCATACTTATGCAAATTATGTTGCATAACTTTTATCTCAGAAATAATATTTCCTCTTTAGCTCTTTTATAGCTCGCAATGCTGCCTTGTCCAGTGTCAGGCGTAAACACATATCACTTCGATTGTGAGCGTATTTCATAACTTAGGAACAGCCGTAGCTTTCGAATGGCGATGTTGTAACCATTAAAAGGATGTCGTTAAGCGAAACGCCATAATATCAATCGTTAACTTTTATAAAGAAGCTCGTAATATGTTTAACCAACATAGTTTTGTATGGATCTTATAAAACTTCATCAAAAGACATTATTAGCCGAATATTCGAGCATTGTATCAGCTATTTATAGCTTGGAGAAATCTATTTATAATGGCTTGATTTTTCTGACATAAAAGCCTTTTCTTTCAGTTTAGAGTTCTCCTTTGTTTGTTTATACCCACGAAATGTTTTTCATATTCGTTCCACGTATGCTATAAAAGAACCGTTCTCGTGAAATAAATTTCATTTAAAGAGGAACAATTGATTTGTGTAATTCTTATCAAATTTTATTGTTCGGAAGGACCAATTAAAATAAATCGGATAAGATTAACTACTGGTATCACTTTTCACATAGATTTATATGTATTTATTTCCTGATTAATCAATGCTGATGTCTTTGAGCGATATGATAGACCATACCCAGACAGTCTGTGACTGTTCATAAAGTATGATACCAGGTGTTGTTCTCATTATAGAAACAGAAGACGGTTCTAATAAAAATGTTGTCAAAGTAAATTTGTTCTAGGCGTATTTTCCGGGATTTGTGTGGAAAGCCAGTATACGGCTTGGTTAATCGTCGTCGTCGTCGTCGTTTCAGCCAAAAGACGTCCACTGCTGGACAAAGGCCTCCCCCAAGGATTTCCACAAAGACCGGTCCTGCGCTTGGTTAATCAAAACCGGCGAATCAGCGAAATTAACCATAGGAAATGAAAATTATACATAAGGTGATTACTGTCTACCTGCGCGTACAAAGCGAAGAAAATTTATAAAATATCACCATCATCATTTCAGCCATATGACGTCCACTGCTGAACAAGACCTCCCTAATGATTTCCACAATGACCGGTTGGTGGCGGCCTGCATCCAGCGCCTGCTACCTTTATGAGGTCATCAAGTCAAGAAAAATATGAATCAAAATCAAATTCATCTACTCTAAGGTGCAAATCTATACCCACGGCTACCACAGCGTCAGATTGGGCATGCCAACAACGAGCGCTCGGCATTAGAATGCGTTTACTTAATTAAGCCAGATTAGGCAGTTTGCATGCGCGTGCGCGCACCACGTGTGAGTTAGTGTAGCCTTTGAGAACCAGTTGGGCAATTGTTGGACAAAGAGTATCTAATGCGATACAGGCTTGGACAATTTTACATTAAAATTGTATGTTTAGTTCTGGGTGCAATGACTTCTCTGAACTCTTTTGTTCATATTTTGACGGTGTGATTAGATTCAGATACTGTGATTCAGACGTCAGAGTTCGGCACATCAAGGTCAGCACTATGGAATCTTATGTTTAGTCAAAAGATGCGATTTAACAACAGAAATGTCTGTTGTCTGTACAATACCATCATTTGATTTTTAAGTATTATAGCAAACCTATTCAATGCTGAAGGGGGGTTCTTTGGTCCTTCCTAGCTTGCCATGAACGCTCTTACTTTCCTTGTATTTCATGATTAAGATTCTGTTTAATTGCTCTGGAGGATAATTACTTTGAAATAAAATTGTTACAAGTTATTTTTTAATTGAAACAGAATTAAAAAACTGTAGTTATTCATGAATTTAATTAATGTAGTCGGGTAAAATTAATCGATATTCTTTGATGGAAATGGAATGTAGCTATAAAATTGTTTTAATAAATTGTATTATAAGTATTTATTACTTTAAAAAATACTAAAGTAAATTGAATATTGACTGACTGGCTTTTTTATTTATTCTAAAACAATTGAACTGTAATCGTACGTAATAATTTTGAACATTTTGTAGCAGTTACATTCAAAATATTTTATTTATCCTTACTTGGAATACATTCTTGTATGAAAGTCTAGACTCTAGACTGTCTTATCCCGGCATCGAACGCTAATCTGCGGTTTTCCAATGCTCATAAAGCAACTTTTACTTGGATCGAGAGCGAGACGATGGCCATCAGAGTTACCGCGGGCTTGTAATTGCCGCTTTCCCTCGTGGCGCCTGTGACATAACCGCTTATCAAACGTTACATTGTGCAATCTGTAATTATCTAAATGTTATAAGTGCGTGTTTATCTGTCTATCTGTTACGTTTTCGGACCCAATCCGCCGGCTGGCCCAGATCTCCAAATTCGTTCGGAGTAATGTACCCCTTTAAGACGGGTTTCCCTCCATGTCAACATCTAAAAAATTATCTTCAAAGAAATGTTGAATGTTGACATGTTTGTAGGGGAAAACACGCACTGAACACCGCTTTAGATACACGTATAATAAGTGGACAACTCGCCTGTTCCAGTTGTCATATAAGCCCAATTTTCTGTAGATTGAGATAGATTGGATTAGGAATCGGCGATATAATACAAAGGATACTTTTGGTTGTAAATAAACTATTAAGGGTAAAATCGTTGGGGTAAGCCCATGTTCAGCAGTAGACGTCCTAAGGGTGCTATGGCTGAAATGATGATGATAATGAATAAGGATAAAATAGAGGAATCTTTGTTTGATTAAGATATCTTTAATTTGACGTCACATCAAGTTTTTAATTCAAAAGTAGTTTGTATTACGTGTGTACTAAGAGCGATCGAAAGGTCAACGTGTTACGTATGATGAGCTGTTGTGTGTGATACAATTTACCCAATTAAAAATGTAAATAGCAGTCGTAAATTGAATACGTAATGAAAGTGTGCAGCAGTGTGAAGCAGGAAGCTAGTTACTTTTTAAGTTTTAACACATCTTTTATGGTTGAGGTAGATTTTATTTGGATAGTATTCACTTCCTCACTTTTTATCATGATGCGATAAAAACTGAATTATTGTCTGTGAAAACTACTTAGTGCCTACCACTAACTTGACTCTTGTTGGAGCAAAAAATAGGAAACATCAGCAGAGAACAGTATTTCTAAGAATAGAATTGTAAAGATTTTATGAAAATTATTTATTTATTTATCTTAATCGTAGACTGTTGAATAATAATATCACATGTAACGCTTCCTACGAGTCGGACGTAGGAAGTGAGCGTTGCATTGTGCGCTACATAGTTGCATAAAAGTCATAACACATGTAACACTCGCTGCCAATAATCGAACAATCTTTTACGTGCTAGGGTTCACCAGCAAAAAAATGTACATTGAAAATATTTTATTGACTCCTCTATATTGTGTACCTATTTCTTTTAAATTATTCGTTCCATTTCAATTATTTTGTACAAAAACTTAGGTATGTGTTCATTATTATGACAGTTAAGTAATTACTGAGTATTCTACAATTTTATTAAACAAAAAAGATAATTTAATAAGTAATTATTAACACCTACTTTTTGGATACATTGTATGGTTGTGGCCCTGGTCAACGTATGAGCAATGTAATCGATACATTTATGTAACCAGCACCAGGCCTGGCTCACTCCGCGCGGTACATCCGATAATTACCTACAGCGAAGCGCCCCGCCGGCGGGTATTATATCAGTCGAGTGTCACGCGCACGCTCGTCAGGACGCTGGCGTGCGTTGTAGTATGATTATAATTCTATGATCGAAGTATTATTTAAAAATCGACATAAAGAGAAAGAAATATTGTGCGGCGTTCGGGTGTTACAATTCGAAAAGAAATCTACCGGATTTATCTTTTTTTTTCGCTTCCCAAAGATGCTGAAAGGTATGTTGGCCATGTAGGTAATCAATAATTCTTAGGATAGTATAGGAACCTAACCTACCATGACTACTGCTCAGAATTCGTTCGTTCGTTTCAGCCAAATGACGTCCACTGCTGGACAAAGGCCTCTCCCAAAGTTTTCCATAGTGAATGCATAGGTACTTACCTACAAACGTACCTCATTACAAATAAGTAGATTAATTATTTTTTCACTAGACAGCAACCCTAACAGTGTAAGAAGAGTTCAGAGGCACGCGATAGAAAGAGACAAAACTTGTAGGTGAATAAAATTGTAGGTACGTAGTGCTGTGCGAGCTGAATTCCACTGTATCGCGTCGTAGCAAGACTCGCATTTATTTAAATCGTCTTGCGGAGTAATCCTTCTGTACCTGTACTATTACTTATTCTGTGCCAGCACACAATATAAGCGTTGATTGGGCTAGATATGGAGCGTGAAATTGAAAATGGTCATAACTGAATAATACTGAATATGTTAAGTAAGGTAATCTAACAAAGTGTCATGTTAGCTAAGTGAGAATTAAAGTGTCAGACACGACGTGTTGGGGTCATTGTACTGATGTTGATTCTCATGAACAAAAGGCTAACGTTCTTGTTAAAGATTACAGAAACATAAATCTTTTCAATTGTTTTCCAACCAATCATTACGGCGCACTTATGATTCTAAAGATCTAAAGTCCAACTTTAGACTTGTTTGCTCGTGAGTATCACTAAAAACTAACTAACAAAAAACGTCAACTATCTTTAGTTGAGATGTAGAGGAGCTCTTCATTTTAGTACCGTCACATTTTTTTTTTATATTTTAGATTTTCGAGACAGTTGAATAAACCGGAACTGCTTTTTGTAATGAGCATAGTAATATGCCAAGCGTGGGGATTATGGCAAAACCCTCCACTATAGTGGAGGAGGCTCATAGTCCAGCAGTGGACTGTAAAGGGCTGTTGATGATGATGATAGTAATATGATGGCGTTTCTTGAAATTTAATATTTATAATGCACGATATGTCCCAAACACACTGTAATTTTTTACTACATACTCTTTATTTGGTGGCAATCACCAAATTAAGCAACTTGTAGGACACACGTTCAAAAGAAACATTTGGTTTCCAGGCAATACGCTCCTGGTGCAGACGATAGCAAAGTGCCTTAGTACAGTCAGCATCAAATAGTTCGTGACAACCAAAGTAGCCAAGAAGTTCGCAACACGTCTTTGTTACAAATAAAATAAGGTTGTGTTGTCATTGTGTGTGTGGGACGTCCACCCATATGGTAGACCGACGAAGGCGCTGGACGCTGGCCGCTACCAATCGATCAACGTGGAAATTATTGTGGGAGGCCTATGTTCTGTAGTCGACTTCTTATGGCTTAAATGATGATGATGTGTTATCAACTTTTTGGGCACTTTGGCTCATGAACTATTTGAATTTGACCTTCTTTGCTGGCGGGTGCCAAATCTACGTTTTTAAACCCAAGTTGATAAGAGTGTCATGGTTTCCAGGCAAGACGCTCCTGGCGCAGACGATAGCGCAGTGCCTGGACGTGCCGTTCGCGATCTGCGACTGCACCACGCTCACGCAGGCCGGCTACGTCGGCGAGGACATCGAGAGCGTCATCGCCAAGCTGCTGCAGGACGCCAACTTCAAGTGAGTCACTAGTATCAGGAAGCTCTTGGCCTGTATCTCACCTGATGGTAAGTGACGATCAGGCCGAAGGTGGAAGCGAGCTTCACCCGGAATCCTCAACCACGAAGGAACTGGCTATCTTACCTCTAACTGCCGGAACACAACAATGCTGTTAACATTGTTGTTATGGCGACAGACTTAGGTAAGATGGTGGTAGCTAGCCAGGCGGACTTAGAACAAGCCCTACCACCAACCAAACCGAACAGAAAAATCTGCCCCCACTGGGAATCGAACCCGGGACCTCTGCGTCTGAAGCAGGTGGTCTAACCACTAGACCACAGAGGCGGTTAATTACCATGAACAGGAAAAAATTTCGCAGTGCTTATTCGCAGATTCGGGATAGAGCAGCTACACTAATCAATATAATCGACGAGTTTAAACAACTTTTAAATGATTTAAAATTTTCTTCCTCAGTGTGGAGCGTGCACAGACAGGCATCGTGTTCCTGGACGAAGTAGACAAAATAGGCGCCGTACCCGGAATACATCAGCTCAGAGATGTGGGAGGTAAGTCACATAATTCGTTTCAGCCAAATGACGTCCACTGCTGTACAAATGCCTCTCCAAAAAGATTTCCATAACAACCGGTCCTGTGTTTCCCTGTTCAGGTACTTCCTACGACCTTCACCAGATCATCGGTCCACCTATTGGGGGCCTTGCTCATACTACGTCTTTACTAATATTACTTTACTTGATTTTATCTTGCTACTCTTTTAGGGCTTTTAGTAAATAAGACGTAGAGCTGGATGTTAGTCGTCAATCCAATAGTGACCCATGAAAGTTTTAAACAATAAAACATTCAGTGTTTGCAGAACCGCACACGGAAAATTGTATGACTACTGCGTTGGGATAAAAATGACAATAACTACATAACCAACAGTTAGTGCGGTCTTGCAAATACACTGCTGACCTTTCAAACATAGTAATTAGAATGAGCTCTTATTCTCTCTCAGCTTGTAATGGTCATACAACATCGATTCTCAAACAGACCTTTATGTGAAACGCGTGGCGATCGATGCGTCTCGGCATCGATTGAACATTCTAGACCCCGAAAACCGTTAGCAGGGTTGCCCATATCGGGTGGCGGCCGGCGCGGAAGGCACATATACCTCGATTTTTTAGAATCCAGCTGAGATGTAAACAAACACTTTCATACACAAATACATAATCACTTACGTGTTCATAATATCATACACATTAATTCACAAGCCCATGAAATTGACTTGACAATTAAAATTATGTGTTATCTCCATGTTTACTCTGACACATCAGTGTTGAAACCTGTAAGTCATAGACAATAATCGGTAAATTTAATCGATTTTATTTCAATTATTCAATCATTTTTATTACTGATTGCATTTAAATAGATTTAAATAGGGTCCTAATCAACAATGTATTTTTTCTTCATTGAATGTACTACTAATTATGTAATGCACTGCTTTTTAAAACATTATAAATTCTTTCTATATGTACGTAATGTACGTAAGTACTACAATAATTTCAATTCGCGATTAACGAGAGGTTTCGTCGCCTCACTAGTGTACAGATTAAAAATGTTGTCAGTTGGCCATATTTGTTTAAGTTTCTGCTGAATTCTAAAAAATTCGTCTGTAAAAAGCTTAGTTATTAAATTTTTAGCGTTAAGAGTCGCATCTCAAACTAATTTGAAAATTATAAATAACTTGAAAAATTCGAACTACCTAAGGCGGGAATTGAACCCACGACCTTCCGCTTGCCGGGCGACCGCCTTAGGCAGTTCGAATTTTTCAAGTTATCTTCTTATATATATATAAAAGAAAGTCGTGTTAGTTACTCCACTTATAACTCAAGAAAGGCTGAACTGATTTAGCTGAAAATTGTCAGGGAGGTAGTTTAGAGCCAGGAGAAGGGCATAGGATACGTTTTATCCCGTTGGAAATTAAAAAAAAAGTCTGCTTATTTATTGCCATTAAGGCGGAACAAAGTTCGCCGGGTCAGCTAGTTTACAATGTAAAAAGCTTTTTGCTATACCTTATTATCTAAATGTCAATGTTAATATCTTTCCCCAGGCGAGGGCGTACAGCAAGGCATGCTGAAGATGCTGGAAGGCGCAGTGGTGTCGGTGCCGGAGCGCAACTCGCGCAAGTTACGCGGTGACGCGGTTCAGGTCGACACCACCAACATACTCTTCGTGGCCAGCGGCGCTTATAACGGGCTCGACAGGTTGGTAAACAGTTTATCTGCTCATAAATTAGCCAAGATTAATAACTATTAAGGCCTATTCAAACCTGAGCGATATTCGCTGCCGCTGTGGGTAGAGGTACATACCGCGCGAGTTTCGCTCAGGTATTTAGTATCAAGTATCGCGGCTAGAGCGTTTTCTCTGCCGCAGACGGTAGCGAATACCTCTTAGGTCTGAACAGTATTATTACCGCATACCCACTGGGTTTTCTCTGCCGCAGACGGTAGCGAATACCGTTTAGGTCTGAACAGTATTATTACCGCATCGCAATATATGTTTGATAACATTATGTATGTCCGTAAACATCTACATTTATTTACTAAGAAAAGCGACGTCCACTCATTTAACACGAGACATAAGAATAAACTTGCTGTTCCATCTTTTAGGTTGCATAAAATAGGTAATTCATTCTTGGGGAAATGTATTACCATATTTAACAAAATACCACACAACCTTGTCGAATTACCAATAAACAAATTTAAGATACATATAAAAAATACCCTTATGTCCAAAGGGTACTACAAGGTTCGAGACTATATTGATGACAAGGATGCGTGGTCAGTTCAGTCTGCACATATTTGATGTACTCGAATTTGGTTATTCTTAGCGTTAGATATTTCCCGGCAATTAGTGGTGACTGAGTTTGTTCCGGCGTTTCTTCTCAGCACTTGCCATATGTTTGTCTCGAAGCGCTGGTAGGGCCCAAAAGATAAGGAGACATGTAAAGTGCCCCATAAGGGCTAACTTTTCTTTTTTATTATTTTCTATAATAATTTTGACGTTCATAAGTGCCACTTGTGGTCTAAACTGAATAAATACTTTTGATTTTGATTTTTTGATTTTGCATACCCACTGGGTTTTCTCTGCCGCAGACGGTAGCGAATACCGCTTAGGTCTGAATAGGCCTTTAAGGGACTATTGGAGAACTTTCCTGCCCCAACGGTTATCGTCTCTACGAGCTATGTGCCCCGCCCACTGCCACTTGATTTCAGCAATTCTGCGAACTATGTGGGCTGCTTTCTCGAGTGGTGACCACGGGCTGGAAGACGTAGCGTGGACAGGCCTCCTACTTACTAGGTGGACCGACGATTTGGTAAAGGTCGCGGGAAGAGCCTGGATGCGGGCAGCGCAGGACCGTTCATTGTGGAAAACCTTGGGGGAGGCCCTTGTCCAGCTGTGGACGTCATTTGGCTGAAACGACGAAGGGACTATTGTTGCAGCACGCTTGGATCGAGAGGTGCTCGATCTAACCCGCTGCAACTCCTGTGTCATCCAGGATCTACAGCTTGACCGCCGATAAAAAAATCAACCAGTTTAAAGCCATCTATGAAATGTCGCAATTCATCAGTTTTTTCGTCATACTGCCCGACACCCCTCCCTCCAGACACTCCTCCACCTATTGTACCAGTCGCGTGCACATTCACTAGCAAGAAAAAGAGTGATTTTAGTAACCATCGATTTATAAGGATAATGGATGTTCAATTTCTATTCCTGAATTTGTAGCTGCTGAGGGGCAGTACTAAATGTCATAAAAAATAGTGCATCAGTGTGCTTTACCATGAGTTTACGTTAGGTGTTCTCGCTAGGCGACTGCGACCAAATTTATGAAGATTTTAGTTCTTGAAAATAGCCGCTAGGGGCGCTGTACAATTTGTCATTCATTTAATTATATTGCTGTCGCGACTGTGCGACGGGCGGCCGCAGTGAGTGTGCGAGCGCGACAGCAACATAGTTACGCGCGAGCGATAAAGATGGGTAGCTTGGGGTCATTGGACAAAATTCTACGTGCTCACAGACCAGACTATACAAGGGTGCGTCGTTCGCGGAGGGCGGTGGTCCAAGTGGCGCCTCGCGAGAGCCGCCCCCTCCCGCTGCCCGTGTAGACAGCTTAGTCAATCACTAATAAGTTCCGTTTGTTTCTCAGACTAGTGCAGCGGCGCAACAACGAGAAGTACCTGGGCTTCGGCGCGTGGGACTCGCGCTCGGGCCGGCGCGCCGCGCTGCAGGCCGCCGCCGCCGACGCCTCGCCGCACGCCACCGCCGCCGCCGAGGCCGACGAGCGCGACGCCTGGCTGCGCAAGGTGCAGGCGCGCGACCTCATCGACTTCGGCATGATCCCGGTCAGTCGCCCTCAAATCAAATCAAATTAGTTTATTGCAATGAGGGCTATCGTTTTTATACTTAACAGTTGGCACCCCTGGCGATTGACAGGACCTTACTCTACAGTGGCGCCATCTTGATGAGTGCAAATGCGATAGTCCTCCTCCTACCACTTTAGCGCTCACAAGTTGGCGCCACTGTCTTCGCTACTGGCAAGTGACAGGACCTTACTCTACAGTGGCGATAACTGGTGAGCGCTAAAACGATAGCCCTCATTGTAGGTACATATCATACACTGATGGATCTTAAATTTAAACGTAAAATTCTTCAGCTACAATTTGCCAAGCAGATGACGTACAATATACATATAAATGGTTACTTAATACTAAACCTGTTCATTTTATAATTTTACATGCAAACATTTTATGATCACATTTTTAAATTGTCCCTCTCGCTTACCGTCGCCTTGCGGCAGTCTCTGGACCCACGATCGACAGGCTGGGAACGTATATGATACANCAATGTCCGACGGAGGAGCTCCAGGCCACGGCCGACGTGGCAGAGACAGAGGAGTGGCTTGAGCCGTCAGAGTTCCTGGCAGCACTACAGGCCTGGCCTGGAGTGCCGTGGCGGCAGCGGCCTCCGAGGAGACCACGGCGAAGGTGTCCATACTGCACGTGGACGTATCCTCGGAGCAGACGCTTATTTAACATATACGAGGATTTGGAGCCCTATTAACTTTTTGCACTTTAGTTAAATTGTTAATAGGGCTCCATCTATTTTAATGAACTTACCAATGAACTTTGTAAATATTGTAAATAGTAGAATAGGTTATGTAAATAAATTTGTACAGAAACATTTTTTTTCTATGTGGTAACTCTTCCCTATATTGGTATTTATATATAAATAAATGTTATAGTATATTTTCTATAAATAATTAATTCCATTATCACAACTATGATAACTATTAATACTATTTTAAAAAGTATAAGTAGGTAAATGGTCACTCAATTGTGCAATAAGTTCCTGATTAAAAATCAAATAAAATATTGGTACTTACGTATCACGGAAGATTTCCGAAAGTTGGTTGTCAATGTCGTCGGCAGACATCGTAAAATCCACTACACAGGTAAAGATTTTACAATAAAATATGTTTTGCCGAAAAATAGGGATGCCGCTTTTTTATCACATATTTGTTGAACAAAAGGACCGCCGCTCTTTTGTTTGTTTTCGAACAAAGCATTTACTGTAGTATTTTTGCTTATCTCCAATTGAAAATAAAAAGAAATGCGCAGTGTTGCTGAAACCTATATTTTATATTTGTATACCTACCTATAATCCTATATTACTTTATTTATAGCATGATTTTTATAAATATTACACAAATTACATACATTGTTTTAGCGAAAACCTCTGGGTTCGGGAGTGAAACGTTTTAATAAGAGAAAGTTAAAAAAATACTACTTTGCTACGAATTTTGAGCTTATGATAATATATATTCGTAGCAATATATATTATCATAAGATCAAAAATAAATACCAATATAACTTGATAGTATTTAAACAAAGCCCCATAATCATTTAATTTTGATAATTTTTTTTAAATATTTGTGTTTGGAGTCATAGTAGGTATTTTACATTATTTTCATAAGCAAAAAGTTGCGCATTCAGGGATAAGAATATGCACAAAAGCTAGCCTACCGAAACTATTTTAAGCCGCGCCGTTCCTTATCATTTTCTTTTGTTCTATACAAAATCTTTATGACCTGCACGTGCAAACTTAATAATAGACGTTTTCTTGACCTTTAAGTTCAGTAAAATGCACAACTTATGTCGGAACAAAGGGGCCGCCGCGCTCGATCTTTTGACCTTTTTTCAACAATGCACTTATTGATTTCTCAGTAATTCTAGCCTCAAAATTGAAAATAAAAGGATCCTAAAATAATGTTATCTTCATTTCAAACTAAAAGAATATGCGCAAAAGCTAACCTACCAAAATTATAAGCCGCGCCGATTTTTATTATTTATGATTTTCCCTTGATCCATACAAACACTTGCCTTTAATTATACCTTCTTTATGACACTTATTATTTTTCATTAAACTTTATCAAAATAAAGATTCCACAGAGAGAAATTCTGGTTATTAATATCAAAACACAGACGTATGTGTTGTCCGCATAGGCGTTACGTCGGCAAAACACGCTTTGCGTGAGAAGCCGCATAGGCGTTACAACGGCAAAACGCGCTTTACGTGTGAGCCCGCACTGCCGTATGGAGAATTAAGAAAACACGTAAAACGTGTGCGGCCGCACAGGCGTTGCGATAAAAAAAACACACCCGTATGTGTTTTCAGCAGTGATCGTGTTAACAAATTTTGAGGTCTTCCGTCTTAGTCCCATGGCTGGTGATTCAGTCAGCAGGTAGCACCTGAGGGGAAAAAACATATGTATGAGAGTTTGTATGACTCAGAGCGCGTTTTTGTGACGCAGCCGTGACTCAACCGCGTGCTTGCGGTCGCGATCTAAAGAGACTTCTGTATGTGTGCTTTTTGACGCATTTTCGTATGTATTATTTGGTAGATAACAGTAATTGAAAGTCAATAAGAATGAACCAAATATTATGCAGCATAATATTATGATAATGAGTTAGTTATTTATCTAGACTCTACATTATGTACCTATTTGAAAAATGTATTGGTAAAAAGTTTTCTATTATGTATCTAAACTGTGTAGGTAGGTGTGTCGCGTTGGGATAGTCACAATCACTCAACTGTTATCTTATCAAATGTTAATGGGAGATAATTGCATTCGTAAAATAAATGATGATGAACTTTGACTCCACACGACGTTTTTTAGAAAAAGCTTTCTTAACTATCGTAACGCGGTTAGTCTAGGTACCTACAATCAGTAAATTAATTTCATTTGTACGCGAGAGTAGTAGCTCCAATAGTAATTAATTAAAACGAGTTATTAAAAATGTCCATTGCATTTTAAATACCAAAAATGTTAATGCATTGATATTATTTATTATAATATAGCTCCGTAAACCGTAAACTTATTGTCATATTTCATTGACTTCGGAGGTATTTCCAGAGACCGGAGATTTAAATGATTAATGGATTTTACGTTTCCTAACAAAACCTAGTTGCCTATGAAAGTTCATTTTACGCCACGGTATTCCCATACATCATGTTCGCGCGCAATACAAATGTAAACGTGTCTGTCTGTAACGCAGCGGAGATGCTGTAAATTACCTTTTGATACTAGTACTTATTACGTAAATAAGTTGCCGAGTTGGGTAACTAACTAACCACATAGTTTACAACCGATGACAGCTCGTTTAGGCCTAGCAAATAGTCCAGTCATTTAAGCTTAAATTAGGTAAGAATCTCGGAATTCAAGATACCCAGCTGTAAGTCTGTAAATACTTGTATATTGACACCCTAAAAGTTGTCTCAAAACCTACATATGGTAGGGTGTAAGCAACTATTAAATTTTAAGGTCAAAGGTCACAAAAATCGGNATTTTTGCTTATCTCCAATTGAAAATAAAAAGAACTTACATAATGTTTAAGCTTAACCCTAAATGCGCAGTGTTGCTGAAACCTATATTTTATATTTGGTATACCTATAATCCTATATTACTTTATTTATAGCATGATTTTTATAAATATTACACAAATTACATACATTGTTTTGGCGAAAACCTCTGGGTTCGGGAGTGAAACGTTTTAATAAGAGAAAGTTAAAAAAATACTACTTTGCTACGAATTTTGAGCTTATGATAATATATATTCGTAGCAATATATATTATCATAAGATCAAAAATAAATACCAATATAAATTAAATATTTGTGTTTGGAGTCATAGTATTTTACATTATTTTCATAAGCAAAAAGTTGCGCATTCAGGGATAAGAATAGGTATGCACAAAAGCTAGCCTACCGAAACTATTTTAAGCCGCGCCGTTCCTTATCATTTTCTTTTGTTCTATACAAAATCTTTATGACTTGCACGTGCAAACTTAATAATAGACGTTTTCTTGACCTTTAAGTTCAGTAAAATGCACAACTTATGTCGGAACAAAGGGGCCGCCGCGCTCGATCTTTTGACCTTTTTTCAACAATGCACTTATTGATTTCTCAGTAATTCTAGCCTCAAAATTGAAAATAAAAGGATCCTAAAATAATGTTATCTTTATTTCAAACTAAAAGAATATGCGCAAAAGCTAACCTACCAAAATTATAAGCCGCGCCGATTTTAATTATTTATGATTTTCCCTTGATCCATACAAACACTTGCCTTTAATTATACCTTCTTTATGACACTTATTATTTTTCATTAAACTTTATCAAAATAAAGATTCCACAGAGATAAATTCTACTTATTATATCAAAACACAGACGTTGTGTTGTCCGCATAGGCGTTACGTCGGCAAAACACGCTTTGCGTGTGAAGCCGCATAGGCGTTACAACGGCAAAACGCGCTTTACGTGTGAGCCCGCACTGCCGTATGGAGAATTAAGAAAACACGTAAAACGTGTGCGGCCGCACAGGCGTTGCGATCAAAAAAACACACCCGTATGTGTTTTCAGCAGTGATCGTGTTAACAAGCCTCTTATTAAATAATTTCGATATGAGAACTCACAATACTGCTTCTCTCATTTAAATTTAATTAAATAATTAAACTTTAGGAAGAAAAAAAAAATTACAAACAAGCAAGTTTCTGAACGTCACCTGCGTGTTTCGTTTCACTCAGAATATGTCAAATTTCTAGAACGTTCCGAATCCATGATCGATCAAGATACATTACAATGTTATTTTAATATAAACATTGAGGAAAATACTGTAAATAGCTAGAATTTAAATTAAAGAGCCTAAATATTAAGTTTTATAAAAATTTAGTATTGAACATTTAATTTTGTTATACACTTTTTTTTACTAAAAGAATGAAACGCAACGCATTGATCTGTCAAACGGAGACATTCAAAAAGTGAGGTTATTTATTGCTCTGTGTACCAAAACAATGTAATTAATTTTAATAGAAGTTAGTCAAAACTCAGTGAATCACTTACAATGACACAATCAAGTGGCAAAGGAAATACTGTACACTTTGTAATATGTGACCTTACGGTCCGTTGGAATGTTTGTTTGTGGAAATCGGTAAGTATTCAATCTCGCCAAGAAAAAAAAGTGTTACAATGGCGTTTCTTGGCAGGGATTGATATTTTCAACCTTTTACTCTTTCTGAATAGGCATCTGTTAAAGTGGAAATAACAGCCTTTGATTTCGATTCCTCTAAAAACTTTACCTACTGCTTTCATAGCAGCCTTTTCAGGTGGGTTGGTTTCCCCGTAATACGACGTACTGACTGCACGAATGCTCGCTGTGTATCATGTTACATTACACCTCGTAACGTTGGTCAGTACCCACCTTTCGAAATCCATCGTAACTTTTAACGGCCTCCAATCTTTAAAAATCGATTCGATAAGTCGGAAAAGGACTTCATAAGTTTGCTGCTTCTTATCTGGGAGTAGACAATATATTAATGGTGTTACTGATCTATGTTCTTCATTATAACCGTGTATTGAGTATAATTGTTTAAAAACTTTTGGACAGGACTTGAACGTCCCATCGCATAATATATGTTTGAAGTTTTTTACTAAGTGCCGGACATTTTTGTTACAGAATATAAGAATACGTTTATCACCTTCTTCATTGATGTAGTCCGCTAAAAGGAATTTTTCTTCAAACTTTTTTGGCACTACTACAGCACATGAAGTTGGAAATCACAATTTAGGTACACCCAAGACTTTATTCCGATTATTAACTAATCCTGTTTTCTTATTTTCATATGAAGGAATGTCAGCCATCAAATGTATTCCTTCACATTCTAATTTATACACCATCTCGTCGTACTGTTTTTGTATGGACTCAAAATTAGATCCTGTTGCGTCTTTTAGATTATCGAGTTGCTTCAAAACTAAATTTTGTTAATTGTTTGCCATACACTCAAAATGTGGATTACATTTTACGACTTCGTTTTTTTCATTCAATGTTATACTGCCATGGCACCCTCGGTTATAATTGCTACAAAGCCAGAACGAGTTACCGTTTTCATATTTTTTTTTTCTGTGATATTTGTGTCCCTCATGTAGGACGGCAACTCCTCCTTTTTTCGTTGATATGAATTCCACATCTCTTAATTCCATTGTAAATAATTTATATTAATGAATCCGAGCAATAATACATAAGCCAAACTACAAAATTATCTGTTGACATATAATCAATGTCAAGTGCATCATAGGTAATTAACTGATAGATGACGTCTTCTAAAACGATAACTGGCCAGACATACAAAAGAGGTTGATAAGTAATTCAGTTACGTAGAAGTATAAAAAAAGACTTTTAGGAAACCAGTTACGTAAAAGTATAAAAAAAGCCTTTTAGGAAACCAGTTACGTAGAAGTATAAAAAAAGGCTTTTTCGGTTTCCTTAACGGCTGAAGGGAAATTTTTTGGGAACAATCCAGATGGGAGAGCTCCACGGTAACGAAGAGGGCTCGATAATATTCTGGTACAGCATTTGGGTAATTTGTGACTCTACTTCCTGTTTGTGGCACTCTGGGAACCTGTAGGATTTAGTATGAACGGGTTCGTCGACTGTGGTTTTGATTTTATGATCGAAAGCGGTGGTGAAGGTTAGCTGATCCCCTGGAATATCTGAATACTGGGAGCAGAGATCTATAAGAGCATCTCTCTCTTCATGGTTCAAGTGATTAGATTTGCTCTGATTGAATTAATTACTTCTTCTGTTCTTTAGATGTCGTTTGCATACTTGTATTGACTGGATACGCAGAGGCATGAAGAGGTTTGACATTATTTTATTGGTTGCTCTGAAATATTGGCGACCGTTATGTTGATTTTATCATTTTCTTTGACCTTTACTAGGCAGTTTGATACTAGTAGGTTCTCGGACATATGCTGATCTAGGATGACACCTTCTTTAAGATCATGATTAGAAACTGAACACTGTATGAGCGTACTGGAATGGTGTAATAAGGATCTATGAAAAAAAAAATTTGATAATATTTTATGTTTTCCAAGCTTCAGAACTTCGCGCGTGAAGTCGATGCTGCCATTGAATTGGTTAAGGAGGTCGTTACCCACTATGCCGTCGTAGGGGAAATCAATGTCTCCCACTTCGTGGAACTTGTGTTTGACGAAAATTTTGGATTTGTCTTTTAGGTATAATGCTAAATTGAGTGAGCCCAACGTTGGGACGTATTCGTCAGCAGAGTTAAAGCTTTTAGATTTGAGCTTTTCCTCGTTCAGCGGAGTTTGGGGTTTGTGTGTCGATTAAAAGCGACAGTGGCATTTCGGAAACGGCTGTGTTAATTACAACGTGTGGTAACGATTTGATTGAGGGATCAAATGATATTTCGTATATTTGTTTTTTTCAGCTAGTGGAGTCGTCAGGGAAGGCCTGCGCTTGGGTGTAATAGATTTTGTATTGGGTACAGTGATTGAATTTGATGCAGTGGATACAGTGGTTGCCTTTAGTTTGGCGGATACAGTGGTCGCCTTTGGTTCGGCGGATACAGTGGTTGCCTTTGGTTTGGCGGATACAGTGGTCGCCTTTGGTTCGGCGGATACAGTGGTTGCCTTTGGTTCGGCAGATACAGTGGATACAGTGGTTGCCTTTGGTTTGGCGGATACAGTGGTTGCCTTTCGTTTGGCGGATACAGTGGTTGCCTTTGGTTCGGCGGATACAGTGGATGCAGTAGGTGCCTTTTCATTTGGAAATAGGATTGGTTTGCGTTTTGGACTTGCGGGACACCGCCGGGAGTCCATTACTCGTTTAAATTTTCTGAGGGATTGAAGTCAACTTCGTCATGACCTGCGTCGTCCTCCTGTTTGTTGAGGATTTGGGGTGTTGACTGGAGGCCTTTGACCCCTCATTCTGTTATTATGTTCCCATTTCCGAGAGACGTCGATAGTGTGCCCAGGGGCTTTGCAGTACCGACCAGGGTTGCCAACTCTACGTATTTTTACGTAGATCTACGTATTTTAAGCCTTCCTTGCAAACCTACGAACTTTAGTCCCAGAATCTACGTATTTTCTATCAAATTTGCAAAATAGGCTGAATGGGCATCGTTTCCTTTACTTTCGCGAAAAAGTTCGATCATGGTTCCGATCACGGTTATTTGGCATGTGGCAAAAGTCGGAACTAATGTTATTTTGACATTTCCCCATAGAAAAAATGCTGTACAGCGCCCCCCTGTAAATGTCACTGACGCTATAAAAATATTTCGAACTAAGATTGTGCTAAGATTTCGAAGGTGTTGTTGTATTTCGATATTTTTCAACTTCCTTCCTTCTTTCCAACAAATATAATTATGTATAAATTTAGTTTGTCTGAAAATGATACACAATAAAAGTGTACTTTACTACTTTTAGGGTAATATAAATTGTCGTTTTATTACTTTTACCTACCCCTACTCTCTTCATTTCACTCAGAAAAAAAAGTACGTAGATCTACGTATTTTCTATATGGAAATTGTACCATTTCTACGTAATTTTCTAATCTGTCCTACGACTTTTTCAAAATCCGAGTTGGCAACACTGGTACCGACATACGCTCTTTGGTCGGGTACAGGTTTTTTATTATCCTTTCTTCGGATACGGCGAGATTTACAGCTTCGTTAAGAGTTGACGATGAGCACACCTCACTATGTTGGATATACGGGGATGTAATCCCCAGCGTTGCCAGAATGTTACTTTTGTAACATTTTACGTTACTTTTGGCCCTCCAATGTTACTTCCATATTACACCACACTCAGTGTTACTTTTATGTTACTTTTGAGTATTTCGAACAAAATCGTGTATCGGAACGCACCTATGAATATAATTTTAAGTCATGTTGGCACGCTTGGTAGAAAACAACATGGCGTTATTGGACAGACTGACCCTGGACTGACCAACCAATACGATTGTTTGTCAAATCTACTTATTCATTCACTCGTGTGTATTTCTCAATCTTTCATCCCGCTTACGTGTGCGAGCGTCGGATGTTTGTTTGTGGATGTAAGAGAGACGACCGGACGACCGCTCTGGCTCTGCGCTCTCGACGCTCGCTCGCTCGGTCGGTTCGGCGTTTGATTTGTTTATTTATTAAACATAAACAACATGCTGCCGCTATCAGCAAAACAACATCCATACAAGAAGTGCTTAGACCAAAAAAGGAAGAAAAAGAGCTCAAGAAAAGAGCTGAATTCAAACTAATGTTATTTTCTCGCTGAGCATAATTTACCTTTAATGTTGTCCGATCATTTAATTCCGTTCCTAGCTACAACATTTCCTGATTCTCTCCTTCTTTGGAAAGGGAGACTCTCGTTCTCCCAACTCATCGCCAACAAAGCTGCTCGGGTAGGCATAAAAAGCTACGAGTTGTGCGAGTCCCGAACAGGATATCTGTGGAAGATGGAGGTTTACGCAGGGAAGAGCCGCGATACATCAGAAAGTGTAGACCAGGAAAGGGGGATGAACGAACCTGAGGGGGCCACGTCCCAAACAGTGTATAGTCTTGTTCGTCCTCTATTAGATAAAGGCTACACTTTACTGATGGACAACTTTTACAACTCGCCTCTTCTGTCAAGAACCCTCAAATTGCGTAAAACAGATACCGTCGGGACTCTTCGACTCAATCGGCAATTTTTACCGGACAGCCTTCGTAGTAAAACAAAGATTAATATGCGCACGGGGGAGGTTGCCAGCAGCCAAACCCAGGATCTAACAATTGTAGTGTGGAAACATGCGAATTTGGTTTCACTGATTTCCACTTACCATAAAGTGAAAATCGGTGGAAAAGAAACATTTTTCAATGCTAGCGTGGAAAGAATTTTCAGCCAGCTTAAATTAATAAAATGCGTAAACCGGAATAGACTGAGCACTGAAACTATTTCTTCTTTGATGGCAACAAAAGCCAACATACAAAACGCCATAAAATTTGAGCATTCTAAAAGAATGATGCATGCAAAAGTAGCATACAGCAAGACTGGTGAAGGTGTTAACTGTTATTCATTCTTAAAATGGTTGGTTGGTATATTTATTTATTTATTTATTTAGGTACAGCAACAGAATACAAATTAGTTTTTACAAATAATTTAGACAATAATAATAATAAATAATAATATAAATCTTTGGACAATTTCACACAGCGCCAGTTAGCCCCAAAGTAAGCAACTCAATGCTTGTGTTATGGGTGCTAGCTTAACGGATATACTACTTATATACTTTTTTTTTTTTAATTAAATACATACATATTATACATATTTACACCCAGACCCGTCACAGAAATTAAAATTCATCATTTCAATTTCTGCCCGGCCGGGAATCGAACCCGGGACCTCTCGGCATAGTAGTCCGTTCTGAACCACTACACCAAACGGCCGACATTATACAATAAAAAGGTACATCAAATAATTTTTAATTTATTTAATTAAACACACGTTTTTGACTTTATTTATTTTTCTAGCATCACCAGTCGATTATTCGATCAAAAACAATAATTAGCCACGAGATTAGCTACACTTACGACTGAAAATACAAGTCATGTATTCATTGATGACAAAGCAGGTTGGTATTGAACGACATTTCTAAACTATGAATAACTATATCATTTAGATACAAATAACTGACTGTTACACTTTTATTTTCAGCATCGCCAGTCGATTGTTCTATCAACAATAATTACGAATTGTTAAGTTTAATAAAGGGGCGGAAACTTTTTATAGTTTTTATTTATATTCATTGATGACAAAGCAGGTTGGTATTGAACGACATTCATAAATTGATCGGTACTTTACAGTACTTTACTTTCATTGACGGCTTGCTTAATACACGGCTAAATAGCCACTTTGAACCGCGTAATAGTCAGTTTGGATTTCGGCCAGGGTTGTCAACGGAAAGCGCGGTGTTATGTATTAAGCATACAGTCACATACTACACGGAGCGCAAAACTCCCGTATACGCATGCTTTTTAGATCTTTCTAAGGCATTTGACCTGGTCTCATACGACAAATTATGGAAAAAACTTGAAAAAGCACACCTACCGGTTAGAGGTGGGCGCCACGCCGGCGCNTCACCAATATTCTTCCTTTATTCAACATAAAAATAGCTTAATATAATAAAACAACATCTTCTTTAAAATATTTACTTTGAAACGATATTTAATTCATTGTTATTGTTTTGCTATAAACATTTGAAAACTATTAAAAAACGCCGCGCGCGAATCATTTCCAATGATGCCCCTTGAAACGCCGCGCTTCGCGTAAACGCTCTTAAGTTACGCGGATGATATGGTGCTGCTGAGCGCATCTGTGTGTGGTCTGAGAAAATTGGTGGCCAAATGTGAGGAGTATGCGGGGACCCATGGTCTACTTTATAATGTTTTAAAGAGCCAACTCATGGTCTTTGAGGCCAGGGGTAGACGTCATGATGTATTACCACCGGTCTTCCTTAATAACTCTGAACTGAAGAGAGTGCATAAATTTAAATATCTTGGTCACGTATTGACCCCTGGCCTCAAGGATGATGAGGATATAGAAAGAGAACGGCGGGCATTGTCGGTGAGAGCGAACATGCTGGCTCGCAGGTTTGCGCGCTGTACAGCGGATGTCAAGATTGCTCTTTTTAGAGCATATTGTACCTCCTTCTACACGTGTAGCCTGTGGGTTCGATACACTCAAAAAACCTACAATGCCCTAAGGGTGCAGTACAATAATGCATTCAGGGTGCTGTTGGGACTGCCCCGCTTCTGCAGTGCGTCAGGGATGTTTGCAGAGGCACGGGTCAACTGCTTTTTTACGACAATGCGCAAAAAATGTGCATTCCTGGTGCGCAGGGTCCGGAGTGGTGGCAACAGCATCCTGACCATGATTGTGTGTACGTGAGGCATTGCTGTGACACAGCCTATGGAGTGAAGCGGGGATGACTCATGTATGCATAACCTCACACTTAATTGTGGGTTTGGAATTGGAATCAGTATCATAATTTATTATGATACTTTTTTGAATTCTAAATCTTAATCTAAATTCTGACACCACTATAGTATTGAATTAAGAGATTAAGAATAATACGCTAGGTGTGCTCATCGCCTGTACAGGGAATTAGCCAAGCGGCTGATTGACTGTACAGGTGATAGAAGAGCTGGCGCATTTCTTGGCCAACGAATCAGTTTGGCCATTCAGCGTGGAAATGCAGCCAGCATTCTGGGCACCATGTCGCATTGTTTGGACAGCGATTTGGGACATATTTTTTATTTGTAAATATTTAGCCTAATCTAAATTCAATTTATTTAATTTCTTATTTTACATCTGTTTTAACTAACATAGTTTTTAAGTGCAATTGTTACTAACAAACTGAGTCCTGGCTACTTGAATAAAGAATCATTTATTATTATTATTTTTCGTAATTTTGTTTATCTCAGCACGTTACAAAATACCTAACTGACTGTTACCTTTTTTCTTTTCAGCGTCAACAGTCGATTATGCGATCAACGACACAATTATTACAAATTTTTATTAAATACAAATTTTTACTTTTAATAAGAGAGTCAAGGAACGTATTTTATTTTCATTTAAATTAAATGCCATTATAACGTATTTTGCCAGTTTCCACAAAAAAAGGCAGTGTGTTTTATTTTCATTAAAAAAAATACCATTATTTACGTATTTTGCCAGTTTCCACAAAAAAAGGCAATGTTACTTTTTCTGACAAAATGTTACTTTTTGATCTGTCTCGTGTAACTTTTGACTATCGGCCACTGGCAACACTGGTAATCCCATTAAGAAGTGGTGGAGAGCGAGATCCTCCATAGCGGCTGTTCTACCGGGAATTTCTTTAATTTTGGTTTGTGATAATGATATCTCGGTCAGGAGTTGGGACAGGCAGGTCTGCACCCGGAGCGCGTACTGGCTGACGTTGGCTGAACTGGCTGGTGTTCATGAGCAGGTGTGCGTAATATTTACGCTCGCTGAATTGTGTTTTTAGAAATTCCTCGAATTGTCCCCAAATTGTTCCAATTGTATGTGTTAATAAACACAATTTTGAATTCACCAAGTGTTTCCATAAACATTTGTTTTGGTCCATCGAGCTTCTCAACTTTTTATAAAAGTGAAGAGGACAGTGAAGTGTAACCTAACGCACGTGTATTTTCGTGTGAATAAACTGAAAATTGGATTTACGCTATCGTCGGAGTTGGTGATATTCATGTAAGTTGTTGGCGACGTCGACCAAGAAAATACGCTAATTTATTAATTAGAATTGATTAGCAACGTTAACAGTCAGAATTTTCTGACTGTTAACGTTGCTAATATAACGTACTAAAATAATAAATTAGAGTCGATTAGATAAATAACATTCCATCTCTTTCTCACATTATCTGTCATCTCGCTTGCACATTAATTACTCTTCCACACACTTCTGGAATATTCGAGAGAAAAAGAAACAGGACGGCAAAACATCGGACCTCTCGCTTCGAACATTCCAGAACATGAGAGACAGAGACAGGAATATCGGGAGAGAAAGGGATGGATATAGCCCGGGGCCCTATAAATACAGAGCGAGGCGCTCCGGGAGATAGTTAAGTTTGAGTTAAGTTTAATTGTAAGTTTAGTTCAGAGAAAAAGTGCTCCAAGCAACAAGTGATCTAAAAAAGCAAAAACTGAGAAAAGGAAGCGAATAATAAACGCGAGAACTCTCAGCAAGTGGAATAGTGGTTTTATTCCTGCAAGTAGCACCTACTACGCCTGACATAGTAAGGGCAAGCTCTCAACGGCAGTCATAATCGTCCAGTCTGCGCTCTCGAACACACAAACATACAGTCCACTGCAGTTCACCACAAAAGTGAACATTGGTTGGTGAAAATCTGACTCAGTGCTGCTCAGTGCCATCATCAATCTGCCGAGATCTAACCATCATAATCGTGAAATTACGACATGGAGTTGGTGTGTTTCTAATTTACTCACTAGTTTACTCATAAAACTGGACGTTGGTGATCATCAGTGACAGCCTGAGTGCCGTCATCAATCTACCGGGTGCTGATAGTCATCATATCAAAAAAATCAAGTACCAAACCGAGACCGACACCAAACATTCTCCTACTGACCCAGCCTGCCCAAGACTGCGCGCGATGCGCAATAGAATTATAAGCAAGATCGACCACGGAACGCAATAGCGGTAATCACGACCTTCGTATTATGCAGATCAACCTGGATAGGAATATTGTCATATCTATCTTTGATCAATTTTAATGCTTTCTGATAGTTGTCACCAGTTAAAGTCAGGTTTTTGACAACATCCAAAGCTTCCCCTACCAAAAATGAGCGTAAATAGTATAGTTTTTCGCACGGAATCAAACTTCGGTTACTATCACCGACATGAACATGTTCACAAAATTCACAAATGAATAATAATCCACAATATTGAACCATTAAAAGGTTTGATATATTTTATTGGTGGAAGACGTTGATTGTACTCACCTTTTTCTTTTTGAATTCCATTATTTTGGTGGTTCAATCTGGCGTCCAACAACTCCATGCATTCATAATAGATATCCTCAACCTTGCCAACGTCCTCACTGTCATCGGCATTGGTATTCAGTATTCAGGATACTTTTATTTAACAGCTCCAAACGCTCTCTTTTTATGCGGAGAGCGTCGACACTTGCGGACTTGATAGAATTTATTTATTTAATTAAAATCTTTATTGCACACATAAAAAACAGTGGTACAACAGGCGAGCTTAATGCCATGTGGCATTATCTTCCACCTTCCGAAAAACAAAAGTGTTTTAAACGTGTGATTGATGCCTTCACGTACACCCTTTCTGTTATCTTTTCGACCATGGCTTGGAATTTGAACCACGACTTTATACTTACTAAAATTTTATCTAAAATTTTGAAAAACAAATTCCTAACGACAAGTTACTCACAATGAAATGAATGAAAGACAGATGACAGGACGCTAACTAAAAACGCGGGAAGGAACGGAACGAATGAAAGATGACCCTTCACCCTTGTGCACTCAGTGGCGAAAAAGATTAAGTCCATCGCCATCAACAAAGGAAGAAGGAAAAGAATGATGACCTCCGGAACGTAGATAGAGAATAGAGGTAGATGGGTCATTAGCGTACACCTGAGTGAGATAGCAATATAGGGTCCTTCTAAATCAGCTACGTTCCGTTTAATGGGAGCATGTATACGTCACACTGAATACGTTCCCAAAGTTTGAGCCAAAAATTCAGGCTAGTTTCCGAGATAATTAAGGAAACAACTTCATTTCTTATCAACCCAATACAACACCCTGTTCAGCTGATTCACTACTACACTGACAAAAATCCGCACGCACACGAGCTTACGTAATGGCCGCCATTGCGCTTGTGCTGCCGTTGGATGTCGCAGGCAAATTGTATGATTCCGCATTTTACAAAAGGCGTCGTCAGTTCACAAACGCTCGCTGCTCTATGAAATGCCGAAGGCAAAATGTAAATTGCCTGGGCACTTTATAATATGCCTAAACATTTGATAGCCAATTCAATTGCTGTTTACAAAATGCCGCGGCAAATTGAAGTATTTAGTTCAATTTCTTACCACGCGAGGCGCTGCTAATCAAAACAAGAAAAATGGCGTCGAGTCGTGGTGTTGTGATACAGAAAACAGTGCAAATTCTACGTATTCAAAGGACTTTTCACAAAAAAAGACATTTATTATACTTAGTGAATTAAAAATATTTTACGATTCACAAATAGGAGCAGTGAAAAAGCTATGGAAAAATGAAATAGTTTTTGAGGTTATCCGGCACGTAAAAAACCGTAGATAGAGAATAGAGGTAGATGGGTCATTAGCGTACACCTGAGTGAGATAGCAATATATCTACATACCATATCTATAGCTACAACAATAGACTTAGTATTGGCTACGTTAAAAATTACCCTGATTTTAGGGGTAAATAGGTGAGGAATATTTTTTTAATTAATTAGAAAGCTACGCTCACCCTGATGCTACTTTAACCTCCTGGGGCCCGGGAATTATTTTTATCGTGAATTCATATGAAAACCATCCAAATATTATTAATAATTGGTATAATTATCTTAAAAAATAAAATAAAAAATTTTATCTGGAAAACGGCAATTTTCTCAATGTCATATATTTACGACATCGGTTCCCAATGTCAACGACTTTTTTATTTCATGTACAGGATGTCCCGTAATAAATTGCACAAAAGTAATTCCTAGTTAAGTTTCTTGACTATCTACAACGAATTTGAATCGATTTTTGAAATATATTGAGATGCCAAAATTTTTTTTACATATTTTTAATTTTTTTTCTGTCTGTACTTACCTTTTTCTATGCAGTGGATGCAAATATTGATATTTTTTAAGTACCTTTTCATTTAAATGTAGCGAGATAGATTCTTTATCAAGTTTTATGTCATTTTTGGGCAATAACATTGCATCTCTATTTTTTTTTAAATAGTATTTCAAAATTTTATTGCATTTCATTTGGATGACTCAAATTAAAAAATCCTCGTGATAAAAAAATGCATCACACCAACGTGTAATTAACATTAAGTGATGTAGATAAGGTCAATAGAAATAAAAAAAAATAAAAAACAATTTGATTAAGTGCCTAATGAAATCATTTTAATTTCATTAAAAAAATCTAAGTGACTTGAGGTGTTGATAATACTTCTGGGCCGACTTTACCAGTAAAATCGAGTTTTGAGTGTTCTAATATGTTATATTCGCATATATCTACCTAAACAAATAAGAAAATAATCTCAGATTGTATGCTATTTAATAAAAAATGTATAATGTCATACAGGTATTACACTGGGCTCTGTCAGTTTACACTAGTAATTGGGACCTCATGTAATACCTGTATGACATTCAGATTTCACCATGGTTTTCGTAGTTTTGATACGTATTTCCACAACCAGTGATACTCAGATAATAAAACAGTTCAAATCCCAAAACTAATAATAACAAAGGCTTATAGAAATCGTTTATATTTAAGTAAAAATTTCATTATTACTAACCACTTGTTCCCGGTCGCGGCGCCGTCGCTAGTTCAATCAAAGATAAAAAAATATAAATGTCACTTCACTAGCAAATCACAGCTAAGAATGATGGACAGATGCACCATCTAACTAACTAACGTAAAAGTTCTGGTAAATTTCAACAGATAGCGCTGATTTATATTTTTTTGTTTTATGTAATAAATATATGACGCCAGGCCCCAGGAGGTTACATTAGTCAGTAATTACTTAGGAATATTTTATAATATCATACATGTATAGTTATTATGCAAATGTTACGTTATATATTATATACGTTACGTTACATATTATAATGTTGTCTAAAATAAAAATATAAAGGACTGGCCGTCTCGAAATCCGAGGAACGCGGGTTCGAACCCCGCCGGCGCCGCTCGACTATTGTGGTGAGCCCACTCGTAACACAAGCATATTATTATTTAGCTTACCTCGAGGGGCTAACGGGACTATACTAATAATCTTTTAAGAACTATTTGTAAGAACTATTTATTAGTCTAAACAAATAAAGAAATTTTGACTTTAGACTAAAAAAAAAAATTGCGTCATCACTACAGTTTAAAACAAAGTCGCTTCCCGCTGTCTGTCCATCTGTCTGTCCCTAGCTACCTATATAATATGCTCCCGGCCCTCACTTCCCTCTCTCTCCCGGCCCTTACTTGCCTCTCCGTCCCGGCCCTCACTTCCCTACATACATACACTTACATACACACAAAAATACAAAAATTAAAAACTTTCCTCTTAATAATATTAGTATAGATTATTAGTATAAACATAGATTATTAGTATAGAATAGACAAACATACCAAAGACTCAAATGCTTGTATCTCTATTTCCAAAGGTTTTTTGGATGAACCTGGTTGATCATGTTGAGGTACAGTCTATGGAAAACACAGGTAAAATGAACATCAAGTTGAAAATTATAATTATACAAATAAATACAAAATTAGTTTTTATTATTATACTAGCTGACCCGGCGAACTTCGTACCGCCTTAGCGTAGAGATTTTCTTGCATGTTTTTAATACATATCCTGCGATGTACTCTTAAGAGTTAAAACCATGGTCCCTGTATGTGGTGCACTCATACCGATCCCAAGGAACCGTACTTACTCATAACAATAAGACACACACTGATGCATGTATTCATGCACTTGACAAATTTATGTCTTGAAACGCTGGTAGGGTAACAAAAATAACGAGATTTGACGATTTGTAAGAATCAATTTATTTTAAAAAGGTAAATAAAGATGTTTTTTGTTTTGTATTTAACAATTTATCGGAATTAATTAATTTTCGATCGAGTCACACGATATCATTCGATGACTTTTCAAATGCAGTACGATGATACGATTACTTTTACGTTGCGGCAATCACTAAAATTCGCTAAAATGACACTAATGACGTTTAAAAAGTGGCACGCTCGGCTTCATACAATTTTTGACACATGCTGCATCTATCCATATCTGTGCACAAAACCCTACGAAATTGACATTTTGTTTCATCTAACGTTTTGACCAATAAACGGCGGCATAAAATCGTAGATATTGGATTTTATTGGTGTTTAGTTTATGTGGCACATCTTCTTCTCTTCGACTTTCAAAGCGAGATAGATCTCTACACCAATGCGAGTTTGACCGAGAAAGAATGATCGATAAAGGCACGTTACAAAACAACTCTTCAGTCTCAAAACCCGACTTAAACTCGAGAATACATTCTGCGTGATTGAATCCATTTTATGGACGAGACGGGTGTAAACTCGTTTCGTTCGTTCGTTTTCAGCCAAATGACGTCCACTGCTGGACAAAGGCCTCCCCCAAGGTTTTCCACAATGAACGGTCCTGCGCTGCCCGCATCCAGGCTCTTCCCGCGTAATGTAATGGAAATAGTATGGGCCGCACTGTACATGTAATGCTCGTAATGCCGTCTACATTATTACATGGTGGATTACATTACACCCGTTTGGACCTGGCTTAATATTCTTTCAAAGTCGTTTTCTACCAAGGCAGAACTGAATAAGTAGGCTGCAGAGCCCCGATTACGGTAACTTTTAACGTCTACACTAAGCGTCTACAATCCAGACGCGATTCATCGATTCTGCGATACGATTGGTCAAAACAGCTGACGTAAGCTGTTTACGCTGGCGTATATCAGCTGTTTTGACCAATCGTATCGCAGAATCAGAAGCGCGTCTGGATTGGAGACGTTAAAAATTACCGTAATCGGGGCTCAGACTCAGGCAGGGTTACAGCATTTGTCAGCAGCGGAGGCAACGCGGCGCGGAGCGGAGCCACGGGAGGAGCTGAGCCTGAAAGGAGAAAAGGAAATAATTAAATCTGATTGGTTATTCAAAACACTTCTTCGCTCCGCTCCGCCTTGGTGAAACCCTTGATAGATTTTAAATAACCAATCAGATTTCAGTTTCAGTCAGTTCCACATCTCTCCATTCAGTGGAAATGGATCGAGAGGACAGGATTACTTCTCCACTTTAGTGGAAACCGGGCTTTAGGCTAAACTTGTGATTTGACTTTTGACTCTGACATCAATTTATTATCCACCAAGAACGTAAACATTTACGGGATTACGCACAAATATGGATTAGAAGATTGCGTTAAGCCAACATTTTTTGTAGACAATTTAGTTGAATGTTGAAATGTTTTTGTTGATTGTGTAGGGCAAAACACGCGTGGAGACCCGGCTTTAAGTTATCAACATCATTTCAGTCATAGGCCGTCCACAACTGAACACAGAGGCCTCCTCCAATGAATGATTTCCTTCCATAATGACCGGCTGGTACATTACATTTAAACAGTTACAAAAATTGCCAGTTTCTATTGGCGCGATTAAATAGGTACCTATCACAGCCTGTACATGGTTCGAAGGCAATAAATTCATTTTTTATTTATATTTATTAACAAGATCAAGTGAATGGAGGTTTTGTTTTAACTTTTAACCATAGTTTTAACTAACATTTTTATCTTTTGTTTGATGTACAAGAGGATTAACTTTAATTTGGTATGGATTGTAAATGCTTAGGATAGGTATAAAGCTTGTGGGATTAAGTAAATTGGACCTTGGTCCCCGAGCACAACACCCGCTCGGAAGGAAGCACTAACATCTAGCCTAAGCATCTAGCTTCCTTATTGTGGTTGAGCTGGTACCTATATTAAATACCTATTGAGGAAAAAAGGAAAGACATTTAAATGAATTTGCATGATTTATTAAAAAACAAAAAGGTGTAAGTATCGTCACAAATAATTTTATTAACAATAAAATCAATTTTAGCGCTCTTTTCATCAGTAAAAAAGGACGCGGACGCTTGTATTTTCTTTCTCGTTCTTGCATCACTGCAGCCATCCACCACAGAATTAACGCCATCTGTTTCTTTAAAAAGTAACTTTTTTAAGATTACTCTAAACTAAGTTCAAAATTAAAAAGGAATTGGACAATTTAATGCAATTTTTTTAGATTGATAATAAATCGTATCTCATGAGTTTTTTTTAACCACTTTATCAACCCATTTAATAAAATTGTCTTTGTAGTTTCATAGGAAACATGTATGAAATTATTACTCAAAGTATTTCTTAGCGTCTATACTCATTAAGTTGCCATTTCAAAAAAATACGAATTTTTGGAATAAACCTTTTTATTTCTAATAATTGCATCTTTTTGCGAATCTAAAATAATTACAAAGGTTTTAAATATTATTTACTGTCTTCAAATAAGTGAAACATAATATTATAATGGACTAAAAGGTATTTGTGATAAAAGTGAATGCTTGAGTACAGACGTTTAGTAATATTCCTGTTACACACAATGTCTGGTTTGTCAGATTATTGATGCGGTGGTTTGAATCACGTTTGAATTTTAGTGCGGAGCTTCGCATTTCCCTATTATTTAATGTCCGTAACCGTGTTATTATTTAAATGAATTTGTGTGTTGTGTAGTTTAGTAGGTAACGAAGTGCTATCTAGTGCGTAATCATGGTTTTGGCCGAGAGGAGTAATGATGTTCGGAACGGGAAGCGGTCAAGGGGGCCAAGCCCCAATGGCCATGGAAGTCCAGACTCCAGTTCTGAGGATGAGAATGGTATGCAGATTTTTTTATCCGTATCAGCATTGAGAGATAGTCAATTTCAAAGTAGATGGTTTTAGCTGACTCAGTCAAATCCATATGATACGAGTTTCGTCACTAAATCCAGGTGCTTTAGAAAAAGACCAGAAAGATAGGGTGCTTTTGTGTTACTAATATCGTTAAGCCTGGGGTAATTTGTTCATACCAGCCATCTCACATGCTTATTTTTGTGCTTTTCATCATCCGCCTTCATGCTGCGCTCATCTCATCACCGCCAATGTAACTCGCCACCAAGCAGTAGTACCCTTTGCAGCCGAGAAGATTAGAGTGGGTAGGGACTACCAGGCCGTCTGCCCTGAGCTGGAGCCGGTAGAGCAGAGGAGGCCTGAGTTGATATCAGACCGGGCTCTGCTGGTGTGGTCTCCTACTGCTGATATTTCAGACAACAAATGTAAGTAATCTATTGCCACTAAATAATATACATTTTTCATTGATTACCTGATCATCTGATAATCTGACATTGTAATATTGTTTTAGTGGATGAGTACATAACAACTGCTAAGGAAAAATATGGTTACAATGGTGAACAGGCTCTTGGTATGTTATTTTGGCACAAACATGACCTCAACCGAGCATCTATGGACCTGGCAAATTTCACTCCATTCCCCGATGAGTGGACAGTTGAAGATAAGGTGCTCTTTGAACAGGCCTTTCAGTTCCATGGGAAGAGCTTTCACAGGATACGGCAAATGGTAAATTCACAATTTATTTTGACCTTCATTTTGTGTTCCTTTCCATCTCATTAAATAATATACATTGTTTTTTATTTTATCCTAGTCTACAAAATATACTAGAAGTAGCTTCATCCATTATCAAATCATTGTCTTTCAATGTAATTAAATTGTCTACTGTTCAATGATATTTTAATACCAGAGACTGAAAGTGGACAGTAATTGAAATATATCAGAAGCAATTTACTTATGATAATGACTATTGTTAATTAGTGTCATTATAACTTAATTAGCTGAATGCTGATAAATTGTGGTCTTTATTAATCCACCTACCTAATGAACATTTATTTTGATTTTATTTAAAATTGAGTATTCTAAAATATTTTTTTTTCTGACAGTTGCCTGACAAGTCGATAGCATCCTTAGTAAAATACTACTATTCATGGAAGAAGACACGAGCCCGCACGTCCTTGATGGATGTGGTGGGTGAGGGTCGCAATGCCACCAGCTCGGCCACCGGCAAGTCAGCCGGCTCCGAGCCTGGAGGCTCAGATAAGGAGTCAGACAATGATGAGAAGGTATGTAATCTTATAAATTCATCTGTAACGCTTCCATTGTAAATTTTGTCTAACAGAATATAATTTTGCTTATTATTTTGTTTCCTCGTGTGCAGTCCCACATTTGACAGTAGGAATACATAATGTAGGGTCAAGGAGGCAACAGTGACTCGGTCGGCTACAGTGGCTCAGTCATGTTTCGACCTGAAGGCATAGGAATATATATTTGTCTCTTTTACCGATTCAAAGGTCTTTGTACCCGAACACGTTTAAACCAGTTTGCTCGCCGGTCAAGTGCCGTGCGGAAGGGTGAGGGAATGTTTTTTGTTTTCGCGCCCTCTAAATTACATTCTAAGGTGAGTTTCGATTGTTTTCATATCTTTGTTTGTTGCTATAGGTAATAGCCGTTATATTTATCGGATAGTAGGTCTTGTATCAATTGTCTTTAATCCGAATTTTGACTAATTTGTTTTACATCTTGGTTTTTTTGATCAAATATTTACAAAATGGCGTAGAAGTACACAGTGACTCAATTTTAATACTTTATACGAATTCAATATTTTATAACTGTAAATCGAATTTTGTTTTTTATTCACAGAATGCCACGGAAAAAAACCGACAGAAAAATAGGGAAAAAATAAATAACGAAGAGATTGAGATGACTTAAGATCTTATAGGTAGCAATAAAAGTACTAAGAGTCGTGTTGAATTGTTGATTATAATAAGAATAGCTTGTGCAGTTTTGTTATTATTTCTAATAAAAAACTACGCGGAATGGGCATTTTCTTTTCATATAAATACTGCCTTACCACGTTAATACTGTGTACCACGGTAGTGAGTCAGTGTGTACACCTAGTAGTCCACAGTGGCTCAATTATCATTTTTTTGTTTTAGGTTCCTAATTTGACATAAGTAGTAAATAATGTAGAATCATGAGTGCTCAGTTACAGTTCAATAGTGTATCTAAAATGTGAGCAAATTTTAGGCCAATATTAAAGCGATATCTATTTTTATTAAGCTTCGAAAAAAAAGTGAGTCACTGTTGCCTCCCTGACCCTACTTGATGATACTGTATCTGGATTGTCCAACTACAATTATTTGAGAGTACTTCATCTTTACTCATATGAGGCACAATAGTTAGTAAATAGAAATGCAGAGGAGACTTCCAAATTGTCCTGATTCTTCATATTGCGATTCACTTATGTATTATCTGACTAAATTTTCAATACCAAAGCTCTGCATTTAGATGTTCACAAATCGAAGGCAATACAGAGGTTCTATGGGAACTGTAAATAATGAGCTGAAAATGTTGTGGGGCGCTTTGTTTATCTGTGAGTTATGACGTGTATTGGCTATGGCAGAAGTGGACTTACCACCGGGGTATAGTCCGCGGCAGCGCGCCGGCTGAGGCGGGCGCCGTGGCGCTGCGTGCGGCGTGCCAGGCCCCGCAGGTGCGTGTCCCCACGAGAATTCACAAGAGAGTACTAGGGTTGCCAGATGCCCGGGAAATCCGGGATTGTCCCGGAATTTTGCGTCTTGTCCCGTGTCCAGTAATTAGACATTACTGTCCCGGATTTCCGAAAACCTAATAGTTTTGTGTCAAAATAAACTAATAATAATATGTAATAACAAATGACACGGCTGGCCTGCCTGTGAGTCCTATTATGTACGTTGACGTACATTACTTATTTAATAAAAGTGTGTATTTGAAAATAAATGGCATTTTTCTTTTGAAATACAAATTAAATCATTTGAGAAACCAAGATATTTTTACTATGGCCAAGTCCCAACACCATTGTCCTAGTAGGATTGTCCCGGATTTGGTAAGTTTCCATCTGGCAACCCTACGTGGTACCCGTGTACAGTGTCTTCTTTCACTCTCTCACTATGTCTGTTTGATCGGTGTGTTGTCATCCATACTTGATGTTTATCGGATATGTTTACCCTGTCTCATTCGCCTGTTGCGGTTGTCCTGAAACCCTGTAATGTGTGTCATGCCATTGTCGTTGCACTCCATTACATGTTTTTTTATCATGCAATTTTTATTTTGTGGTGACACACGCTTTGATTTTTTCAAATTCATTTCATTACGGTTACGATGAAAATTTTCTTTTAGCTAATTTAGTTAAAATGTTATTGTCATAGCTGCTCATTTATTCAGTTTCAATATTGTCATCACTCGGCGGTATACTTGGCTGCTTATTGACATTGCTTTTTATTTTTAGTTGACTGCTCTGCATTTTTATCTACAAACTAAGGCTGTTCTGCTCATGACATGCAACATTCATATTTAAATGACTAATTGACGGTTCATCAAGTCTGTGTATCATTCAATACCTTCTCCTTTTTCATTAACACTGTTCATCATTATGTTCCGAAACTTGTCACATTTTATTTATGCAATACTATTAAAAAATGTTACTGAAGAAGGAGATTTCATTTCAAACTTAGTTATCAATCTAAATTAATATTATTCCTAATTAACGTATGTATGTGTTGCACTATATGTTAACTTTAAGATTAGAGTCCCGCCAACCCAATCCCGCTTTATCCTAACGTGTCCCCGCATGCTTCCTTTAATAGCCCCAGATAGAAGGAAAATTCACTAGTGAGTCTTATGTGTGCAGAATATGATTAATATTCTAATGGGTTTTTTAAAAGAAGTGTGTGAGGAGTGTACGTGTTAGTCCGTCCCAGTATATGTACTAGGTGTTTCCATGGGCGTACCCAGCTTCTGGCCTAGAGGGAGGGGGCAAGCCACACCCAGCATCTGGGCTTTGGGGGCAAATCAGATTTTAGATGGGATCGTTTGACTTGGCTCTTTCAAAGCGACACTAGCGCTTTTAGGAGAGTTGATACCCTTTCTGCCAGATTTCCAGGGGGGGGTGCCGCCCTCCCCGCCCCCCCGGGTCCGCCCATGGTGCGTCAGTAACTGTTGTTGGGTGGTAGGGCGCGGCGGGCGGCGACGCGGGCAAGTGGTGCACCGTGTGCGGCATTCTCTGCTCGCAGACCACGGCCCACCACGCGCACAAGCTCTGCCAGGCATGCCTCGTGCACGCCAGGTCGGTAATCCACCAACTAATTACCATAACATTTCGCATTCAATTGCATGTTTTGAAAAGTAAACTAGAGCGTGAAGGGCTGCCATCTGGCCTGGCTCTCCGGATTTCGTGTTGCTCCGGCGAGTTTTAGAGTTTCTGTAGTGTAGATTCAGCTTCGTTGATCAGATGAGACAGTAGGGGATCGGACATCACCAGTCAATTGAGTTTCTTTATAGTTTGTATAGAACATATTTCATTTCGCTTGTAGGTTCTGTTTTTAACTGACCGAATGATCATCAATTTCTAATCGAATACAGTAGATAGCGAAAATAAGCCATATTACATAGTGAATTTAAGGAATGATCAGTGAACAGTGTCCGGTCCCCTCCTGCATCTGGATTGCGAGTGCGATGGCAGCCCTGCCTGGATGGTTGTTGACCTGCGGTCCTGTGACAGGCGCACGGGCACGATGCGGCCGCTGTGCGGGCCGGCCGGGCGGCGCGGACCCGGCTCTAAACAGCAGCGGTTCAAGCACCGCCTGCCGCGCGGCATTTACATCAATCACGACGATCTCGTCGCCATGGCCACCGGCCCGCAGCCCGGCGACGCGCCGCAGCCCGGCCTAGTCAATCAGGGCGAAGCGATGCTTAAAGCGATGGACAGGGAAATTATATCGCTCAAGAGACAAGTAAGAGGCCACCTGCTATGTAGCCCATATTCTCACCCTTACGTTGACGCCGCGACGGACTTTGCTCCGGTCTGAGTGGGAGTGGCTGTGTGATGTAATGTGAGAATGTGAACGATCGCCCTCATAGCATAGACGTAGATTCAGCTGACGATACTGCATTTTATTAGGCGGTATCATCAATATTCTGCACACATAGTTACTAGTTGTCCAGTTTCTGATGAGTATTTTTATTTAAATATGCTTTCACATTTTTATTTATTTGCAATGCTATGCGATCCCCGTGAACCTGCATTTGCATATTTGTTTCCTTGGATAATCCAGATATGCACAAATCACTTCCTTTTAGTTAAATGTTAAAGTACATGACTGCAGACTATTTTACGGTTGTTTTTATTGGTCTTTTTTAGTTGGGGTGCTTAGTAGTGTGTTTTTGTGTAGGTGCAGCAAAACAAACAGCAGTTGAGCGCGATGAAGCGTAAAGTGGGCGACGCGGGCGTGGACGAGCTGAGGCCCGGGGAGCCCCCGGCTAAGATTAACTCTCGCTGGACTAACGACGAGCTGCTCATGGCCGTCACAGCTGTGAGGAAATACGGTGAGTCACCGAATATTGTTTTGGCTAGATAGTTCAAACAACTGACGCCTTGATTTGGTTGTTGTTTATTGGATCTGTATTTTATTTTAGAGGTGTGTTAACGCAGTAACGTTACATAATATTAATTTTTATTATGCAATCATAAATAATAATCTATCTATCTATCTATACAGGGTGTTTCTTGTAAGGTGTCAAGCCGAAGGCAGGTGATAGGTGAGGACTAGACCTATCGATTTCACCCCCATGTATGTTCTACGATTTTTCATAGTTTAGAAGTTATCGTTAATTTTGAGATTTTTTCAAATTTTATGACCTAGTGGTTTCATTTTTTTTATCTTTTTTTTGGGTTGACTTTTCTCAGATTTCTTTTTTTTTACAGATTCCCTATTAGTTGCAGATATTTGAAAAAAATAATCACCTTCCTATCTTTGATGAAAGATACAAAATTTTCGCTAGAAACATAAAAAATATGCTTTGAGCAGAACATTCTAAAATTTTCAACTGATATGTATGAGAAAAAAAAAATGTTTCCATAGGTCCAAAATAATTTTAAAAACTGCGCAGTTTCCTAAACTTTCATAATAACACAAAAAAACATGTACTTAATAGAACATAACGTAAACTTAGGGGATTGCAAATATTACTTAGTCCTAAGAAAGTCAAAAACATGTAACGGAATCTCCGACTTACCACTTTAGTGGAGCGATTACAGAAAATAATGGCCTATTAAGTACATGTTTTTTTGTGTTATTATGAAAGTTTAGGAAACTGCGCAGTTTTTAAAATTATTTTGGACCTATGGAAATTCTTTTTTTTTCTCATATATTTCAGTTGAAAATTTTAGAATGTTCTGCTAAAAGCATATTTTTTATGTTTCTAGCAAAAATTTTGTATCTTGCATCAAAGATAGGAAGGTGATTATTTTTTTCAAATATCTGCAACTAATAAATCTGTCAAAAAAAAGAAATCTGAGAAAAGTCAACCCAAAAAAAAGATTAAAAAAAAATTAAGCCACTAGGTCATGAAATTTGAAAATATCACAAAATTAACGATAACTTCTAAACTACGAAAAATCGTAGAACATACATGGGGGTAAAATCGATAGGTCTAGTCCTCACTTATCACCTGCCTTCGGCTTGACACCTTACAGGAAACACCCTGTATAAATAAAAATGAATTAATGTTCGTTAGTCTGATTAAAACTCGAGAACTTCTGGGCCGATTGAGCTGATTTTGGTTTCAAAATGTTTGTCTTAGTCCAGGGTAGGTCTAAACGGTGAGCAAATACGCGCGCGATATTGTTTTTCTGTGACAGACAAAATTCCACGCGGGCGAAGCCGCGGGCGGAAAGCTAGTAATGAATAAATATCTTTGGACCATTTCACACGACGCTATCTAGTAGAGATGAGTAGTATTTACTAGAACAGATCCACACACTAGGTATTTTACAGTACTAGGCGGCACCTATTCCAATTTTTTAAATACTTGATCCACCTAGTATTTTATAAATTACACGATTTCCGACCCTATCATCAAAGTAATAGAGTTAATTATTGCGTAATCCGTAGTCGTGTATTACGCGCACCTAGTAATTCTCGCTAAGCTTATATGTGCGAACGTAGAGATTCACTCCGTCTCTGCAAACGCACACAAACGTAGTCAAACCAAATTCATGTAAATAAGAAAAAATATGTAAATATTTTTATGAAATTGATATCTTTTAAATACGCCAAGTTTTAAGTTGACAGCCCTAAGCCTGTTGAAGTATGAAGGGAGGAATTATTATTCAATTTCAAATTGCATTATTCATACTACGGTTGTATCTTAAAAAAAAAATGTATTTTAAAGTCATTTTACGTGGATAAGTCCGCACTAGTCGCGTCAAGTATGCTAAATTACTACGTACTAGGTGGAATAGGTATTTGGATCGAGTATTAATCAATACTAGGAATAGGTGCACCTAGTATCTTTACCCAGTATAACCCATCTCTACTATCTAGCCCCAAAGTAAGCAATTAATATGCTTGTGTTATTAAACTTGAATGTAAAAGTTTTGAATTAAACTCGCATTGTTATCACCGTACGGGGCGTGCGTCGGCCCCACAATGCTATTCACCGCATGTTTTACATGCGTCGCATCTTTCTTAAAGCATGCGCAGTTGATATTGAGGCACCTCGCCTATGTTACAATACCTACAATGGGTTTTTTTTGTACTATACGATACGCCTGTGAATAATAAATAAATAAATAAATAAATTCTTTATTGAATAACTTATTTGACAGTTTAAACTTTAGGCTAATCTTATGCTACAAAAGGTAAAATTATACGTGTGCCTGAACTAGGAAATGTTATCCTGTATCTCAGGCGAAATAAAGGCTTAACGATACTTTATTTAACTATCATTAGCAAAATACATATTATACATAAACAAACCACTTACATACAAATTATGTTTATACTAAAAAATTAAAATCTATACACATTAAGCAAAATCTAAGAATTAAAATCAGTTATTATGGTTACATTGTGCTACTTAATATTGCTTACTTAGCGTTTTCTATTACATACGGCGTATATAACATTTAAATTGTGACATATTTCGTCAAGTGCCAATGTTAAAAATTATTGTCATTATCATTCAGTCAGTCCACTGCTGGATGTAGACCTCCTCTAAGGAGCATTAAATATAATAATTTTCCGCTTTTTTCATGCCACTAGTAGCAGCTCTTTTATTCAATAAAATAGCTGGTACTGGTATTAGTTCTGGATTTTATTCCTTAAGGTAGCCTTTCGAACTAAGCGTCACAGACGCAGCGTCTTTAGTTTTGGTCTTAAAGGTAGCCTTTCGAAGCGAGTTAGTGACGCGGCGTTGGTGGCACAAGACCAAAGCTAAAGACGCTGCGTCTGTGACGCTTAGTTCGAAAGGCTACCTAAAGGAATGAGTTCCCTACGCTCGTCTAGAGTCGGTGGACCATCATTACAGCCACATTGACCTTCCAGGCAAAGACTTCCAAGCGATCGCCGAGACGCTGGGCACGAAGACGGAGGCGCACGTGCGGTCGTTCTTCATCTCGTACCGGCGCCGCTACAACCTGGACGCCGTCCTGCGCGAACACGAGGCCGACCGCCCGCAGCACCACATCTTGCAGGGTGAGTCATGCTGACGAGTTCATCATCATCATCAACAGCCCTTTACAGTCCACTGCTGGACTATGAGCCTCCTCCACTATACTGGAGGGTTTTGCCATAATGCCCACGCTTGGCAGGCGGGTTGGAGATCGCAGTTTAAAAAGATTGATGTTTGTCAGAGAGCGCTGCTGCCCGTTCTCTGTTTGATGTGTAGCCCCTAAGTCGCCTCTTACGACACCCGCGGGAAGAGTAGGGGTGTGACTGCATTCTACTCTGCCGTCACCACACGGCTGACGAGTTAAAGACGAGGAGTGTAGGAGCGAGAGAAGTGCCAAAAAATCCTCCCTTTTGTCTCTGGTGAATTAGAGAGGGTCCTTGATGATGATAGAGTCACAAATTACAATTAATTCCAAAGTAACATCTTATTTGTAAAAATAACGTGTTAAATAATATCATTATTCTTTGTAGGTACAACAAGCACAGATGCGGCGGAGAACGCGGGAGAAAACAACACCACCAACGGCACCGTCTCGCCGCAGAACACCTCCAAGGATGAGAAGGTATGGCCTCATTTAGTGTGCTTATTAATTGAAACGAAAGAAAAAACATAGTTATTTGGACCAACAACCAAATGAAAACTAAAATTTAATTTAAATCCTGCTGAAAATCAGTGTCGGGACATCCTATAAGGTGTCCCAACTAAAACTGAGCGGGCGCCCTATTAACATGCATTCGTTTCTTTCTTTTTAAATCTGTTGTATTGTTTTTTTTTGTAATGTGTGTTAATAAAGTTATTTATTATTTATTATTATTATTAAAAACTCTGGACGGCACTAAAATGGTCTCCGCGCTCAGAATGACGCAGGGACGCGAATTAGTTAAGGCAATTAGTAAAATGAGGATACTACGGTTGAATTACGGATAATTATAGTAATATTATGTTTAGTGAATGAATGCCATTATGTGTATTTAGTAATTATAATACACTGAAATATTGATTTTATGTTGTTGGACGATTTTAGAGGAAATTGATTGCTAGCAAAGACTTGACGGTAGATTCCCTAGTGTTCGTATAATTGCAGTCTGTCATTGGTTTATAAGATTTACCTTACTAATCACAATAGTGTTAACGATGCTTTATCAATGTGATAACTTCTGTTCTCGCAATCGCATTTTAAGCGCAATGTTTTACAGTAATATCGCGTTCACGGCAATATGGCGATCATTCTCGTCTAGACCATTTAGCCGTTTTATTGAAACCTGTTTAAATAATCTAAAGTATCGGTGAGACAGGTTAGAGTCGAGGCTTGAACCTAAGACCTTTCACTTGCTGCGCGAAACTTTCACTTTCTGAGCTACGGATTTGGTTAATTTGTAAACATTTTCAAGTGATTTACACTCTTTCATCCAGCGACTTCATTAATGAAAAATATGAAATTCAAATCCTATTGAAGTTGACTTCCGCAAGCGTCACCGCTGTGTAAATATTTCAGAAGTTAGCTTGCTACAGCCATTTACACAGTGGTAAACAGCTTGCAAAAGTCAGACTGTGCAAGTTTTATTGCTAGTCTAAACCTTGCATAAGATATGAGCTACAAACAGCTAGTTTTTTTCAGCCGAATGACGTCCACTGCTGGACAAAGGTCTCCCCCAAGGATTTCCACAGCTCAAATAACTAAAACCCGTATTCACAAATGATGCTTGCTTAAGTGAAGCAACAAATTGAACGCACAGCGTTGAATACAGTTCTGTGATTGGTTCGTGTGTGACCCTGTGCGCGCATTGTGAGACCTCATAGTAATGTTTGTGAATACGGGCGTGTAAATCAAGTCTTTAATTGTTGTTTTGTTGATCAGACGGAGGTGGACAGCGAAGGCGTCCCGATCGGCGCGCCGGGCGAGCAGGGCGGGCCGCCCACCACGCCGCCCAAGCACAAACCGCCCAAGTGATGCGCCCCGGCCGATGCCACATAAATACACTATTTTTTTAATCCTTTAACTTCGCATCTATTCACACTGAAGCTGACGATATCGACCTGGCTGTTAAGGCCCGTATTAGAAACGGTACCTCAATAAAAATGTGTGTAGATTCATACTTATCAGTCGTTTCATGGTACGGCGGATCTTACAGTCAGATTGGTATGGTCGTTAAGCTCAATTCTGAGATTCTCTAAAACTTTAGGGCATCTTCTTTGTTGAATAACAAATAGGCATTTATCAATTGTTATTGTTTAACTATGTGTTAACAAGAAGTAGAAAAAATCTCAGAATTAAGCTTATTCACGTGTGAATTGCATGCAATATAAAATTTAATCTAAATATTCAAATATAAATATTAATCTTTGACTAAAGGAATAGGTAGCGTCATATCTGATGCCAGTTGTAGCTGCTAATTCGTCTGTGAGTATACCAGTCGCAACACCGCAGTAACAGGCCTAAAGGCAGGCTCGTTGCACGAACGCTCTGCTGTTTGTCGCTACATCCTTGTGTCAAAACACGCCGAGAGTCCGTAGGCTAAGTAACATTCGAATTTCATTAAATGTCACAAATCTAACCAACATTAAATTATGAATTTCTCCCACAGATTCTGAAATTTAGAGTAAGCCACAAAATCAATTGAAAAAATTAATTTTGTAGCGGTTATCTTATCTTATAGCGTTAGCATAAACGTTAATTATTGAGAGCCAACCACATGATTTTTCGATAGTCTGTTTACCAATTCGCCATCGAATGTTACTTCGCCGGGACCGTTGAAACGTATTTTGACACAGTAGCTGTATAATGTAATCCAAACATAGTCATATCGACGTAACTACCAAGTTTTTTAAACTTATCATTTTTGGTTCTTGATGCGGCCATGTTTGAAGATTCCGTGATCCTGCATACGCTTCATCCATTTTTGCATGGACGGATGTAAAGCGTACAAACTTTATTATTTGACATTTACAATACAATAATGACAGTATATTTAGATAATTAGGATTCGCCATTTCGTGCATTGTTTTCCGCATCCGTGTAAAACCCTACCATGGTACCGAGTTCTGACTTCAAAGTAGCACCTTAAATATTTAATTACATTTTTACATGCCGTGACGTAATTACGTACATTTATAAATGTATCTATCTGCCATAAGGTCCATCTTTTTAATGTCATCTATCTGATGATAGTGGCTACAATAATTAGCCATTTCATTAAATTTTTGACGCCCATGTAAACTGAAAAATTGCATCTAAAGTTTATCATTGGTTGTCTTCACGAACGTATCTTAGCGATGAGCCAAAGCAGGTCAGTTCGTGCATTGATGCCTCTATTCGTAACACTGTAAACACGTTTTTTCTTATGAAGTTTAGTGTAAGTCATCTTCACACAGAATCACAAATATATTTTGTGCACAAAAGAACTGTATTAATGTTATGACCAAGTGTCGTATCTAAAGCAATAAGAATAACTAATGAGACTATTTTAAAGTTAAGCCTTTGTGCTGGCAATAAACATGTTCTACCAGTCCTTGTTTAATGTGCCTATCTTATGGTCACCAAAATTAAATTAAAAGGAGTTCCGATTCTAGTTTTATTAATTATTCTTATGGCAACACTCACGTTTTATAGCTAAGTATTTTTATATTATCACTGGAACTTATTTGTCGTTCATAGTCTTTATCAAAACACGTTTTGTGTATGGCCATTAGTGAAAAAAATCGCAATAATATTATAATTAAAAATTAATGAATGGTGCAAGTAATTTTTATATCAGGCAGCGGCTATATGAGATTTAATGACAGTATACGCTTTAGAGAAACATCATATTTATTATGGACCTACTTGTATATAACTGTAGAGATAAGATATTTTTCCGTGTCTCTGGAACGTAAATTACTATTTCTAATTAATATAGGAAATTAGAATAGAGCATTTTCTTTCGGTTTGTTTGGTCCGTACGCATTCGGGCGACGGTTTTTGAATGTCTATACGATCTCTTCGAAGTTATATGTGCGTGTGAGTCTTTTAAAATACGACGAAATATGTTATTCACTTGCCTTAAGTAATTTTACTTATATGTACTCGCATGCGGAACTAACTATGCAAATATAGATGTATTCAATGTATCGCAGAATACGCAGTGTTATTACAAAATAGTTTTGTATCAAAAAAAGCGTAGGACTTAAATATGTAGCTAAGGGTTTTCTTGTAGACTTCTTGTGTATCTATAAGCGTACTATCGAGCCTTGAATTATGTCCATTTCTAGGTTATCTTCGGAGCTAACAATGAATTAGATTAGGTATTATTTTACTCGACGATACTCGAACGGTTAAGTCGCATTTATGATAGTCTCAAAGTTATGGAATTCATTATGGTAGTAAAGTGGATGTAGCATAGTGTATAGAGCGTGTGGTTCACACATCCTATGAGAAAAACTCAAGTTTTACTACTATATTAATTTTTATAATTGATAGCAGAATGATATAGAAGGGTAATGAATATTATTGATATTGACGATATTTTTGTACACATAAAAGACATCTCAATACATACACGATAGTGTGCTCGCTTTTATAGTTAATGCATTATTTCTAAGTATTAACAATTTATTATAATTTTTAGTAGTTAGTTTTCATTTCTTTTAGTGTAAAGGATTTTAATATTGATCATAATAGCATAATTTTGTACTAGTTTTAATGCAATGTACATCACGAGATGAGACACACAGGCTGTTTAGTGTTGGACAGAACACAATGTTACCGTTACACATTTTGTTTCTCTAATAAATAAAACATAGGCATACTTCGTTTAATATAGAATTCTGATTCACTTTGGTTTTGACAACCAGCTTAGCATAATTATAGTTAGGTTATTATGAGTGTTACTTTTTCATAATGATTTCCACATAATAGTGTTTTTATAGATTTCAATAGTGGTACCTAGTTAATTTGATTTCAAAATTGTGTATATTTAGATTTCATTTAATTATTATGTATTCGTAATAATACCAGGTGATAAAACCGCCATTAATTCAAAAAGAAAAACGCGTAGGTGTTTCAACAACAAGATATTTTTTTACAATAAATCAACATCCGCCTAAAATTGACGTAAGCAATACGAGTGTCTGTTTATGTTGAATTAGTTGTAATTGACCAGAACAAAAATTACTTCTCGCATTGTAATTTTTGTGTCCTAATGTAAGTTTATGGGTCGTGGGTTTTATTATTTTATTCTTAGTAATGAATTTGTTTAATATTTAAGTTGTAGCACAAGAAACGAAAAGTAAGTATAGTTCAAAGTGTTTCAATGCTCATTATGCTTTGCTTTCAATGAAAAATATGTAGATGATATTGCAGTATTTATATTTGGCAAAAGCATTTATTCGAAATCAGGCGGGCCATTATAATTTATAAATATTTTGTCTTGAATTATGTAATTAACAATGTTCAGATGTTCCTAGTTCTAAAGAAAAGCTTTTTATAATCAAATCTAGAACATACACACGTGCATTGTTATCTAAACGTGACAGATCATGCTCACCTATCACCTAATTAAATAAACTAAGATATATCTTGGCATTGTAAAAATTTTATGTTAACTGAGCTTTTATAAAACATCATTTCTGTGCGTAACATATTTTTTTCTTGGTATTTCTCTTACTGTTCAAGTATTGTCTCTCCTAACATTTCAATTCCTGTGGCATACAAACTAATCACTCCCAAAGAGAATCCACAATGAAGTCATCTTATTTATTGATGCTAATTAGACCTAGTAGGAATATTGTTACAGAATTTAAATTATTTTCTATTAGATTTTATTGTGTTCTGTATATTAAGGGTAAAGATCAGTTAATGAAGTTTTTTATGATTAAGTAAAGCTCAAACAGTACCTATGTTGTTTATGCCGTAGAGCGTGGCACTGTGACGATTTCAACCGAAATTTTGGGAGTTTTGATTTTAAGAATAATAATAAAGATAAGGATATATATAAATTATCACCGTTTTATTTACATCCTTTACCCTTTATGCATATCTTTAGTCTTAGTAAATAAAAGTCTCACCTGTCCCAAAAAGTCTCTGTATATGACGCCATTAGAGTACAAGTTGGTGGAACGGACACCTATCAATGTGTGTGCTGAAGCCGTTAAATAAAACAAATGAAAGTAGCATTCGGCGTTTACCCGTGGTCCCCCCAACATGTCCCCCTGGTGGGTCCACGGGTAATTTTTTTTACCCGTTGTCCCACCTTTCTGAACAGTTTTTGCCAGTGGGTCTACGGGTAATTTATTTTAACCATAGTCCCACCGCACAGTGGTAAACGTTGCATGTAACCTCATATTCTTGAAATCGATAAAATAAAATAGAAAGTCTACTCTATTCTTTTTTACATCAATTTTAATTAAAAAAATAATTGGAAATAAAATAAAATAAATTTTCTTCTTGGAATAAAATTGAAAGTAAAGGATGATGGGCACAAATGTATGGAAAGTGGTACTCGCTCCAATAGCCATAACCAATATATATTTCAAAAGGCCTTTAGATGTAGGAAAATGTCTGCTACTATGGGACCAGTTCTAATTAATAATTATAGATTTTTTTATAATTATACCTAGGTGACATGCAACGTTTACCACTGTGCGGTGGGACTATGGTTAAAATAAATTACCCGTAGACCCACTGGCAAAAATTGTTCAGAACGGTGGGACAACGGGTAAAAAAAATTACCCGTGGACCCACCAGGGGGACATGTTGGGGGGGACCACGGGTAAACGCCGGTAGCATTATGAAGATGCTTTTTGCGGGGTAATGAATACTTTTTATTGTCACGCCATTATTTCTTCTTATTTTGCTTATGGCTAGATTGACATTAAAAAAAGTCCGCGTTTTAATATCTGTCGCAATATTTGTCAAACCTCTGATCTTGTCAGTGTTTGTTTATTATTTTCTGATAAATAGAAAACAGGTATGGTGTCCCGTATATTACGACCTATCGCCTTAGGGCGGCTGCGTTTGGCTCACGTGGACGATGCGCCAGTGATCATGAACCTGGTCACGGAATCCATGTCTAAGAACTTCAGGATTGATGATGATACAGACATCGTGTACTTGATGTGAGTAGATTCTTGTTGTAAGCTTATAATGTACCTACCTATACGACACAGCTAACAGGGTAGGATGTATGGCTTTTGTTATTTACCTACCAACTATGTATTCTAAATTGTAGTGCTGAATTTCTTACGCTGCTTCTCAGCACTGGCCTACATTGATTGCCCCAAGCCACCTCCCGAGATTCGGCCAGTTATAACCGTTAGGCCGGCAATACACGAACCGCTCGAGGAGTTGCAACTGATTCGGGCGGTCGACAGCACGGTGAATTTTCATCGTGCGGTCAAGCAGTCGCCAGCCATACACTGACTGCTCGAGCTGTCGACAGCTCTCGCGAAGTTACCTCCGCCCACTTTCTTCATTCCACGGCGCGCGCGCTTGTGATTTGTGAAGCAGTTAATACCAACTGATCGAGCAGTTATCACTGGCAGCTTCAAGCTGTTGACTCTTGACTACAAGAGTGGTCCGTGTATGTTGATCACTGACTAACTGCTCAAGCTGTCCGTGTATGGCGGGCCTTACAGGTTGGAATGGGCATGTGCAGGTGGAGGGATGCTCCAAGCTTCATCTTCTTTACAAACCATTTCAGACAAAACTGCGTGCTATGCATATGCCAACTGGACATCAACGATTCCATAGTGGGATTTTTAGCAGCAAAAGACTACCCTCTACTTCCGTCGGTACACCCCAGGGCCTGGGAAGAGTATATTTGGACTAAATATAAGTAAATTGTTTTATTCCTTAAAAAAATGTAATTGAAATAAGTAAGACAGTATGAATGAAACTAGTTAATTGTTTACAACTTGAATATATCGCGGTACTTCTTCGATACAGTGATTAAGGCAGGATTTTTTTTCAACTTCGGTTCCTAGGTCACAGACTTCTAGCGACTTCTCCAATTTAATTTGCTACGTAAACCTGACCAGTAAATTAACCTGTTAATCTGACAGCTAAGGTACCGTTTTATGCGTTTTAATTGATGCAGAACTTCTTAGTTGATTACGATTCCAGGTCGATAGAGCTGAACGCTCGCAACACGCTGTTCATCCATCTGCTGTGCTGGAACCCGGCGTACGCGCGCGAACTAGTGGACAGCCTGCTCAAGTCCATGTTCATGCACGACCCCTACCTGCAGCACGTCGCCATGCTCAAGCCGCTGACGTCATACCCGCGTGCGTTATGTCACTTGTCCGCTAGCAACACGTCACATCCGCCTGCTGTGCTGGAACCCGGCGTACGCGCGCGAACTAGTGGACAGCCTGCTCAAGTCCATGTTCATGCACGACCCCTACCTGCAGCACGTCGCCATGCTCAAGCCGCTGACGTCATACCCGCGTGCGTTATGTCACTTGTTCGCTATAGCAACACGTCACATCCGCCTGCTGTGCTGGAACCCGGCGTACGCGCGCGAACTAGTGGACAGCCTGCTCAAGTCCATGTTCATGCACGACCCCTACCTGCAGCACGTCGCCATGCTCAAGCCGCTGACGTCATACCCGCGTGCGTTATGTCACTTGTTCGCTATAGCAACACGTCACATCCGCCTGCTGTGCTGGAACCCGGCGTACGCGCGCGAACTAGTGGACAGCCTGCTCAAGTCCATGTTCATGCACGACCCCTACCTGCAGCACGTCGCCATGCTCAAGCCGCTGACGTCATACCCGCGTGCGTTATGTCACTTGTTCGCTATAGCAACACGTCACATCCGCCTGCTGTGCTGGAACCCGGCGTACGCGCGCGAACTAGTGGACAGCCTGCTCAAGTCCATGTTCATGCACGACCCCTACCTGCAGCACGTCGCCATGCTCAAGCCGCTGACGTCATACCCGCGTGCGTTATGTCACTTGTTCGCTATAGCAACACGTCACATCCGCCTGCTGTGCTGGAACCCGGCGTACGCGCGCGAACTAGTGGACAGCCTGCTCAAGTCCATGTTCATGCACGACCCCTACCTGCAGCACGTCGCCATGCTCAAGCCGCTGACGTCATACCCGCGTGCGTTATGTCACTTGTTCGCTATAGCAACACGTCACATCCGCCTGCTGTGCTGGAACCCGGCGTACGCGCGCGAACTAGTGGACAGCCTGCTCAAGTCCATGTTCATGCACGACCCCTACCTGCAGCACGTCGCCATGCTCAAGCTGCTGACGTCATACCCACGTGCGTTACATTGGCTCGGTCTTAGTTCGTGCTCTTATGAGGTTTCTGAGTAGACAGACACTTCAGCAATGAAAAGATTTTGACCAATATTTGGCAGATAGGTATACGTCAAAAGAGTCTTTGTTTATACATTGTCTCCTTGTACGCTCGCTCGAAATTAGCTTCGAGACATACCTACCTACATGGTAAGTGCAGAAAATGCACCGTAACCAGTAACTAGTGATGTCAAATCCAAAATTTAGCTAGCTCAGAGGAAATCAAGATAGAAAATCTTATGTGCTGGAGAAACCCTCGTGGTCGAAATTAAAATGACCTGCCTCTTAATAAGACTTATACTGGCACTACCCTTTAATAAAGGGCTTCATCTTACGCTACGATGAGGTTAATCTCCACATTGCAGTGCTAGTTCCCGGGCAGTCCCGCTCCGAGGCTTCGTTCCGGCGGGTGCAGGCGATGGAGCGCGGCGTGCCCGGCGAGTTGCTGCCGGCGCTGTGCATCGCCGACCGGGCCGAGGTCAGCCCGCGTCTGCGCATACGGAGGGCTGTGTTAGTCCACACTATTGATGACGCATAGTTCCCGGTCAGTCCCGCTCCGGGCCCGTTCCGGCGGGTGCAGGCGATGGAGCGCGGCGTGCCCGGCGAGATGCTGCCGGCGCTGTGCATCGCCGACCGGGCCGAGGTCAGCCCGCGTCTGCGCATACGGAGGGCTGTGTTAGTCCACACTATTGATGACGCATAGTTCCCGGTCAGTCCCGCTCCGGGCCCGTTCCGGCGGGTGCAGGCGATGGAGCGCGGCGTGCCCGGCGAGATGCTGCCGGCGCTGTGCATCGCCGACCGGGCCGAGGTCAGCCCGCGCCTGCGCATACGGAGGGCTGTGTTAGTGGACACTACTGATGACGTATAGTTCCCGGTCAGTCCTGCTCCGGGCCCGTTCCGGCGCACAGTGTTGCCGGTTCATAGTAGGTAACGGACAAAATTATTTTCGATCTGAACTTACTACCTTTTGTCAGATTTGTATAGAATATAACTATATCTAATAGAAAAATACATTTTTTAGTTTTGAAATTGGTACATATTTTAGTACAAACTTGGAACAAAAATTAATGCAAAATATCATCTAACTTCAGCTTAATGATTAGGGTTTGTGGCTTTCCACAGCTCGATAGGCTTATATCATCCAAATGTATTTCTTGGTGAACCTTTGTAATGACGTTAAGTATGTTACCATGTGTAATTGACCGCTTGTTTACAGGAACTTGATCCAATTCTCAAACAGCGCCTCGGAAAAATTCTTAGTTTCGAAAATCGCTAAAAACAGCGCGGGTAGTATGTCGTAGCAAAATTTGTTTTTACAACATGAAAATATAATATCTGAGGATAATTTCTATCAATATTTCGTTACGGAAAGTAATGGAAAGTATGTACTTTCAGCCTTGTGAGTATAATTTTTAAGGTCGTTTTCAATCACTGATTTTGTTAATTTTTATTAAATAAATAGGCTGAAGTTCTATAAACACAAATACATTTTCTAAAAGACAGTACCTTGAACTCTAGAACCCATATTTTTAATCGTGTAAATATTGTCAATTGACAAAACAGTGCCTAAATGAATAAAGCAATATTTTTGTTCCAAGGAAACCTTGTTATCGGACGCCCTACTTTGACCAGTCATATTTTCATTTCTGTTAGCAATCTATCCTCAATATTTTGCATTTTCACGACACACATATTCAGTTTGAATAATAGTTAATCAATTTTCGTTTACGGTCAGTTTCCAAAATTTGGTTTTTGTCCGGCCGTGGCAACACTGTGCGGCGTGCCCGGCCAGAATGCCAGATGCTGCCGGCGCTGTGCATCGCCGACCGGGCCGAGGTCAGCCCGCGCCTGCGCATACGGAGGGCTGTGTTAGTCCACACTATTGATGACGTATAGTTCCCGGTCAGTCCCGCTCCGGGCCCGTTCCGGCGTGCCCGGCCAGAATGCCAGATGCTGCCGGCGCTGTGCATCGCCGACCGGGCCGAGGTCAGTCCGCGCCTGCGCATACGGAGGGCTGTGTTAGTGGACACTATTGATGACGTAGACGTAGGATGCGAGCAGCGCAGGACCGTTTGTTTATTAGCGATCTTTTTGTGACAGTCGCTATCGCGCAGATCATTGCAGTCATTGGCGCTAAATGTAAGTACTTACTCGGTGACTCTAACCCTAACTTGGTCGCAGTCGCGTTGCTGCAACCGGCTGTTGAGATCGGTACAAAACATGCCGGTCGTTGTCGAAATCTAGGGTGTTTTTCATGTACATAGCACAGCACACGCACACCTTAGGTACTATAAGGCTCTAAGTTTGTTTAACTCTTCCAGTCCATAATTTATTTGTGTTATTTTCATTTGTTTACTAATAACTGGCTGCTTTTCAGTGAAGAAGATAACGACGACATAGTTCCCATAATAGAGCGGCACTCTCCACGCCTCCAGCAAATGTACGGGGAGTTCTACGTGAGCGAGCTCATCTCGCGCCACCCGGAGTCGGAACGAGTGCTGTTAGTGTGCGAGGTAGGACTAAAGACGTGTTCATATTATTTTGTCTCTCGTGTTGTGTCGTGACGCATAAGAACGGAATCGATTTCATACAAACATCAGAAGCCGTAACGACACGACACAAAACTCTCTAGTGTGACGTAACTTGACTTAAGGTCCTATGTCCCCTAGATGGGGCAGAGAGCGTCCACAACAGTCCTCCATCGCGTTCGGTCTTGAGCTTCGCGTTTGATCTCGCTCCAGGTCTTGCCGATTTTCTTTGCCTCGTTTGCTACAGTGCGCCGCCAAATATGCTTGGGGCGACCACGTTTACGTTTTCCTTGGGGATTCCAATACAGAGTCTGCTTGGGGATGATTCGTAAATATATCCGGCTTAAACTCTATAGCCTGACCAGGAACATAAAAACCCTGGCATAGAGGCGCGTCAATTGCATTTGATAGTGCAACACTGAGTACAGTCGTACCTGTCTTAAATTAATAGGCTAACTTTATGTATCAGGATTCTGGATTACGGGCTAATTTGATATTTTCATAAATTAACGAAAAAATATTATTATAGGTATCGAGTTAGTAGGATTTATTTTATTATTCGTCAATAATCAAATTCAGAACTTGAATATTCAACTGCAATGTGTGCTCATGAACGCTTCAAACTCGGTACTTTCCCAATTCCATAAAATTCAACACTTAGAAAGTGACAAAAAACTTTAAAATAGGTAGTTGAAACAAACCGCAGCTAATTTTCATAGTGGACTGTACTATACGATAAACATGTCAGTCAATTTGACAACTTTTGTCGGAAACATTATTCAATGAAAATATTGTCCGAACCCTTAGTATTTCTCTTCGAAAAATACTTTAACACATTGTGAACCACTTTTCTTTCACGACTATAAAAATATTTTAGCAATTTAATTCACAAAATCAATTGCGCACATTTAAAATAAAGTTTGTTTACACTTTGACAGCAATAGACTGACATGCAAGGTGACATGTCAATGAAGATTTCAGTTACTGTTGCCATTAAAAGAAATTAGTACCATTAGTTTTCCGCAACATGGCGAGGGTTTTTATGTTCCTGGTGAGGCTATAACTAAGTAATACTGAAGTTTAAAATTTTGGCTGATCTCTGCTCTCATTTATTACTTGAATACTTAGTGTTCACTTGATCAGTTGTCCAATTCCAGCACAAGGAACTAGCAGTAGGCGTGATGTGTCTCAATACGCAGATAAACCTCGAAGCGCTGGAGGAGTCTTTCGAGCTATCCTCTTTCGGCGGACTTCGACACCTGGAAGGTTATTACACCCATAAGTACAGCAGAGACCTGGAAGCCTCCGTTAGGTTGGTAGCCTATTGAACGGGATAGTAGACGCTAGTGAATTTGGTTATACAGGGTGGAATTTTGTAATGCCACCTGAAGGGAAAGTACTCTTAATATTGTAGATAGAAATTTTTTCTCAAAGAAAACATTCCTTTATTTTTGAAAAGAAATAGAACTGCATTTAAAGATTTCCAAAAATATGCTTGCCACACCCGGGAATCGAGCCAACTAAAATCTGTTAAAAATTACACCCTGTATTTTTATTACATCGATCGTTAGGGTTAAGTAAAAGGATGAAATCTCTCTAACAAACTTCATAAATAAAATGAAAGGAAAACCATGAAATCTTAAATTATTTTAATTATGTTACTTTACAGAAAATTGTATGGTATGGTAGTGAATGTTCGAAAAATTTTCAAAAATCTTTGAATGCACTTCTCTTTCTTTTCAAAAATAAAGGAATGTTTTCTTTCAGTAAAATTTTCTATTTACAGTATTAAGAGTACTTTCCCTCCAGGTGGCATTACAAAATTCCACCCTGTATAATTACCTATAGATTAGTCACACTTTCAGTTTATCTACTAGCGGCCTGAACCACATGGAGCAGCAACCTTCTTCTACACACCAAATGGATTTTTCGCGACCTAGCGCCAAGTCCAGGGTATGTTATAATTTTTATTATTATTTTATTACAAGTGTAGTTTTTGTAAGGTATTCTTATCTACAATGTAATCTTGTAATCCCTTAAGCTTGCGTAGCTCTATTCTGGGCATTCTGGCTTTAAACAATTCTTTATAATAGCTTGTGTGCTTTGTTCTAGCCTTAAAAAAGTCTTACATTTATTATGGCACAAGTACACTATGCGGAATATTGGGCGAGAGGTAATAGTGTGAACACCATCTCGGTTACTTTCTCCTATCCACAACCGTGCGTGCCCATACTTTGGTGCGCGATCTAGCGCTTCGTCTCGGTCAATTTGCCGCATAGTGTACTTGCGCCATTGTTTATTATAATGTTAGGTAACCTGGCTGTTCAACGACGACGAATTCAACGAGTTTCGCTCAGAGGCCTTCCCTGTGGCATCCCGCGCGCCCACCCCTCCCCTCACTCAGCTGGACATCCTCAATCTTCTGGAAGACGAGGAGGAGGAACTGGAGTTCGACATCGTCAACATTGACACTGATCTGCTAAGGGTGCCGAAGATGCTGTCTTATGATACTATGGAAAGAGGGTACTACATTGTTTTTTTTTATTCTTTTTTACCATGGTGATTATTGGTGATATCGATAGTCCCTTATATTATTGAACGTGTAGTATAGGTATTCAATGGATACAATTTATAATATTGTATCATCCATCTTTTATACATCAGACTATAACATTTTGGCGTAGTAGTTTAGTTACTTCTAAAGAAGTGTTGGAGATCATGAGTGTTCAGAATCAACAGATAAAGTGGACTCTCTTAAAATTATCTTATGATTGACTTAAGTTGATCGTCAATAGCCTCAATTGTTTCGCAGATTAGCTGAGAGCATCATGAAAGTGTTGGACGACAAGTCCAAAAAAGAAATGTCCGTCGACGAAAAAATTGCAAAAAAAGATAAACTCAAAAGTAAGTATTAGGGCTATATTTCACCGGGACACCATGGCGGCGCAACCAGTCGACGCTACCAACAAAATGTATGCAGCTTTGCGCAACCAAACGGACACCAGGTGAGTAACTCTCTATAGAGCTGTATACATTTTGTTGGTAGCCGGCGACTGGTTGCGCCGCCATGGTGTCCCAGTGAAATATAGCCCTTAATCCGAGTTCAGCAGAAGAACAAGCACTTCGTGTAAGTTGGTTATAAAGTCTCTCTTTATATTTATTGGTATCTGTGAGGTATTATAAAAGTTATAATTAATATGAACTAGATATTTCGAATAAAAATATTGCATGGCAGTCTCAACAACGGCGGTGGCAGACAGACAGCCAGAACCTATCCGTTACTCGGGACCACCAAATGCTTTTCTTCTGGAACTTTTTGCGATGCACCCGGATTATGATGAAAGGTACTTAAACTTTTCTAAAGCTTTTGTAAGGACTTTGCCCTAAAATTTTCTTCAACTCTCACCTATTTCTATTGCTTGTCAGCTTGCTTGTTAACATTCCAGGCTTTTATTTTGCTGCTTTACTTTTTTAGATATGGATTCGACATGCTGGAAGCAGCTTATGAGCTGTTCCCTGACAGGGATTACTGTGTCATGTGCCTCCCATCTAACCACCCTTCATTTCCACTTTTAGAACACTTCACGGTACGTTCTAGAAATTTATGTGAATGTGGTGACAATGCACAATGGTTTGAATGGAATTTTCTTTTGGATTTGAAATTTTTGATGCTAGATTTGATCTTTTGGAAACTATGTTTTTTATGGTTGTAAAATACGCTTCCAGCTGGTGACCCCTTATGGAACTCGGATGCGGTTTATAAATGAGACGCTTTACGTTGCTCACGTTAATTCTGTAAGAGGGTAAGAATTTTTATATTTCTGTCTTATCGCTTACATTACTATCGGACTTCTATTTAGGTAGGTACTTGTTCGTCATTTATTTATTGACCCTCAAACTGTAGATCCTTGCTACGTAATGTTTACTGTAACAATATAAACTATTTTTAGATTGGACGATTTAATATGATTTTCAAACTTGAAAGCGTGCTGTAAATGTTCGTTCAAACATGCATGCTATGTCCCAACTTAGCTTAAACCATTCTGGGAGTGGGTAGTCAATGCGAAAAAACGCTGAACGGTTGGAATGTACAGGGCATTGACTATCCACTCCCAGAATGGCTTAAAAAATCTGCTTCCAGAGACGTCCAGGTGCGTCCGGGAGAAGCCAGCGACGTGGTCTACCTGAATGACATCTTGGAGCACACTCCTCGTGGACAGTCTCTGATGGAGCTCTTCGACTCGACTCTGTATTCCCGCACTTTGTACTCCTTCATCCTTTTGAGCCAGAAGCAGCCGATCGGCATGGTTATACTTGGGTAAGTGACCCTCATTATCATAATCAGCGAGTGGTAATTTTATGATTGCTTTTATACCTACTTTGAGATAAGACCGATACGACCTGCAAGCTTTCAAGAAGAGAGCGTATCTTCACCTTAAAGGCCGGCAACGACCTGTAACGACCCTGGGACTGCGGGTGCCTATGGGCGACGGTAATCACTTACCATCAGGTGATCCGTCTGCTAGTTTGCCTCCTGTCACATAAAAAAGAAAGATTTAAGGTTTAAAATAAGTTGGCTTCTCAACAGCAAATAAGCATACAAATAGCTTACATATTTTTGTGTTTGTAGACCTCTAGAGGACGGCACCGCAATACGAACGCAGTATGATTTGGACCCAGAACCTCGACGACCTTGCACGGACGGCACAGTAAGCAATTTGGTACTGATTGCAATAATTTAATACAGTATCGCCTCTATGTTACTAAGCTATTTGGACCAGGTGTTGGCAGGCGTCATGTCGCCGGCGTTGGAACCGCACGGGCGCTGGTACATGCGGGACATTCTTCGACAGTCGCACTACACGACTCTCCTTTGGATCTGCAGGCTGTTCGCTAAAGGAGATGTGGTACGTTACCTGTTTCATTCTCCTTAACTGTTCTGTATTTCATTATCGAAGTGGCTGACCTGCCAATACATGTCAGTGGATCTTTAGATCATACTTGGTAAAATATTTATAACCCGTTACCTAGTAACCATGTAAATAAATAATATATCCGCTTTTCAGATCGCTTCGCTTTTTATTTACATTTTTATTATTTTCACAGCAATTGACGTTATCACACATTTACAGCAATGCTAGTCAAATTGCCGATAAATTTTTAAACCATTACTCAGTGAAAATCTTGACTGGGTCATGAAGATGTTCACCGTTTAGTTTTGTATCAGAGCGCGAGCCGCAACCTGATGTCGCTGGCGGGGCACATGACACCGGTGCGCCCGCGGCGAGCCGTGCCCAACATCAGCGGGAATAAGGAGCTGGACAAGATATTCCAGGATATGTGAGTAAATGTGGTATACTTTGGGCTGATGATTGACGATTTCAAAGGGCAAAAAACTTCTGATGAAGAGATGAACTTGATGTTACATGTCAAAAACCTTTTTAAATGTGAATATAGACCACTTTTGTTTTTCAATGTTCTAGCCTCGGTGGACCGATGAACTAAGAAGATCGCGGGACTCAATTGATTTCGGGCAGTGCTGGACCGGTTTTTGTGGAAAAGGCTTTCCACAAAAACCGGTCCAGCACTGCCCGACTTGCCTAGCAGCGGAAGGCCATTGGCTGAAACGTAGAGTAGTGAAACTGCTTCCTAACTTTCGGAAGCTTATTGCTAGGAGTAATTTATGATTTAAAATATTCTATCTACTCCAATATCTTTTATTCAGGGCAATGCCTTTCGCTCTATGGGTGCTAGAGCGGCCGCTGTCCTGCCTTCCCAAGGTGTTCGTCAACAACAGTATCGTGGTCGTTGGAGCCAGTCGGACTGGACTGGCTTTTCTGGAGTCTTTGATAATGGGGTACGACTATGTATTTTAGTTACATCTAATCTGCTTTGCTGAAACTTATATTGTAAGGTAGGACTTTTGTGTATCAACTAATATTTATTTCTATGTCTATGAGAGTGCCTACGTACTGCTTTGGCTTTTGTTTAGTTCAATTTTTTTTTATCACAGCCCCGCGTCACAGTACCTAACGTTCAGCAACGTGACCCTGGTGTCTGAGCACGGCCTCCCGACGGTGGTGGAGTGCCTCAAGGCGGCTGACACGTGCATCTCTCATGAGGGACGGTATTCGGACCGGTATCTCAAGAGCGTGCCGTTCTACTACTATGTGGATGTCATGTCTGCTGTCATGGTTAATATTGACAGGTGAATAGTTAACTTAATGATTCAACCACACCAACGCGTGCAGATAGCCATCACCGACGCGATCATGGCGCGATCATAGGGAAATGACAGGTCGCGTGAACTGTCATCGGGTTGCGCGACCTCTCATTGGCCTTTGATCGCGCCGGCGATAGTGATCTGCACACGGTGTGGTTGAAGCTTTAACGTTCTCTTATTAGACATGTGACTCTCCTCCCGGGCTCTCCAAATTTTTACCTACAGGTCATCCTCCTCTTGCATCGAAGTATTGTAGGTACTTGGTGCTCTAAACGTCCTTAGAATGAATCATCCTTTGTACAGTCGCGGAATGAAAAGGTTCGTCACCTTAGTGTCGGTTTTCGCTTGCACTGTAAGAGTCAAACCTGCCAACATTATAGTGCAAGACACAGTGCTGCTAACATTTAAATAAATATGACGTTTGCTAACGAATAAGGTTTTGCTTGTTTATTTTTCTATCCCATCAGTGCAATGTTACAAAATGTAGTTTTTTTTTTATATAGAAATGATAATGGCAGGTTGAACCAACAAGAAGGTTTTAGTTTATCAATAATCTTCTTGAAAAGATAAATCGTCAAACAACTTCGATCTGACTAATTTTGAACTTTACCAAGCAACAGTTAAAGATTATTTTCTATAACTCGAGATTATTCTGTAACATAGTTTCAAAAGGTAATATGTGCTCGCGATTCGTTGAAGGAATCAATTTGAAAACTGACGAACCTTTTCATTCCGTGACTGTACATAATGTATTATTTATCGACAAGTAAATGTTCTTTGTGGCAAGTAAAGTCCACCATTTCAGGTTATTTAATTCTTTCAGGAAAATGAAATGTATCCAACTGAAAAGCGGTGGTGTGAAGTTTTATGATGAGCTGGTCCTTACTTGTGGCAAACAATTTCAGCATCCAGATTACTTACACCAATCGCTTGAATTGGTGAAAGAGGTCGAGTTAGTACACGAAACGTTTTCTTAATACATATAAAAAATTAGATTTTTTTTGTAATGTTTGTACCTGGGGAGACAAATGACTCACTTGACTTACCTACAAATATTAGGAAAGGAAAGCCATGTGACAGGATCCTGATGGATAACCCGGAATACCAGCCGGACCGGGTCCCTGCGCCTCCAGAAATGCCAGATAATCTGATGTTGATCAACTCTCTCTTCGAAGCGAACTCCTGCATGAGGAAACTCATGCGCATGATCAGTGATGCAAGTAAGACGGATTAGATATACCTAGTTTAAGTATGCTAAATGGCTTTTAGTACGACTATGAGGTGAATAAGGGGCATTTGGGGGGTCAATCAATCACATTATTCGTTGTAACGATAAAACTTGTCAATACCTTTAGTTTTTTTTTTTTTTTTATGCATAACAAGGCAGGTATTTGACCACAATCGCACCTGGTGTTAAGTGGGATGCGGTCTAGGATGGTACATATCTGCCCTGTAAGTGCCTATTCACTCTCGCCTTGAAAACCGTTGTTGACGTTGTTGTGCTGTAAGTAGCTAGCTTGGCATTATTACAGAGGACACAAAGAACTGCCTCAGCGAAGAGAACCAAGTAGTGGTGTACGGGGAGTGCGTGGAGGCTTACAACTGCCTATCCGCTCTTCTGGAGCTGGGATTGGTGCCAAAAATGGTGGCTTTTGTGGAGCCCTTCCCGCCCGAGGACTCGTCTGCCTTGAGGGTTAACTGCTTCAATAATGAGACGGTAATTCTTAATTCTTGTTTCAAAATCCCGCCTACAAAAACTAGCCTACTTAAGATCCAGAGTGTTTAGGTTAGAGCCCTTCTATGATCTGAGGGTTAGGCTAAGAACTCACGGCGCGATTTTCACCCGCGCCCGCGGCGGTTGTGGAATTGCGGTTTTATTTCAAAACTCACGGGAGCGGTTATTTGCGCGGTTATTATAAGATTTACGGGCCCGCAACCGCGGCGGGTGCGGGTTAAAATCGCACTATGAGTTCTTAGCCTTAGAGTCATTGCATAGAGCAAACGGTCAACTCAAAGATTTATATATGACTTGATTTTATTTTTGAACTACAACCAGGTTATCTAATTGACAGGTGGACGGAAGAATTCAAGGGAACCTGGAGAGACTTGGGTTCCGAATTCTGAGGCAGTGCTGCTTGGCCGGTTGGAGGCAGGTTGATGCAAGGATCGAGGAGATCCATCTCATGGCGCCACTCCATGCCATCAGGCTGCCATGTTTTGCCTTCTTTTACTACGGCCTGAAAGCTATTGACATCAATGCTTTTAAAGGTGAGCTTTACATTTGGGAAAGTATTTTATGTAGTATCATGGGTGGATGTTGTTGTAGCTGTTATAGAGTCCAAGAATGGAGGGTTCAAAATGTACCAAATAAGTACACTTATAAATATTCTGCATTTTTTCGGTTCAGTTCAGAGCTGCAATGCTATAGGTAACATAACTGTGTTCTATCTGGGTTTCAGAATTTCAGATACAATGTAGGTTTATGCATCTCTCTTTCTCTCTCATAACATCTCTTCTCACCATTAGAGGATAGAAGTTAGAAGCGTTCATTAATAAAGACATCCTAACTTTCAGCGATAAATGAACACTAATAGAGGATAGAAATGTCTTAAATAAACAGATTAAAATTTTTAGCCATAAACGAAAGCGGTCTAGTGTACGACGGAGGCCTGATAGTAGGCCCGTCGTTCGAGACCAACGATCCGCACATCTATGGCGCCGGGCCCTGCACCAGATACTCTCGGAGGCTATATGCAGCGAGGGTCCCGCACCACTACTACTGTTCCGAAGACGTGGGCGAAGCGGTTAGTCATTTTCGACAGAGAAAATCTGTCATGGGATTAAAGGAGTTTAAATGTTTATCATATGTTAGTTACGTGTGGACTCGAAAACTTTTGACAGGACAAAACCAAAATACGATAATATGGAATTTTATAATTCAGAATTACAGATGAGCTTGATAACTACTGAATTCAGAACGATGCGTAAGAGGGATATGGAGCCAAATAACGTTCATGCTGGACAAAGGTCTCCCCAAGGATTTCCATAACGACCGGTCCTGTGATGCTCACATCCAGGTACCTTCCGTGACCTTCACTAGATCGTTGGTCCACCTAGTGGAAGGCCTGCCCACACTAGGTTTTCCGGCCCGTGGTCGTCACTCGAGAACTTTTCTGCCCCAGCTCGTAGAGCTCATCTTGGTTAAATTTTAATTTTTCTTTGTTTGAAAAAAAAAAAATGCTACTGCGATTACTTACTCTATCAAATGTGTCTATGCATGTGAAGTCTTAGGCACTTGTGATCTTTGGCTAGTTGTGAATATTTTTGTAGCATAGAACCTCTCTAGGTGACAGTATTATTAGACGATCTCCGTGCAAGGCTAAACTCAATTACCTATGCGCGATGGCGTGTATCATACAATTTATTTTCTTGTGGACAAATAATAGATGATGTTATCTAATTTTAACAAATTAATTCAATCAGGATCTAAGTCTTACAGTTCACGCACTAGACTTTAGCAATCTTGCATATAAAAAGTCCAACTGACATTGACACTGAGCTTGTTAAGAATATTGAAATCATTTGAGCCTGCAATGGTCTCTGTTCCAGTTTATTTTTGCTATAGGTACAAAATTGTCAGTCTGACCAAATCATGCGCCGACCAAAGATCTTTTTTTATGCATAAAAAGGCTGGTATTTGACCACAATCGCACCTGGTGTTAAGTGGGATGCAGTCTAGTATGGTACATATCTGCCCTGTAAGTGCTTATTCACTCTCGTCTTGAAAAGGCCCGGATTATAGTCTTCGGGAAAGACAGCAGCAGTCTACTCTGCGGGGAGTCTTACACATGAAAAGAAAATGTCTGAGTCAATCATTTAGTCTATGTTGAGGAGGAGTCTGGCTCTCCTTACACAGGTTAAAATCATTTAGGAGAGCGGTACATATTTTGTAATTTAATAACAATATTTTAATTTTCATAAGTTGTTTGATAAATTGTAGTTGGCGCGGATATTCCTTCACAAGCTCGATCCGTTCGTGATGGGTGACCCCGGCGTTGATCAACCGATGACTGATCTCTTACCAAGATACAGCTCCAGCTTGCTGGCGTAAGTATGTGATTATCATCATCATCATCATTTCAGCCAATGGCAGCGTCTATTGCTGGATGCAAGTCTTATTACCCTGACCATCTTGTAATTTGCGGGGATCGGGGATATAATTCATGATCTCTAGCATAGTATTGTAATGATGTTACATACAAATGGCATTTCAAACTTCGTAATATTTGGAGGCATTGCAACAGAAATGGGGTATATTTTATCGACAAGATAGTTATTAATTCATCTAGATTCCTCAAGAGACAAAGATACTTCATCGTTGTTGTGACCTTAAATTGACTAACGCCACACAACACGAAGGTCAAACAACCTTTTCTCATGGGAAATCGGCTGGGTCATACTTGTTCATTATTAATCAGTTTGATTAATCTTTACCCACTCTGTGAGCAAAAGCCTTTGGTTTTGTAAATTGATTAGCTTTTGATTTGTAGTGCTGAGCTTAAAAATCTAGAGTAGATATTTGATATAATATGTTTGTTTCTATTTACAGTTTCAGAGGCTCTCATGCAAGTATGAGCAGTGCTACAAAAATCAATCTGGGGGTAACATCAAGAAGGTTATAAATCTTTTTTATGTAACTGCACAATTGTTAAAACACTCCATCTCCATAATGTAGTAATTGATACAATATTTATATTAGCTTTTTTCGTAAAGGATTTGATTTGTCAAATCGTTTGTGTTTTAATCGTGACTCTAAAACTCATTCATTTTATTCGTGAGGCATAGGTATACTTTTTAAACTTGGCATGGTTTTTCGTTAAAATTACACGTTTGGTATATTGAAATCAAAATAACTTTTAGATGGCAACCGGTGATGAAGTTTGAGTCGCCAATCGTGCAGTTCTCGACTTTACCGGGGCCGGTGTACTACCTGACTGTTAGGAAGCCGGGGCCTGTGATACCAATGGAGGTGCAGCTCTCGTTGCCACATCAGGTAAAACTATAGTGGTTGAACTACGTGTTTTTAATGGTTTTCTTTATTTCCTTCATACCATTATGTTGCATTTTTTACTATAAAATTATCACTTCACGGGATTTATTTATTTATTTCATGACCCGAAAATCCTCTCAACTGATAGGCATTACCATGTTAGGTTGATACGTGAAGCCATTGAAATTAAAAAGCATAAGAATTTCAATCGAGAAGATGGATTTAACCTATCATCAGCGTGGAATCCGGTGATAACGAAGTACAAATCGCGTTCTAGGCCGTCTCAGAGAAACCCGGACACTGTTAGTGTAGTTTGTCGGACTGACTGTACCACTGACGAAAATATTGTGCAAATGCGGGTGGGTGAAGAAAACTCATCGCGCCGGAGCAGACGACGCCGCATCTCTTCAGTCTGCCCGCGACCATGACTCGTGCAACCTCAGATCATAGAAGGGAATAGATGTGAAACGGGGGCGTGGCGCGTGTCTCCGCGATATGCCCAGAAACGAACATCGGCCGCGTAGCTAGGTTAGTCGCGATTCAGTCGTACTAAGGAAATGTTCTCCGATATTTTGGATAATGCGTCGTTACGTGCAATAAAACAAGTGAAACGAACGAACTACAGGAACAATGGAGTCATTTACTACATGTAAGTATTGCAAATCCATTGGTATTTTGCTTAATAAAAAAAACTAAACATTTTTACGAACGAATTCAGTGCCGTAACAGTTACTGCGATATCGAAATCAGTGGTGATAAAAATTCTAACACACTTGTACATTGACGATTTAGTTAGCAACCACTTTATGTCGTGCTCAACTACTGCGCAATGTATTTAATTTCTTCCGATATCCACTGTCGTGTGAAAATACACAGTACGGCCGCATGTGCCGGTCGTAACATAGTGCCGTGCTCGTGTTCTAATGCGGTTTCCTATTATCGATAAATAGAAGTAAATTATAATTTTCCATTTTGTAATTTTAACCTTTAACCGACGACGTGATTTTTTTGTCACGCCGTCTGCGACGTGCGGTCTGTGGGACCGCTATACTGTTTACTCAAAAAGTAATATTTTTTTTGTATAAAAGTATATTGGTTTTATATTTTTTGAGAACATTATAGTATTACAAATAAACATACGTATAATTTGCGAGGAATCAATGTATATTTTTTATTTAAATATGGCTAAAACTTTTTTGACCCTTAATTTCATTGAAATTACACTAGAGCTCAATAATACCTATATAACTTGTAAATTTTAATCAAAGCAAGAAAAACTATACTCCTTCCTAAATATAGTGAACATAATGAATAAAATAAAAATAAATGACACGTAAATTACATGCACAAAAAAAATTGATGTAGGGTAAACATCAGGCAAAATCAGGACATTTTTTTACCGCATGCCAAGCATTTTCGGAATGCATAGGTAACACCTGTAAGATTATTTCGTTTTCAATTTAGGTGGACTAAAATGTACGTCTTTTTTGCAGCTGGTGCAATGACATCAGGCTGATTTGGCATGTCAGAGCCTAGAATACATGTCACTGTTTGCTTTACCACCCAAAAAAATGATGTGTTACTTGCGATTATAAGATTTTACAAAAAAAAAATAACAGTAGAAGTAATTAGTAACTGTCAACTATGTAATTACTATAAGAGCTAGTTGAAAGCCTAATATAGGCATTATTTTGGTAAACATATGCGGTACGCAGATCGCCATAATTAAAAAGTAAATGCGTGATAGTAGCTATTATTAACGTATAATAATAAAAAGGTTTTCAGACATAAGTATTTTGTGAAACCAGTTTCGAGCCTTGCCCCTAGCGATTTAAAGTATCGATATCTTGTCGACTCCATTTTATCTTTGTTCTCTCACTAGCGTTTTCTATGTGTGCGTCACGTCACGCGGCCATTGATTGGCCATAATTCACGCCTTCTGGCCAATCACAGCACTTTTAAGACGGTTGCACATGTTGTCGTAGACTCTCAGTCGCTTTGTTTTTACACAGTTGAATGTGTGTGTGGGAGCTGTGGTGGGGGAAATGTGGGGACACTGGTTCTCGTTGTAGTTTAGCGCGACTTCATATCTATTCTCTTTCTATGATCTGAGCGTGCAACCGAGCCGAAACGTCGGGAGGGTAAATATAATTTACCGTTAAAATAGATATTGTTGCAATAAATCCCGTGAAGTGATAATTTCCTTCATACCGTCGGCAAACAAATAAATAATGGAAAAATAGTAAGTTATGAGAAATTAGTAGGACCACAAGCATACATCCCAACTTGCGTAGTAGATCCAAGTTGTAGAACAGATCTCCTTGGTATTTAGAAGTCTGAGTAGGAAAAGATTCGAAATCACAAAGACGCGCAACAAATAGAAAATAACACTTAATTTTTTTCCGCCGCTTAGCGTAACAGTGACAACACAATCTATTAACTTTTGAATTCTCAATCCATCTCTTATCAGGGCCACACGCTAGTAACGGACAAGCGCGGCAACTACTTCCGCTTACAACTGAACGCGCTGCACTGCGTGGCGAGCGTCACGTGCCTCTCCAAGAGGCACTTCTCGCCGGAACTGCTGAGCCAGCTGTATGGCAAGCACGAAGCGTTCTTCAACAAGCTGCTAGCTAGATACAAGGTATTAGTTCATCGAGGCATAGGATAGTAACGCTTGCAACTGAACGCGCTGCACTGCGTGGCGATTGTCACGTGCCTCTCCAAGAGGCACTTCTCGCCGGAGCTGCTGAGCCAGCTGTATGGCAAGCATGAAGCGTTCTTCAACAAGCTGCTGGCAAGATATAAGGTATTCGTTCATCGAGGCATAGGATAGTAACGGACAAGCGCGCAAACTAAGTACGCTTGCAACTGAACGCGCTGCACTGCGTGGCGAGCGTCACGTGCCTCTCCAAGAGGCACTTCTCGCCGGAGCTGCTGAGCCAGCTGTATGGCAAGCACGAAGCGTTCTTCAACAAGCTGCTGGCTAGATACAAGGTATTAGTCATCAGGGCACAGGATAGTTAGGGACAAGCGCGGCAACTACTTCCGCTTGCAACTGAACGCGCTGCACTGCGTGGCGAGCTTCACGTGCCTCTCGAAGAGGCACTTCTCGTCGGAGCTGTTGAGCCAGCTGTATGGCAAGCATGAAGCCTTCTTCAACAAGCTGCTGGCTAGATACAAGGTATTAGTTCATCGAGGCATAGGATAGTAACGGACAAGCGCGGAAACTAAGTACGCTTGCAACTGAACGCGCTGCACTGCGTGGCGAGAGTCACGTGCCTCTCCAAGAGGCACTTCTCGCCGGAGCTGCTGAGCCAGCTGTATGGCAAGCACGAGGCCTTCTTCAACAAGCTGCTGGCTAGATACAAGGTATTAGTTCATCGAGGCATAGGATAGTAACGGACAAGCGCGGAAATTAAGTACGCTTGCAACTGAACGCGCTGCACTGCGTGGCAAGCGTCACGTGCCTCTCCAAGAGGCACTTCTCGCCGGAGCTGCTGAGCCAGCTGTATGGCAAGCATGAGGCCTTCTTCAACAAGCTGCTGGCAAGATACAAGGTAATGGTTAATGAAAGCCACACGCTAGTAACGGACAAGCGCGCAAACTAAGTACGCTTGCAACTGAACGCGCTGCACTGCGTGGCGAGCGTCACGTGCCTCTCCAAGAAGCATTTCTCGCCGGAGCTGCTGAGCCAGCTGTATGGCAAGCATGAAGCGTTGTTCAACAAGCTGTTGGCGAGATACAAGGTATTAGTTCATCGAGGCATATGATAGTAACGGACAAGCGCGCAAACTAAGTCCGCTTGCAACTGAACGCGCTGCACTGCGTGGTGAGCGTCACGTGCCTTTCCAAGAGCCACTTCTCGCCGGAGCTGCTGCGCCAGCTATATGGCAAGCATGAAGCGTTCTTCAACAAGCTGCTGGCAAGATACAAGGTATGGGTTCATCAGGACCACTCGCTTACAACGAATAAGCGCGGCACCTACTTGCTACTGAACACACTGCACTGCATGGCGAGCATTCTTTTCAAAATGACAGGTTTAGATTTAACGAAGCTTCTCCTTGAAAACGCATTTTAACAAAAAAAGCTTGCAGTAGAGTTAGTTGTCTAGTTCGTGTCTTGGCTTTTTTGCATTCCGCAGTCTAAAACTACTTATGTATATTTGCAGCATATGCAGCAGAGCTTTTAAACGTCTACGAAAGAACTACGAGCGCTATGTTTGTGCAATAAGCTTTCAATTGCTAAGTTTTAATTGCATTTCACCTTATATTTAAATCAAAATGAATGCAGATGGGTGAGATCGACGACCTGTATGAGTTCTTCACGCAGCCGTGGATGGCGGCGCTCTACCAGGAGACCTTCAGCGACCTGCTCAGGGATATCAACGAGCAGGACGTGGGAACTGTTAGTGTTTTTCATTCATTTATTTTACTATTAAATCTTTATAATGTTAGACAATATCAATCAGTTCTTTTCACTTTGTCTCTTTCTAATGCTGTCTGCATCAAATAGCAATTACCTGTAATCGTAAATAGAAGTGAAAATAAATATTCCATTGAGTCAGGAATTGTGACAATGTCGTTTCGTAATTTTGCGCTTCTATGTCGACGATCGGTGATCCGATAAGTATCCAGTATGGTCCTAAATTCAGCATGGATCTTTTGTGCCTTATAGGTGTACGATCTCGTGAAGTCCCGGTACTCTATGGCGGAAAGCAAGGCGAGGTCTGTGGTCGTCACGCCGCAGAGCACCTGTGCTACTGAGTCAGCCTGCGACATGGGGTATAAGGTAGGTACAATATAACCATTTTTTCTTGAATATAGCAATAGGGTGACTTCTATTACCTTCGGTAATGGTAGTTGTTAACCGCAACTGATACCTTTAGTAATCGCTCATGTAATTACATACTTGACTGCGGCTATATCGTGAACTCAGATTGACGGAAATTACACGTTTGCCACAGTGGTCGTGAAACAAATACCGATCCAAGATTGGAGCGGTAAAGCTAGATGTACCTACTCCTACTATGTTGGATTTCAAAAGCGGTCCTTCGAGCCGGATCTCTAACATTTCTTAAAAAATAGTAATAACCCCGTCAGGAGTCGGAATTTCTACAAAAGATATGGATTCGTTGCGTCCTCTATCGGAATTTGACTGATTTGCGTATAATTCCTCTAGACTGCTGTTATTTATTTCTCACTGATGTATACTAGATGGCGCTGTCGTATTTGTCGAATAGACACTCAACACACCATTTTCACATAAAATAATTTGCTTTTTATAATTCATCAGGACGCAAAAAATCTCGGAACATTCAGATCTGTCATTGACAAATTCGTCGCAAGAACTAGCAGTGCTCAAATCGTAAGTGTATCCAATAATTTATTATGGTCGAGCGTGATAGTTATTTGAATAAGAAATAACAAGAAAATGATAGTAAATCTATAAAATTAAATCTGTTTCAGGTCCATATCCAGAACACGACGGATATACCGTCGGTGAGTATTGGCCGTGTAGTTTCCAGACCGATATTCGAGGCTATCCGTCGGCCGTCATTGAATTAGCCCGGGCATGATCACTTAGGCTCTAGTCTGCGTTGTTTGACCTGATATCTGCGAAAGTTCTTTGCCATTTTCAGAAAACAATTCGTTTATTACTTACATTACTTAGTGCCAAACTTGTGATAGCAATGATAGTGCTTCACTGAAAAAGATTATACTAAAAGTTACCTTCAGAAGATAAAAAATAACTATCCAACCGTTACTCTTATTTATCTATTAGCGCTAAAGATTCATATCATAAATAAACAACTCACATCACATGTATAAGTATGTGGTTGTGCAGACAATGAAGTACATACATTAAGGTTAGAAAATCGATTGTAATCCCGAAGACATTACTTACATTTGCTTGTATCTCAGCATCGTCATTTCTGCCAATCCGCCAGTTTTTTCATCCTATAACTATTATCTTCTTGAGGTCATCAGTTCATCTAAGGAACATGCGGGCTCCCAAGAGCCTTTGTGTCTCTACATTCGGGAACTATTAACAATTAAATGGGTTCTGCCTGAAAGAATTTGAATAAAGTGTTACCTTCGCAGGAATGCGGTCAGAGTGAGTTCGTCCGTTCGGAAGCTGCGTCGTTCTGGAAGACGGTGGGCGGAGAGAGCATCGTGATTGCCCACATCGCGCGCTACCTCAACCGGAATAGTGTGACCAACCCGCACTACGCCAGGCCGCAGCATGAATATCACTGAGGTGATGTGAAAGATGATATTCTAATGAGAGTAGTGTTGGGGTAATACCAAAAGATCCGATACCGATAGATCTCAGGGCTTAAAACCAGTCAATCTTACAATAGAGATGGTAAAGACCTATAGGTCTTTTTAGATTTTAGTTTTTTTAATAGAGTCATTCACTACTTCACCTTGATACCAAGTGTGCACTTGTAATTGCATAAAGAGTAGTAAATAAAGTCATAATCGAAACGAGATCTGATTAGGGGTGAATAAAATAGACCAATTGAAGGTAGATTTGTCTGCAGTATTTGGTCAAAAGAGTAAATATTCTTAACTGTATTAACGTACAAACATTTTATAACTTTATTTTGTTTATTTAGATGTAATGAATTATTTTGAAGTTAGTAAAATAAACACCGATATACATTTTAGACAATTTATTTCATTTTACACATGTTCATTATTTAGACAAGTTCCTTACATTATATTTACACGGAATGCACAATGCGGCCATTGACAAAATGGATTTACCAAAACAGTCTTAATCCGTACGCTATCACGATTCCTTACTCGAGGGGAGGTGGGGCCGAGGAAAAAATATCGTTTAAATATTGCGTACATGTAAAATTTCCCCGACTCTACCCCAAATCTCTGAGAAAACGTTATAACATACGGGAGTTAGATAATAAATACGGTTTTATTTTACAAATACCGAAACAATTTGGTTATAAATATGTAACTACTATGAATTTAACTGCATAAATGTATGAGATTAGAATGACTAGCGTCTTTGGCTTAGGTATCTGTTAAAATGTTTAAAAACGGCCTCTTATGTTAAATTTGACTATTCGATAGAATTAACTTTACGATATCGTTGAGCTGTTAACACCTTAAAAATATGTTATCATGCAAAACGTTTTATATTTACATTAGTCAGTTTTGCGAAGAATTATATGGGCTCAAAAGAGAATTTCGCAAAGTTCAAATTGAAAAAATACAACTAGGTTCATTGTTTTCTTTAGTTGGAACTTATTTTAAATATTTACATAAAAATTGCATCACCCAAAAGTGTTTATTCAAAACTAGTATAGAATAAAAGAAATAGGTATAGTCCAAAATTATTGCTATTCAATTTTTGAGCCCACTTACATTAATTTCAATCAATACAACAATCAAGAAAATACATTACTTATCGAGTTTACTTAATAAATTTTAAAGTGGCTGTACAATATGACTAGCATACACAATTTACGTATATCGAAACAAATGTTTCTTGAACAAATGAAAATTCGCTGAAACGCTTTACATAATAAGAGATCCAAGTCATTTCTGATTTTATAATTAAGTATGTAGAGTCAATTTTGGCATATAACCTTTTCACATCTGAACAAATGAAGGTAAAAATCATGACCCACATGCGGTCAAATGCGTATTGGAATGTAGTCCTGACTCTTCATATTTAATTAATGTAAATCACACCAATCTTCACAACACTTAAGAAAAGTTTACGTACAAAATTGAATTTATGATGTAGGTAGATAACTAAGGTAATGTACTGGAATGTAATAATATTATTATTTAGTTTGTCGTTTCATTTATATTACAAATTGCTCCATTTTGCTGAAATATTTAACGGGTACGGTAGTTTTTTTTAAATGGTATAAAAGTTTTGCAATACACGATGTTTGGATCTTGAAATTCAGGGTTAAAGAAGTTATAATATCTATGTCTCTTCAATTTCTCTAAATGACAGTAAACACTGTATATTAGACAAGTATTAGATTCTCTGCATAGAAGAAAATATTATAATTTGCTCATTGAAGCTGTAAAGCATTGATGTAAATTAATTTTATTATCTGAATCATCGAAACTATCGAAAATTTCATAAACAGTCACGCTGTATTTGGATTGGAAATATAGTTATTATAAGTGATGAGTAGGCTGCCCAAAGGACAATGACCAAAAATGTATGGAGTGTGGTCCAAATGTCCACCACTAACGAGACCTATGTAATAAAATAGTCTACTAAATACTGATTCATTATAACCAAACCGCAATCAAAAATATGCTGTCAGTAAAAAGTTATGACTGAATGAAAAGTCATGTTTTTCACCTTTTCATCCGAAAAATGTTTTTCATATCATTCTATCTATCGCACATTTTGGATTAATCTATGCATGTTATGTCATGTCGCTTAGTGTGCCGTGTTAGATTCTCGCTAAAGGAAAAAAATAAGCTCAGAAGAAAGACAACAATATTGGAATTATGGTCGGGTGGTCGCTGCTCCGCCTCTGTTGGTTGTAGGGTGATGTTATATAACTTAAAACCATCCTTGATAAATGGGCTATTCATAAGAAACATAATTTTTCAAATCAGAGCAGTAGTTCCTGAGATTAGCGTGTAAACTACTACAATTTTTCATACGGTCATAACTTTTTACTGACAGCTTATTTTTTTTTCGTCCCATACTGAAATTTAATCTCTATTTAATGGACTATAAGCCAATATAGGTCTCATTAGTGGTGGACATTTGGACCACTTTTGGTCATTGTCCTTTATATCCGGACTATTGATAGAGTGATATTGTCGGTGTTGACGGTAGTCAGCAAAAATGTTCACCGTTTGTTTTTTTGTTTCTGTATTAGTTAAGGTATACAAGTGTAAATGTTAATGTATGTTTTAAATTCAATAAATTATTTGTATTTGTATTTGATAAAAAATTCACTATAGTAACACACACTGACTAGTCTGTAGGATTCGTGCTGCGTCCCAAAATAGATTCGCAAGAGACTAACATGACGTGTAGTTGTCTGCAGATCAATAGGGCAAAGTCTAGTCGGCTTATGATCACTAGGGCGGTACGTAGTCGTCTGTAGACCACTAGGGCGGCGCATAGTCGTAAACTGAATACTAGGGCAAAATCGTGTGCCAATCTTATGCGATTTGTTGTCCGTGAAGGTTATGTATTCTTTGTTGAATAGACATAAAAGTAAAATGTTGTCATAAGTTGTCTGTTCATTATTGAGATATACAAACTGACTTTTATGACTGTATGTATACTTCGATATGTGTATCATGTTAGAAAATATCAAACGTGCAATGTTCTAGAGCGCGTTCAGCAACGGATGACTGAATTTACTAATTTAATCCCGATGTGATTTACATTTAACGATCGATAGTTGGGATGAGTCATCTTCAAATGTGTAGGGCAGCGCAAATATTTTGCAGACGATGTAATTTTTTATGACGGCTAGAGTGCTGTAAAGTATTCTGCAAACAACTAGGGTGCCGTAAAGTGTCCCGCAGATGACTAGGGTACCATACATTGTTATGCAGACGACCAGGGCGCCGTAAAGTGTTCTGCAGACGACAAGGGCGCCATAAACTGTTCCGCAGATAACAAGGGCGCCATCCATTGTTCTGCATGTGACTAGGGCCACATAAAGTGTTCTGCAACCAGCTAGGGCGCCGTAAAGTGTTCCGCATACGACTAGCGCGCCATACATTGTTCTGCAACCAACTAGGGCGTCATACATTGTTCCGCAAACGACTAGGGCGCCATACATTGTTCTGCAACCAACTAGGGCGCCATACATTGTTCTGCAACCAACTAGGGCGCCATACATTGTTCCGCAGATGACTTGGGCGCCATATATTGTTCTGCAACCAACTAAGGCGCCTTAAAGTATTCCGCAGACGACTAGGGCGCCATACATTGTTCTGCAACCAACTAGGGCGCCATAATTTGTTCCGCAAACGACTAGGGCGCCATACATTGTTCTGCAACCAACTAGGGCGCCGTAAAGTGTTCCGCAGACGACTAGGGCGTCATACATTGTTCCGCAAACGACTAGGGTGCCATACATTGTTCTGCATCCAACTAGGGCGCCGTAAAGTGTTCCGCAGACGACTAGGGCGCCATACATAGTTCTGCAACCAACTAGGGCGCCGTAAAGTGTTCCGCAACCAACTAGGGCGCCGTAAAATGTTCCGCAACCAACTAAGGCGCCGTAAAGTGTTCCGCAACCAACTAGGGCGCCGTAAAGTGTTCCGCAACCAACTAGGGCGCCGTAAAGTGTTCCGCAACCAACTAGGGCGCCATACATTGTTCCGCAGACGACTAGGGCGCCATACATTGTTCTGCAACCAACCAGGGCGCCGTAAAGTGTTCCGCAACCAACTAGGGCGCCGTAAAGTGTTCCGCAGACGACTACGGCGGCGCGTAGTCGTGCGCCGGCGCCGGCGAGTAGTCGGCGCCGTGCAGCAGCGATTAGGTCTGGTACTGCAGCATGGGCGCGGCCGCCAGGTTGGCGTGGTGCCCGCTGTTCATCCGTAGTGCGGATAGCGACTTGTTGTACCACTCGTCCTCTGCGCTCATGCCTGCGGGAAAAAAGTTGCATTGAACCGAGTTCTAATTATAACCCTAAGGCACAGAACACTAGGTGAAACGCAATTGCAACGAAACTGCAACTCCTAGTTACTTTTGAGTTGCATCTGAAAACTAGAAGTTGCAGTTTCCTAGCAATTGCGTTTCACCGTGTGTTCTGGGCCTAAGTATAATTTGGTTACAATAACCGAACGGTGAAGGTGTCGGACTGGCTGGCTCGAGATCCGAGTAACGCGGGTTCGAACCCCGTCGCCACTTGATTATTGTGGTGAACCCATTCGTAACAGAAGCACGATCATAAGTGCCCTGAATAAACAATTTCATGAAAAACAGCAGTATTAACAATGGAAAATATGTACGAGTATATTAACCAGTCAAACGTAGTTTAGTTGTTATTGCTATAGCCACTAAGCTCACATTTGTCCCATATCTGCACGTTGTTGATTGTGAAGGAGATTGGTTTATGTAGAACCCGTGCTAGGTTGTGCAGGGTCGTGTGCAATTGCCGTGAATTTTGGGAACGGGGAAGGAGCTAGCTCAGCAAAATTCGGGAAGGTGTTCCTGAACGTTTCACGCAAATTCGTCTTGCCTTCTGATCACAGATCACAGAAAGTTTTGTGTCGCTTCTTTATTGGTCACACAAGTACGCTAAAATAATAATAATAAAAAAAATAAGTTCTGACTGTCAATGGCGATGAAAAAAGGATATTAAGGCGATTAGTGTCCTCAATCCGCGTAAAATGGTCATTTTGTAAAGCCTACTCCTCTTTTACTGCTGGACAGAAATAGTTGAAAAAAATATATGTTATACAACAGTTCAAGGACTACATTTGACACGTTTGAATTTTTCCTACGTCTCTTTGTTGTGGATTAAAAAAATAAATACGGGACATCGATTTTTTACTTCAATTCCCTACTCCTCCCAAACGGCTATGTTAATTTTAAAGATTTTTGCACGAATAGATTAAGAATTCTTTAATCTTTAAATGACACGTTGCGTTTTTCAATCGAACATTACTTTCATTCATAAATTTTACTTTTGATAAATTCCGAACGTTTTGCTGTTGAGGGGGCCTTCGCGGGGTGCGGGCGGCAGTCGGCCGCTGGCCTTCAGACGGGGAGGTTGTGTTACTCGCTGCAAACTGACATTAGCGATCAAAATGATTTTTTTCTTTGGCTGAGTTGCACCACCTGACGTGACCTAACTTTGACCGTAGCTTTGGCGATAACCGGTGTTTTTTTGTATGGAGTTTGACAGATATTTGACTTTTGTCAAATTTAAAATAAGATGGTGCAACCCAGCCTTTGTTTGACAATATATTTTATGTCAGAGTTGTTCATAGAGTACGTTCAGTCAGACGATACGATTGAATTAAGGCATGCTTGGACGCTATTATCTAATCCGAAATTTTAACTCAATCGGTTGTCGTCAGGAAATGGGTCTAACTAATTCAGCTTGCAAAATTCCACCCGAACAAACATACTTTACACACAACATACATTGTAAGCTAAATAAAATAAAATAAAAAATATTATCCCATACAAAATGTTCATGGATTTGTAATTTTTGTTAAATATAAATACCTTACTATACGGTGCGCTAGTTTAGAACATTTCGGGCGATCACTTGCGCCTGGGTTGAATGACATCGAAATCAAGGTTCATCAATTCAAGTTTAAAATAATAGGCAGTAATGTATGAAGAAAGAGCTTCTATTCTGTACCTACCTATGCCCGTGTATTTTTGATCGGTGTCAAATCGGAGTTTTCGTGCGGGGTGCGCGGGTGTTGTGCGAAGCGTGAAGGTCAAACGCTCAAGGTCATTGAGGACTCTAATCGCCTTAAAGTTAAGATAAAAAATAATAATCTGTAACTCTCAACAATAGGTAAGCCTTTTTGAAAATCTCGTGTAGAAACTCTAGGCTCTTATAGCCTGAAGTAAAGAATGTATATTACAACTTAATGAAAGTCAAAGGTAAAAAAAGTCGGCTTCTTTTAGATAATTTTATTTACCTCGCCCATCGTTACTTATTATTTTGTCAAGAAAGGCTTTCGGGTAAATAGGAATATGTAGTTGAATAATAAATGTTTACATTCAAGACAACCAGAACCATTAAAAGTAATCAAGAATATTTATTTATTCATAGCTCAGAAGATAATTGAGTTACAACCCGCTAATAAAGCTACGAAAATTCGTAACGCTTGTAGCAGCGACGCCCCCGTAGCCGCGTAGCTCCGTAGCCCCGTAGCGTGTGTCCCCGCCCGCCTATGTAGCGGTACATAGTATAGCCAGGGGGTAGGGAAGCGAATAGTGAGGTACCGAATCGACCCTGCGTTTTCTCAAGATGCAATCTCGCCAGAGGAAATAAGATATTTGCCGAGACGCCGCGAGGCCGCTGCCAAAGTAAATGTAGTGGAAATTTTCTTATTAGAATATCTACGGTACGATGCCTCGGGCTCGCTCGTTTTTTGCGACGCAGGAATCTTGCGCCGGCGGCCTTACACGGTTCGTCGCCTTGGATTTTTAGCGAAATACGCGTTCGGTAATGTGAGTAAAAGTGACGTTTATTCGATTGGGTTTGTTACTCTCGTGGTTAATAGATTTTGTGGCTTTCTGATTTCATATTTCATTTGTTATGTGTGATGCCGAAAGCTTTTAGGATACATTTATAACATCTGTATAGCTTCTATCAAGTTTCTTTGAAGTATTTACAAATACAATAAGTATTTTTATGTAATCTTATACATATTTATCTGTCTCGCTTATAGAAAATAATAAGCATTTTACATTCTAAACTATGTTATGACTAGTTTGCGAGTTCGTACCTTAAGACTTCATAATAATATTCACATAGCCAAGTTCCTGACAGGCGGTTAATATTAACATGTCTCAGATTGGTTATCTCCGGCGTGCGTGGAGTTAGGAACTTACCGACTTGGTAATTATTTAGTAGCGTCGCTTACATACTGATTACGTGCAGGTAATTAGGTCGATTTGATCAATAAAGTTGTCATCATGACTATATTCAGGGTTATTTATTACTCAAGGGTTATTTATTTCAAACTGTTTGTTTAAAACACAAGAAAGTAATGTCTATAACTAATTATTTTAATTCTAATTTGAAATTGTAATTCATTTAGTTCATTTAACTCTTCTATCCCCGCTAATCGAGACACAATAGATAATCAAATGTTATGCGGTTATATTACGCGACCGCTTGGAGATTGATGAATTAAATAAAACATTTTCTTACTGAAAAGAGAGCAATCCATGTACTGTAAACTATTATGCATCTTTTAAATATACGCCTAAATGTAGAGCGTCCACAAAACTTACAGCATTGTCGTCAGCTCTATCGATATTACGTACAACGTGACTAGTGGAGCGTCGACTATGTCGCTGTTTGTATTCGTGTAATCGATAGTTGCGCGAACGTACCTAACTAGCTTTGGTTCTGTCCACAATCGATCACTGGAGCCAGACACCAGCCGCATTCAGAAATTCAGGATTGATTAGGTTTACATAGTGGTCCATAACTAATGGTTTTTGGTCTATGTAATAATAAGTTATTCTATTTTATCTAAGTTAACGTTTCTAAAACACTTTTTCTTTTGCGTGAGTGTAACTGAAATTACTAATAACCTAGTGGCTGACTCATGAGCTACCATAGGCCATAAATGGCTCAAACTGGCATAGCCACTGCAATGTTCTAACCAAAGGGAACAAATACCATAGAAACATCGCAAAACCCCTTTATAAATGGATAAAATATCCTTAAATAAAATATCTAGATGTTATCAATGAAAATTTTTCCTTCTTTCTTATTTAAACTAAAGACCAGCGTGAAACAGTCCTTATTAACTTTTTCTCTTTTCAATATCATCTTGCGGGCCTTAGCCGCGACAGAGCAAGTTTTCTCATTATCCTATGGGGTATTTGTATAAAAACGATCATCCGCTCCCGGCAACTTTATAATTGTCTTGACGCACCTAATAGAAACTTGATGAAAGCTGCCTCGCCGGCCGAGCTTGCCGCTACTGCTTTTTGTATCAAACTTACATTTTAGTTCTTGTCAACGTGCAGTTTATAAAATATTCATGTCGCGTTAATTTATTTTAGTAATACAAATTTTAAGCATCGGCAGTCCTTTATGAGCGCTTTTGGAAGTTTTTATTAATTACTAGCTTTCCGCCCGCGGCTTCGCCCGCGTGGAATTTTGTCTGTCACAGAAAAACTTTATCGCGCGCGTCCCTGTTTCAAAAACCGGGATAAAAACTATCCTATGTTCTTTCCCGGGACTCAAACTATCTCTATGCCAAATTTCATCAAAATCGGTTGCGAGGTTTAAGCGGGAAAGCGTAACAGACAGACAGACAGACAGACAGACAGAGTTACTTTCGCATTTATAATATTATATAGTTGGGACTAGTTGGGATTTACTTGTACACGAACAAAATTATGTTTTTGTTTTTATACGCTAATGTAAAACAAATTGCGAATATTAAAGTAAATATTTATTTTGCAAGTCAAATAGAGTTTCACGTAAATGTGTAAAATATGTTTCATAAAATGAACGCGAATACTCCTTCAAATTACTTGCTTGCTTGTTTGATCTAGTTACATTTTAGATTATTGTTATCATCATAATTTCAACAAGTTACATAATTTAACAAAGATAGTCACATAACTTATGTATTTGCACCGAAAAACTCGTATAATCTTGTAGGTTATTTATTTTCTCACCTGATACAGTCAAGAGTACATTTGTGTACTTAAAAAGTAAACAAATAAAAAGGCCCGGATCATTCGTACCTATTATTCATACCTGTTTTGTTCGGATACCTTACCTACCTACTTTTCTGGAAAATGTTCATGTAATATAGTGCGGGGATGACATCAGCAGGCAGGAATTTCAGTCCCTAGTTATTGAACTCTAAGTCTATAGTAAGTAATTAATCAGTACTCACTCATGGTGTCCTGCCGCATGCCGACGGCGCTCATGTTGGCGCCGTGGCCCATGGAAAAGCCCTGTGGCATGGGGTACGAGCCGCCGCCCATCTGCGACAGCGAGAAGATGTCCTTCTGCAGTTCCTCGTAGCTGCCGTGGTGCTGTAGGACAAAATCACAAGTTTAGCCATACAGCTTGTTGTAACAAATGCTGATGTGCTCATTACCCACTGCGGTGTCAGTACTCAACGTTCGAATAATCTTTAGTAGGTACTACGCAAGCAATGTAAACTGTTTATATTATGACGTCGCTGCTATCATCATTGCTGTTACGAGCAATGTGTTCTGTTTTTGGGCATGTTGCTGTGACACCGGCCCCGCCCCCTTGTCACATCTCCCTTTACTTTCTGTGATCTGTGGTTACTTCTTACAACTAGGTGATCTAGACGATAACTGGACCTTGAGTTAGGACTGTGACAAAGCTGATAACTGAGGCGGGACTGGCTAAAATAATTTAATTATTGTTACAGAGCTAGATTACACTACTTTTGTAGGTAGGTACTGTTTTCAGGATATACATAATCGAAGTTTCATAGCAAAGGTTTTGGTTAGTAAAGCCTTCTTATGTGGGTATTGCCGGTGAACAAAATAATATGCAAAAAGCGATTATGGTAATTAATATCACCTACCATCGAAAAGTCACCTCCCATGATAGAGGTACCAGTAGATATTAGGTGCTGTGTATCACAGCCGCGTCACATTAAAATGTCGCTTTTTACTCACACATCTTTCCGCTGGTCTGTGGTACTTTACCGGCTGAATCGGTAATCATTATTAATATATTTAATCGCTTAACGAGGTTGCACATTAACACTCCGTAATAGCGCGGTGTGCAATCACGTTATGCTCGCCGGCAGCTGGTGGTCATGTTTTATTCGCGCTCGCCCTTCGCCTTTGGTACCGAGAATGCAGTTAACGCCATAAAACAGCGAAAAACCAAATTTTAAATTTTGTTGCGACGGAATCCAGGCAGAAATTAAAGTGTGATCATAAGACGCGTTCGATAAGATTTGGTGGAAGTTACAGCCAATGGGGTATGGGGTACCTACCTATGAGCTAAAGTCAGTATGTGACTGGAATGGCATGGAATAGGCAAAATGGTGCCGAAAATAAAATTACTTATATTTTCTTTCGGAAAGTCTCATAAACTCTTACCATTATATTGTTTCATGGAGATGTTAGCATTACACAACCAAAAACTGTAAGGGTTTACTATCAGTTCCAGTTTGTATGTAGCTCTTCAAGTCTGAATAACCCATTTAATTCCCTATCATAATTTGCTAAGTTAAAACCAACCATATCTTTTGTCCATGATATTATATCTTCATCAAAGATAAATACTGCGGTATTTTGAATGATCCACTATTAAAACCTGTCGATAATGTTTCGGCTGGTATTTACAACATTTAGCGCGCGGCCGCGAATCTCATTACGGCGTAATCAGCGCTGCTGATTAGCGCTCGGTAATGGCGGACGAATTGCGGTCGAATGCGCCGCCAGCAACGGGAATGATCGATTCTACCTACGCTTTTTGGGCGCATAGAAGCATTCTATACTCCGTTTGTAATAGGACTAATAAGTTATCTTTCATTCATGATTCCTAGAAGTCCTGTCCTGTATTGCGACAATAAAACCTTAAAATAAGGTTCAAATCTTTACCACAGTTTGTTCTTTTTTTTCAAGTTTCATTTATTGTTTTTCCTAAGAATCTTACTTACGTAGATACTGGTCATGGTGTTGGGAGCGGGTAGGACTTCTAGTAGTTGTAGTCCCGGTAACCCTAAATGTCGCATCAAGTCGCCGCAGCCCGGCTGCACAACCCGAATTTCGCTTGATTCTTTTTGTTTTCCTAAGTAAGAGAATTATTTCCCAAGCTTACCTGTGGGTATCGGTTGATGGTGTTGGGATGCGGATAGGGCTGGTAACCCCTGTAACCCTGGATGTTTCGCATCATGCCATTACAGCCCGGTAGAACCGCGGGCGCCAGTGCCTTTTGTAGTTGCTTCTCCTGCTTGCGGTATTTGGCTCGCCGGTTTTGAAACCACACCTGTTTGCAGATTGATATTGTTAACTTTGTAATCTCTACTTAGAGGTTTTAATGCTTTATCATAAAGCGAAGGGTTTTATTGAAAACTTGCTAGAAGCTTTAATTTATTGTGCCTGAACTCTTTTTACGCACACGTCTGTTTTTTTTTCCTGTTGAACGTATATTGTTGAACCTACATACATTGATTTATGACGTACCGCATATCCTCGTTCAACGTTAAAGTAGGAGGAAATCGAGCTTTATAAATCAAGTGAATATGACGTAGCGTTGTAATCTCTACTTAGAGGTTTTAATGCTTTATCATAAAGCGAAGGATTTTATTGAAAACTTGCTAGAAGCTTTAATTTATTGTGCCTGAACTCTTTTTACGCACACGTCTGTTTTTTTTTCCTGTTGAACGTATATTGTTGAACCTACATACATTGATGTATGACGTACCGCATATCCTCGTTCAACGTTAAAGTAGGAGGAAATCGAGCTTTATAAATCAAGTGAATATGACGTAGCGTGTGATTTACAAAAGTTGTTTTTTCAGATGTGTGTATTTTTCACATTTTTAAGTACATACCTACAACAGGAACTTTTATGAATAAATTGCTGAAAAACCTATCAATACTTTCGTTAAAGGATTAAAATTGAAACCTAAAGTAGGCACAATCCAACAATATCTGATTAGAACTAACCCAATTACGTTCCCAATACACCACGCTTTTAAAATCACGGAAAACAATAGGGTGGTGCCTAATCACCCCGCCAGAGGGAGCCGTTTGATATGCTGATTACAGCTGATTAGAGGGCGGGCCGCCCTGCGTATAAATAAGCCGATACACCCACCGCGTGCCAATGTAGGCACATATGGGAGGGAACGCGCTAGTTTTTTTTTTGGCAGAGATAATAACAGGTTTGAGGATGATGTTGAATACAGAATGACCGAAGCTTAGAGTGTGACGAGGAATTTGATTAAGAATTTACAAAAATAATCAAGGGATTACACAGAGGAAAGCTAATTTTCGAGTAAAGATAAATAAATTAGTAGCTGCTGCGTCTAATATGATGTAAGATGTTCGATTTAACTTTTCTAAAGTATTTTATAAAATTGCAGAATCTATTAAAATATTGATCAGATACTTTTAAACGATATTATGCTCTTAGCTATAACCCTAAAGTGTTGGTAAAGACATTGGTTACTATTTTTAAGTACTACTATTATTTCAAACTTATGTAGAGTTTGTCAACCATTAATTCCATAGATTTATATTGCTATACAGGGTGGAAACGATAAGTGATCTCACTCGATTATTTCTAAACTATACATGATATCAAAAAACTAGTGACTGATCCTGAAAGTGCTTCATTAGCTCTATCAAATGGTATTAATAATAGGTTACAGAATAAACTGGATCTATCCGAAAATTCAATGTTTCCAGCTTCCATACATTTGGTAAAGTCACATTATTTTAAAAAAAAAAACTACACATGATATCGTAAAACTGATTACTGATTCTAAAAGTGCTTCATAAGCTCTATCCAATGGTATCAATATTAGGTTACAGAATAAACGGGATCTATCTAAAAATTAAATGTTTCCTTCTTCCATACATTTAGTACTACCACAGTCATGATACTCATCTCTTGACAATATTATAACAAGTAAAGCCTAAAACTAATGTTTTTATGAATATTTTTAAAGAAGAATAAAATTTACGAGTTTATTTTAAGAGTTTATTATTCAATAAAAAAAATACACTTCTAATATTGTGTGTCTGGCATACATTTAGTATGGAAGCTGGAAACATTGAATTTTCAGATAAATCCAGTTTATTCTGTAACCTTTTATTGATACTGTTTGAAAGAGCTCATGAAGCACTTTCAGGATCAGTAACCAGTTTTTCAATATCTTGTATAGTTTAGAAATAATCGAGTGAGATCACTTAACGTTTCCACCCTGTATATAACAAAATGCTAAAGCATATAATACGGTTGCTGTTCCACAAGCGTATATTTTATCTTCACAGATACATACCTCCCTAAAAGAAAGGCTGTTAAGTCTGACTACCGCATGTCGGAGGTTTGCAAGGAACAGCCCTCCCTAAACTTATAAATATACGCATACATACGGCGCTCGGAGGATATTAGTTTTTTGCTGTGCCCCGGCTGCGGGCGTTGTTACGAAAAAAGTAATTTCCCATCGGCGCTGGTCCAGGAATGTGATTCGATGTATACTTGCCAGCGTGGAAATGAATAAGGATTCGTGAAAATGCCGTTACTCTACATTTAAATACGAATCCACACCAAGAGGGGCGCAGGCAGTGGAAGTGAGATGTGCTTAGCTCGGGCAGTTTATTTTCCTTTTTTTTATTGAAAACATACTTGAGATGTTTTACATCATGTTTACACAGAGTAGTTGTTATATTATTTTAAACAATGTTATCGTTTGCGCAAGGAGGCTGGGGCTATATTAACCAATCATTTATCAGTCTAAATCAATAATAACATAGGCCAATAAAACATCTGCCGTATTATGTTATAGTTAATTTTTCAGAATATCAATTAATTTTAGATAGTACAATATATGGGTAAATCTTAACTGGGTCTAAAACTTCAACTTTATAAAGGCAAATCTACGAAGACATCCTCTCAAAAGTGTCGGGATTAACTAATATTTATAAAACAAAACTTTGTTTTCTACATCTACGAGTATTTAGTTGTTTGTGAGTACACAGTAACAGTTTTTCCAAATCTGTCGAGAATAATTTGATGGATCGGGAAAATGTGCAGCTTTTCATTTAATACCAACTACAACTTTTGCAATTTCTGTCGTAAGTCTTAGTCTTAATGCAGATCAAGAATTAATAGCTCTAACTCAGTTACTGTTACGTTAATCTAAAATCAATTACTGCAAAATATTCAAACGTAACCTGAAAGTGGATATTTAAATGAAAGCCGTTTACGGCATAAGCAACAATTTAAAGAGAGATAAAACTTAATTCAGTAAAGATCCCTCTCCAAGGTTTTGTTCAACAAAAGCGATAGGTACCATTTTGCAACGAGCGCGTCGAGTTATCCGAAGAAAACGGTCGCCTTTAAACTGAAAAAGCACGGGGATCCGACAAAACATTTTCTTATTTCCAATTGTAGAATTCATTTGAGGGCAGAGACAATGTCGGGGCGCGCGGGGAGGATGAGCGGCTAACTTCGTTACGGATCCATTTGATGGGATTGCAATGCCTCAGGGGCCACCCACCCCCGGCCGCGCCCCACTCCTCGCCCGGCAACTCTCGTATTTTTATATCGAAATTTCCTCTAGAAGGAGGGACCGACGCTGTCGTCTTTAACGTTTACATTCTTATGTAGCGTCGCCTAAACGTTAATAGCCTCCCACGGAGCGCGTGCACACACTCACACGCCACCCACGCGCATTTCACAAGCTTTTAACCGTGCTACGTATGTATGTCCCCGTAATGTCGTTTCGTGGAACCTTTCATTTTCTTAGCAGAACTTTGTCACTCATTGCTCTTGAAAGAAAAGAGTAATTGTCTACGATGGAGCGATGATGAATAAAACATCGCCAGCATGTGCGCGCGAAAAATAAAATAGCGAGAATCTTTATTGTTAAAACGTGACATTTTCCTTAAAATGGATTTTAATGGCGACCTTTCTGAAAGGTATGGTTCAGAGATTCTAATGGAATGCTTAACATTGAAGGTAAATTGTGTATGTTTAATTTTAGTAGAGTAATGTTAAGGAATATTTTAGAGGCAAAATTAGGTGCTCCGGGGACAAATCAATAGCCAGCCTCGAGGGATTGAGCGTTTTAAAACCGAGATAAAGATCTCTCGCGAGTTCCAGCGAGCATTTCGTATTCATACGGCCGTGGACGACAGATGGCAGTTTAATTCAATCGCCTCGGGCCTACGCTGCAAATTGTGTTACGCGAGTATTCGCGCATCACTGATATTTGGACAATTCCGAAGGCCGCGACGCGCATTGTGTCGTGTCGCTCGCTGACGCACGCTCGCGGGTGTGATTCGTTCGATTCGTAATAGCGTAGCGGCGGGTGGTCCGTTGTACCCCAAATTCCTCCGAATGCATGACGGTAGAAATATATCAGATTATGGGTTATTGAGCTTGTATTTTTATAATTTTTCCTATCATCTTCAATATCTTATAATACAGGCATTTTATTGCCGGGAGCGTAATGTTCGCGTAAGGACTTTCTTTACGTCTGTATTACTATGTAGATAGGTACGAAAGAATTACAATAACGTAATCTTGATTTTTAGCAGTTCTTATGGAAAACGTATTTCGGTCAGGGAAACAAGTAAATTATATTTTTAGTGGGTATATAAAGTGGTCATTTGGATCCTTTTAACATCTGCATGTACAAGTTTAAAGTGTTAACAAATGAAAATTTCAATGTAGAGCTATTAGAAATGCAACCATAATCGATCCTGAGGCTGTGTTTACTCAAAAGGCCTTTTTTTATCCACAACGGCTCTTGGCCTGTATCTCACCAGATGGTAAGTGATGATCAGGCCGAAGGTGGAAGCGAGCTTCACCCGGAATCCTCAACCACGGAGGAACTGGCTATCTTAACTCTAACTGTCGGAACACAACAATGCTGTTAACATTGTTGTTATGGCGACAGACTTAGGTAAGATGGTGGTAGCTAGCAAGGCGGACTTAGAACAAGCCCTACCACCAACCAAACCGAACAGAAAAATCTGCCCTCACTGGGAATCGAACCCGGGACCTCTGCATCTGAAGCAGGTGGTCTTACCACTAGACCACAGAGGCGGTTGCCTTAAAGTCGTCACACAACATTGAATATCGGACAATCGTATACATTGGTGCTACACTGACCTGTATCCTCGCTTCATTCAGCTTGGTGGTCCTGGCCAGCTCCTCGCGGCAGTAGATGTCGGGGTAGTGGGACTTCGCGAACGCCGCCTCTAATTCTGCTAGTTGTTCCTACGACAATACAAAGTTACCGATTAATAACAAATCTTAATAAAATATGGAGAGCTTATATTTTAAGACCGCTCTACAATGGCCTATTAAATAATTTAGGTTGTGTTTTATATTGGCGAGAGCTTTGACTCTGCCGTTTATTACCAACTAGCGACCGCCCGCGACTTCGTACGCGTGAATCCCGTTTTTTCCGCTAATTCCCGTTCCCGTGGGAATTTCGGGAATTCCTTTCTTAGTGCACCTCTACGGTACCTAAGCTACGTCCCTTCCAAATTTCAAGTGCCTACGTTTAGCCGTTTAGGCTGTGCGTTGATCTGTCAGTCAGTCAGTCAGTTTCTCCTTTTATATATTTAGATATTGTAATATGTAATATGAAACGATACTCTTATTGAGTTATGTGTGTAACTTCAGACGTTCTATATCTAGCATATCTAGATGCTTAAGTCATTCAAAGTGACATATTTTCTTGGGTAACTATGTATTTTTTCATCTTGAAAATGACCTCATTTATACCTAGGGCACTATTTAAGTTGTGAGCCTCGACAACATAACGTGTTGTTAGACGACATCTGATACTTTTAATGAAAAGTTTGACATTTTTGACTACAACCTTATTCAAAACTTTTTATCATTTGAGCACGTTTTGTATTATTAACATTGAATTGAAAATTATCTTTACTACAAAAACATGGAATTGACTTGCGGAAATTTTCGCGCGAAGATTTATTATGACTTTCGACGTGGTTAATCAATACAAAACTGAAGCGGTCAGCTAAATTTCTCTTTTGGTGATAAAGATCTGTCCTTTACCATTGTAAAACGCTAGTTTAAGAAGTATAATATTGTATGTCATTGGCTCACCAGTGAACTTTGCGAAAGTCGTCCAAAATGACTAATAGTGGCGGAAAACATTGATGTTGTCAGAAAAATGGAAGAGAAACCTCGTCATGTGATGTATCGTAGGATTGAGATAATCCTAGGCATTAATTCCACTAGCAGTAATAAAATATTGTATGACCATATTATGGTTAATACGTTTTTTTCTCGCTGGATGTCCCAAAATTTTTCAAACGCTCAATAGGACGCTTGAGTCGTTTAGTCCTTGAAAATGTTTGATAAATACGTTTAAAAAGCTTTAAAAGCCGTTTTTAAAATTGTGACAGTTGACGAATTAAGGATCTATGCATAATGATCCTGAAAATAAACAGCTATCGACTATGGAGGTGTTTTAAGATGAACCATTTCCAACAAAAGTCCCATGCGCTCGGAACACTTTGAAACTTACGGTCGCCTATTTTTCCGAAATATCCGATTATATGACAGAAACGTTACTAGAGAAATTTAGAATGGTTAATTCTTAATAGTAAACAGCCACTTTTTTTCCAAAAGTCTTCAGTTTAATAAGGGAAACTGACCAGCATAGTCGAATCGCCATTCGTAACGAAAATGTGAGCTTTTACACGTCTCGTCAGACAACTGACTATTTGAACACTCAAAATATGAAATAAACAGGTCCAACGCTACAAAATTCTTGATTGGAATCTAGGCACTTCTTTTGGTACCCATATATTAAAATTAAATGCGTGAACAGCCATTTATGTAGCCAGAAGCAACTGTCGGTGCGGTCAAATACCATGCTTTGGAGGTGCCTCAAGCTGAGTGGAAAAAATGCTATGAAAAGTGTTTCGGACACATTAAAAAGTACATAAATCATGAAAGACAATACCAATAAACGCAATCAATACCATTTTAATAATAAACTACTTTGTTTTCATAGTTAGGCTCACAACTTAAATAGTGTCCCACGTACTACCTGCGATATTGTGATCCTACGCCGTCTGCGCCCCACAGTTGACTGCCCACTGTTGGGCATAGATTCGCCATACTGCGGGCCCAAAAATGAGATCATAGAGAAAATAGCCATTGTCTTCTCTCCAGAAGTGGATCACTCATAAAACTCTAGTTGATTGATATAATTTGTTAGATTTTACCTGTTTTAGCTGGCGATGCTGGAGTTGCAAGCTTGTTTTCGATGGTTTCGTTAAATGTTAAATATTTGTCTCCTTTAGTGTACCTTTTCGATCCAAATCAACCAGAAGAAAATAGGAGTCCATGTAATAACTTATGTGCTGTTTAGTAGAACATCTTGATCGCTCTCCGCAATCGTATGTTATAGGTTCATGTTGCAAGACTCATGTTCCTCGTGACATTCGAGTCAGCTATAGGGTGATGTGACAACAGTTACCTGCGTGAAGGTGCTTCTAGCGTGCGCGTTTGGGGTTCGAGGCCATTGCGGGCGTGCCCCACGAGCTGAGGGCAGAGCCGGCGCCAGGGAACATGAATTGTGGTCGTAGTTAGTGAGCTCCAGTTACCTGCGTGAAGGTCATCCTATGCCTGGCGGTTGGTGGCGTGTGCCCCGCGGTCTGGAGGCCCAGGGACGGCATCAGGGACGAAACTTATGACGCGCTCGCGCTGCTCTATCTTAGCCCTCATTCGTGGTCTCGTGGTCTATAGTTACCTGCGTGAAGGTCATCCTATGCCTGGCGGTTGGTGGCGTGTGCCCCGCGGTCTGGAGGCCCAGGGACGGCATCAGGGACGAAACTTATGACGCGCTCGCGCTGCTCTATCTTAGCCCTCATTCGTGGTCTCGTGGTCTATAGTTACCTGCGTGAAGGTCGTCCTATGCCTCCGGCGAGCGGGCGTGAGGCACGAGGCGGTTGTTGAAGTGTGCCCTACATGCTAGGGGGCCAGGTCCAGCGCCAGGGACGAGATTCGTGACGCACCCGCGCCGCTCTATTCCAGCCAGCTCTCGTCTAGCTCTGGTGGTGGTCTCCAGTTACTATGGCGAGCGGGCGTGGGGCACGAGGCTGTTGTTGGAGTGTTCCCCGCGTGCTAGGGGCCCAAGGACGGCATCAGGGGCGAAACTTATGACGCGCTCGCGCTGATCTATCCTAGCCCTGATTCATGGTTTCCAGTTACCTGCGTGAAGGTCGTCCTATGCCTCCGGCGAGCAGGCGTGGGGCACGAGGCTGTTGTTGGCGTGTGCCCCGCGTGCTGGGGGCCCAGGGACGGTGACAGCGCGGAAGAACCTCCTGATGCACCCGTGCTGCTCCCGCCTGGCTCCGGTTTTAATTTTTTGAACGCGCCTTCCGCTGTTGAGAAAAATATTCTTATAATAATGAACCTAATATGCTTCATAGGTAATTTTCTCCACAGTAGGAGAACAATCCTCTCTAATTTACCAGTGTATCTGTTTCTTTAGTCTCTAATTCCATCTCCAATGAATCACAAAACGAGATTTAAAAGAATCAACTAAAACATGCCAAGTTAAATATCTCAAAGTTACATTAAAAACATCAAGTTTTCTTTAATTGTTGCATCTCGTTTGCTATGCTGCGATATCGGTGTAGGTTTTATTGCTGAAGTTAATGTAAAAAGCTGAACTGGTAAGAGCATATTGTTATATTAAAGTTCAAAACTAGAGCACGCGTATTATTGCCTGAAAAGTCGTGGAAGCGTAAAACTAACATACTAACTCTACTACCCTTGCCCCACAAAACTAAAAGGCCCGTTTACACCGCGCGATTGCGATCGCCACGGCCGCGGGACCCGGTCCACTCGCGTTCAAAGAAAGCCGGCTTCTTATTTGCATAGCGGGTGTGAGCGACCCTTGCCGTAGGTCAAGTTCACCCGCTTAATTCTAATTGCGCTAACTAACGCTGTTAACGAGCTAATCATCTGTCGGTGGCGCCGCTCGGAGCCGCTGGCGGACGATTGTTTTGTCACGTGCCCGTATCTGGGGTGTAAACAGACGTCTATTGACGAAGTTTTCATGATTTTGATGCGTTATGCGCGTAAAAAGAGGCAAAGAAGTATAATTTTCTTAGAAGGACTATTAATTGATAGTAAGTAATAAAAAATTTTGAATTATACTTGAAAATAAAGATTTTATTGAAAACGGTTAGAAAAAAATATTCGTAAAAAAGTAAGAGAAAGAGAATTATTGTTTGAAAGATTTATTATCTTAAGTTATTGTATTTTACAAAGAAAGATTGATAAATAAGTTATTTTGGTATTTCTTGGGACTTTTCTGCGAATAATAATTATTTAAAAAAATATTTAATGGCTCTATCTCTCATTTTGGCATCAAACAATCAATATAATTAGTAATAACCAGCAGGTTAACAACAAATAATAATGTTTCCTACTCAACTCATCACACTTTCCTATACCGTTGAAGCATAAAGTATTAAAATTTTACGAAAAGATATAAAAAGTAGCAAAATATTCTTACGAGACCTCGTTAAAAATTTAATAACCGTTAAATTGTTCATCACAATCGCTCGGTGTAACCGCCAAATGACGTCGTTTGCTGAAAAACTCGCATATCGGGCCATAATCACTTTACTTGGCTCCTCCCGCCAGAATTACGGAGGTTTTAAAAGCCGGATGTCCCATTCGAGTATTCCCTTTGACTTTGACAACGCTCAAGCTACTTACTAATTAACATCGAGCTAAGTGTTTGCGTCCGCGTTAAACGGACCTTTTAACGCTTAAAAGGCATTTTTTTCTCTCTCCCACGTTAGAGGCTTTGATACCGAATATATTGGTCACGCTTTTTACCTGACATTTTTCCGAAATGAGATTAAGCCATTAGAGATAGGAGATTTCAAGCGCTTTGCATAGTTTGCCGTGTTTTAGACTTGCACGCTTTTACGGTTGATGGCGGCGCAGATAGAATATGTGATGGCGGGTTAGCTCATGTTTGCAGGGAATGGTAGCGTTTATGAGAAGTGGATTTTTGATGCTTTTACTCTTTTGGTCGGTTGTGATGTTATGTTAGGTGGAGAGCGTTATAACTTGTGCATTTTGATGTTTGTTTGTAGTTACTGTGAAATAAAGTAGCGTTGAATTCAGCGCTACTTGAAAACTTTTATAAACTTTATTTGATTCCTGTTTATTTCCCTGATTTTGGTAAGCTGTGCATGTTTTTACACACAAATTCAACATTTTTTCCTTATGATACAAGAACGAATCAATAGGCATTTCGTGATAGAAGAATTATGTAGATCTTAGGCCTACCTATTTCTGATTTTATTCTGAGGTCAAGTATGAATACTTAAATCATGTTGTATTACCATGTTTTTTTTATTTTATATTATTTGGATTGGTCTATTTAACTTTTAGGAGTGCTGCCCCGTAAACTGTAAAGATTAATCAGATATGCCTCTGAATGTAAGTGCAAATTGCACTTATTTGTACAACCACTATAAATTATCTAGCCCGCCATCTCAAATTACAACAACAGTAATTGATTTCAAGTAAAACGTAATCTCCACGGTCCATCTAGGGGCGACAAGTCACTGCGACATTTGCTAGGGGCGGTGTAGCGAGTCAGGCATTAGGGGCGTAATCCCCTAATTATGACGATTGACATGAAAGCGCCATCTGTGGCCGAAGAGAGGTGTCGGGTGAGCTGTCAACACGCCTGAAAATTGATTCTAGGGTACTTACAATGGGGATGCAAGTAGCAAGACGTAGTATTTGTTTAATCTTTGATAGCAAAATAATATCTGTAATTTGAGGGTGTGAATCAAGTTCAGTGTTTTTGTGCAAAAACGACACGAATGATGGACAAAAGTAAAGAACGGACACGATTTAGCTTATGCTATTGTTTTCAGTTTACTCTACTATTGGTTTATTTTCCAATGGTAAGAAGCTGAATATTTATAATGAAGCTACAGCCGATCTTCTAGTCTGCTGTCTAATTTTGCAAAATGCTCCACTATGCTCTTCTATCAAAGTACCAATCAAAAAAATATTTTAAAGTCAATTAAGGTCATCGAAATGTTTCCAAAAACCCACTATTCTTTGACCCTTCAACTATGGGACCACCTCCGGCGGCACCCGCTGTCTTCTGTAGGTACCCTGCGTCTGGGCACCCGGGGTCTTCGGAACCCCACTTCTATTCACCCGGGGTCTATCAAACCCCAGTCCATATGTTATAGCTCTTAATCGGACTGGCGCAAATGCCGCAAATCCGCATTTGATTGTTATCTCTCTTTGATTACTGGTTCGGAAATAATATTCTATAACCACACGACGGTATCTCGAGTGATTTCTTATGTACCTAGAGGTGCGATATTTTATTAAAAATGTATTTACATAGACTGTATTTTTGTACGATGTTTAAGTAAGTGGGAAGGACTCGCTTTTTGTTAAAAAAAACATAATAGTTTTACAAATGCGCCAGAATGTTGTATAGTATTTCAAGAATAAGAACGATGATTTAAGCATGCACCGTGTCCTCAGAGTTTGTCAGTTAAAAAATATCTTTTATTGTGTTTTATTTCGAAAGTATATCTTTAAATGCATTTATTTTTGTTGTTACCTTACCTAATGTTTTAATTATACTCTGAAACAATAAAATTATAAAGCAATATAAACAATAAAACAAAATTAAGAGTAATTTGAGCCAAAGGCGCGTATGTAGTTAGTAGAAAACTTGTAAATTTTCGTTTTTATTTAAAGCTTGACCATTTTTACCGTAAGCCCTTGAATCCATTTCGTCACTGTTCAAGTGCGAGCGCGCAGGGGTGGCGCGAATAATCGCAATGGGCTTAACGGCTTGCGCGGGCGCCGCGTACTTAGGGTTGCCAATTGAAATGAACAGTGGAAGATGAAAAGTTTATAAAATTGAAGTAAAAATGCAATAAAAAAATGAGTATTTAATTTTGGGGTAGGTAGGCAATAACAATCTGAATCCTAAATATGAAGCAATTGTAAGTTACATTTAAGAGCGTTTACGCCGTTTGGCGCAAAAACAGTACTTTTTCAACCCGTTACAATCATTAACCAGTTACATTACAAATATGTTATGTTATAGGCATAATTAGGCAATTTCGTCCTCTAAATAGTTAGTTGAGAAAATATTTCAATTAATATAGTATTTAAGAATTCTATCAAGATAAGTCCACACAGGTTTTCAAATTTCCACTTTAGCGTCAGTTTACAAGCTGAAATTTTTATAAATATACTGTGAAAAGGATATAACAAACATTTATATCCTACTAGCTGACCCGGCGAACTTTGTTCCGCCTTAATGGCAATAAATAAGCAGACTTTTTTTTTATTTCGAACGGGATAAAAAGTATCCTATGTCCTTCTCCTGGCTCTAAACTACCTCCCTGACAATTTTCAGCTAAATCAGTTCAGCCGTTCTTGAGTTATAAGTGGTACTCCACTACTAACACGACTTTCTTTTATATATATAGATAGCATAGGTCCTTAGGCAAATAGTTAGTTGAGAAAATTCTTAGATTTAAGCATTTTACAATAAGAAATCACAAATTCAAAGAACGTGAAATACCCAAAAATCTAAATGATTTTTACACCATTATTCTTCTTTATAGTTCATTCAACTTATGATGGTGATTTAGACAGATAAAACGTTTCGTTTTATGATTCTAACTTTCTACGAATAAAAATATTGAGTTGTAAAAATCAATTACTTTTGTGTGTTTTCATCCTTCCAAAATATCAATCACTATTAATCTTTCTCAATTAACCTAAACAAGAATTTCTATTTATTTATTAGTTTATTATTTAGAAAAAATTGTGAAAAAATATTAAATGAATTGCTTCTGCGTTAGTCGGAACTTTTGCTCATAGGGATGGGACATAAACAATCGCAATAAGTCAGTAATCGGCATGGTGGTCATCTTACCATCGAATCACGATTATTATCTCAGGCAGGTCAAAGCTAAGTCAGTACGTGTGCGTTTGCCTTTGATGGCGGTTTTGTTTTATGCGATTTCTCCACGTATTGTTTGTTATTGTTATTTTGATGTTTTATTGAATAAAATGCATATATTTAATTCTTTGTGATTTATTTTGTACCACTAAGAATATTCACGTTTATTCCATTTCCAGATAGTTCAAATTCATAGATATAATTTTGATCAAGATTAAAAATCAAACAAATAAAGGCGATTAAATTTCTATAGAAAATATTCTCGATTCTAAAAAATATCGATTAGGTTTATAAGGAGCGCCTCACTAAATAGAACTGTCATAATCACCATCTTACGCTGAATGGACTATAATTCAACATAAAAATAGGTTAATATAATAAAATAACATCTTCTTTAAAATATTTACTTTGATACGATATATAATTCATTGTTATTGTTTTTCTATGAACATTTGAAAACTATTAAAAAACGCCGCGCGCGAATCATTTCCAATGGTGCCTCTTGAAACGCCGCGCTTCGCGTAAACGCTCTTAATTAAAAAGTTGTGTAATATCACGGTCTTGAAAAATGCAGCCCAAACAAATTACAAGGGTCATAAACGTTTATAGGGTGGAAACAATAATTAGTGATCTCATTCGATTATTTCTAAACTACAAGATATCGAAAAACTGGCTACTAATCCCGAAAGTGCTCCACGAACGGTATTAAGAATAAACTGGATCTATACGAAATTTCGATGTTTCTAGATTCCATACATTTAGTACACCCACAGTCATGACTCATATCTTAATACATAGTATTTTTTATTTTTTTATTAATTTTTTAAATAAGAATAAAACAAAAATAACGATGTGCCAGCCCTTGCGCACGCGCAACCAGCGCAGCCACCCGTGCATCTCCATTATGTCGAGTGCTCTCCACAGATTATGCGCATATTGCCCCGCACAATGGGCCGGAGAGTTTTATTTACACATGTAGTTTTTGAATTGAATCGTTTGATGAGGTCTCGGTAGAGATATTCGATTTAGATTGGACAGATAAAACAATGATACATTTTGAAATGCAATTTTATGAGTCTGTTAATTGATCGTCTTTTTTTTTGCACTGAGTTTTACCATTTAACATTATGCATAAATATCAGTGTTCTGGTATCAATGGGAAGAGGTAAAAAGCACTTAACGACCAGGTAGAGTCGAAAATAGGATTATTATTACTTAGTCTCAACCTTTAATTGTTATTATAGTTTTCTCTCGTGTACGTACGAGTACGTGTCGATAACAATAATATTATTGTGGTCACTAACTCTGGTGTCAGATCTAAAGTCATACAGATATTTATCTACCTTTTACAGACGAACTGTAGACTCTAACCATGATTTGTGTAAAAAAAATGCCTTCTATTAGTATTACACTTATTTGCATGTCGTGGCAGCCTTTAAGTAAGGCAACACCATAATGTTTAATTTATTAAGGTCATTATACATGTATTAGATAAAGTGTATGCTTTGTTGGTTGTCCTTAAAATAAATAAATAGATTCGATAATCAAAATAGGCAAGGTTAAAGTCGTAGAACTATCTCAGTAAGTATTATGATTGAAGCACATTACGACCCGTTACCGACGTGGGTAAATACCCACAAACTGATTTTAAACTCAAAATTCGACAACCGTAAAAATATTTCAACTCCATCTGTCATATTAGACTTGCATGCCCATACAATTCATCTAAAGGATTACACACACCAGTTTCATTCTAAAGGGGTGGGCACATTGTCGGACAGGTGAGAACACGCGACCGCCACGCGTCGGGCATTAGTCCTACAACTTTAGTTAAATGATTAAAAATAAACCTTAAAATCTTAATAAAAAGGTTTACTTCACTGTATCGGTGTTTCCGGGGTTGTTTTATTAGTTAAGCAGTGATGTACCTTATTTTAATTGAAAAAGGTTTATTGTTACTTATTTCTATGTTAAGTGTTATTAAGTAATAGTTTAGTTAACAGCTGTCGAAGCTTGAATTTGATATGAATGGACTTCGAGTACTAAACGGGTGTTTAGTGGGTCAAGTCATTCGTTGCACCAGGTTTAACTGTATAACTTTGATTGCTATAGGGTTTAAGGCTTAAAAATAAGCAGTGCTAGTAGATGAACTTCGTATAGGCAAGTAGTGTAAGCAGTGTAGGTATGAATATGTAATGTATACTTAATATGAAACCCTTTGCCTTGACTCTATAATTTTACAATGTGTCAATCAAATGTGCGATTTGTTACGTCCATTTTGCTCTGATGTTGATCTTAGTTAAAAGAGGGTAAGCTGAAGTGGCAGTAGCCTGGTTATATCTGCCATAGAGCTGCTGGTATTTAGGGTCAGGATCTAGAGACTTTATCTTGGCTAGTGTAGTGTCATACGCCAAATAGATAAATAGTAATCAAATCCAAGGAACGCACAGTAGCATATTGGAGGAAGTTTACATAAGTATTTTAAGAATAGAAGAAATATAGAAGAGAGAGTTATTAGAATGTGAAATCACAAAGCAAATTTTAATGTATGTGCGAGGTCAGGTACTTATATTAATACCACAAAATGAAGAAAGAACACAGGTCGAACTGAGCAGTGCCAATAAGTCAGCCAGTTATAATGTTCAGAAGAAAACCAAGGTGGATTAGCGATAATAAAAACACTTATTGCTTCTTAAAACTCCCATGCACTCAATGTTGAAACTATTTTTTTAATCTAACGCTCAGCATTAATGACATAAGTCCCTATTAAAAAGTAATCATTTAACTAATCACAGAAGTTAAATAATAACCATAAAGCCGCTGATGCAAGTTAAAAATATCAGTTACCTATAGAGCTACATATTAACTAATTGATTTTCTATCGTGATTTAATTACAAAATCGTTTATCCGAATTGTATTTCTCAGTAGTATTATGTCTATTATCTAAAGCAGTGATCGTGTGCAGTGTTTAACAATGAAGTGTTTCAATTTTGAGCTGTTTTTATTCTTTATATTTGGTAAGTGTAATATACTTTTTCTGATATTGTTTTCTAAAAATACATAATGCGCTACATAATAATATAGGTACTAGTAATACCCTTTAGCATAACCTAATTTGATACTTTAAAAAGTTTCAGTAAATAATTTGTTTGTTTTGTTTGTTGTTCTTTAGAGTAGTTTATGAATAATACCTTTAGTATGGCTTAATAAAACGTTCGAATATACAGGATGGCCAGAAAATTTAGATTTAAAACTAAAATTTAGATTTTTTACATCAAGGTGTATCTAAATCACCCCCATGTATGTTCTACGATTTTACTTAGTTTAGGAGATAGAGGTAATTATGTGATTTAACCTTAAGTATCACCTATGGTTGGTTTTTAATTATTTTCTCACTCTGGCGAGCACTCTTGTAGTTTGTTTTCCAGAGTGAGAAAAAAAAATTAAAACCAACGATAGGTGATAGTTAAGGATAAATCACAAAATTAACTATATCTCCTAAACTAAGCAAAATCGTAGAACATACATGGTGGAGATTTAGATACACCTTGATGTAAGGAATCTAAATTTTAGCTTTGAACGTTAACACCCTGGCCACCCTGTGTAATAATTAGATATTTTGAATGTTTGTAACATAAGAAAAATATCAAAATTAATGTTAAGTCAGCATAGCATTTAATATCCTCAGAGAATAATACTTCAACAATTTATTAATCTATTTAATGAACAATTCCAGCAAACTATCGGCGCACTGATGCTGGCTTACTTGACGCTGTAGGATCTGCGATTGGGATCGAGCCCATCAACAATGGTGGCCGTAGCCTTCGACCTAATATTGGGTTTAATAACATGGGTGGAAACGGACGGGGAAACAATATCGGAGGAAATCAATTTCAGTTTTTGGATCCTACTAGCATAGGCGATTTTGACACCATCCAGAGAAAACTCAGACTTGGCACGGAATTGTCCCCGGATGAAATGTTAGCCGCCGAGAAGTTTCCGGTTCTTAAGCAGTTGTTGGATAGACTCAAGGAGATGAATCGCCAGAAAGAGTTGGATAAGATGAGAGAACAAGGAAATAACGGCTTTAATAACGGTGGAATTAATAACGGTTTTAATAATGGTGGAATTAATAACGGGTTTAATAATGGTGGTATTAATAACGGTTTTAATAATGGGGCCAATAATAACGGTTTTAACCATGGTGGCAATAACAACGGTTTTAATAATGGTGGCAATAATAACGGTTTTAATAATGGGGCCAATAATAACGGTTTTAATAATGGTGGCAATGGCATTATTAATAATGGATTTAATAATGGGGCTAATAATCATAATGGTGGTTTCCCGAATGTCAACGGTAAAGACAATGGTAATACAAGCTTCAAGGATGAGGACACTGATGGTGATAAGACAAAGGTTCCTGTCAATAGCAAGTGGAGCAAGCTGAAGAAGAGGAAATTCTTCTTTCAAGCGAAGCCAGTCAGGCCGGAGAATGAGATAGTTGAGGAGCCAGAGGTGGTGTATTTTTTGAATTAAAGAATTTTAATATTTCTGTTTATTGGTATTTTCTCTTTATTCAATTTGCTTCTTATTTTTAATATTTTTTTTACAATGTAAATTATAAAAAAAAAACTATGGTATTTTTATTATTAGTTAGTATTTCATTTTGCGGAATTAGTTCACGCCCACATTTTGTCATTAAAATCGTGTGAATGAGCAGTCTCATTCTAAAAAAAGAGTCGTTCTGTCTCCTTCCTAAAGTGGCTGTGCCCTAACTGGGTCCACATTGTATAACTGCCTAAATTGTAAGACCTAATGTGAATGCTAATGTGGTTATGCAATAAACGATTGAGTATTGAGTATTGAGCTATTTGGAGATAGACATTAACGCTAAGTGTCAACAGCAACATTTAACTTAATTAATAAGTAGTAATTAAGGAAATAGTCACTAGAAAACCTGAATATTCAAAATGCTGCAAATGCTGTGTTTGTTCGAACAAAGCGCCCACGTCCACCGCAGCGAGCACAAAGGCAGAGCACGTTCGGCGCTAGCGTGCACGCACCTTTATGCTTCGTGTGACGAACGGTGCATTTAAATAACTGGATTTGGCAAAAATAGTGGAAACATGAACGTGTTTTCTGTCTATGACGTCGAACTATCTTCCTGTGGTTGCATATTACGTGATTTTTTAAAGCAAGAGTTTGAGACAGCAAGTAGTTTAGCGTTTTGTGGAGGACTTACTGCACAAAAATTCTTATGATGCAATTTATTCAGATTCAAAGTCGCAACATAAGTTAGGGCGATGTAGATAGAATAGTTTAATAAAATTCGATCCAATGTTTCGGGGCTGATTTCCACGAGAGACACACTTTTAAAAAATTACCTTTTGAAGGAAAGAAAGAAAGAAAAAACATTTATTAAGGTTTATCGCTTTCTGTTTTCTGGATATTGATCGCTTGAATATAAATTAATGATTGCAACCAGAAATATATCTCAATGCTTTAAATAACATGATAGAAGATCTATTTAAAAAGTTTGTGACCCCAGTTCTTGAAACCCATACAATTGAAGAAGACAGAACTACGACAAGTTAGTTTTTGTTGCTGCTTAAACATGATTTACTATTATTTCAGCATGTATATTCACTGAACAAAGAGACAGCAGCAAGGGCATTAGCGAGCACGTCCCATCGTTGTTAGCACGCACGTGCTTAGTGTGCACGCACCTTTACGCTACGTGCGGCCGAGCTGCGCAATATTCATGGAAAATGGCGCATATAGGCGGCATAGAAATATTTGCTGTAGGCAGTGGCGGATTTACCAATAGGCCAAGTAGGCCAGTGCCTAGGGCGGCAGATTTAGAGGGGCGGCAAATTTAGCAATTTTTTTTACAGGAAAAAGAAATAAAATTATACGTACTTATACCTACACAATCCATATATAAATGAACGATTAATAAACGCACTGTAATATACATATACTTAGGTACTTATGTGATCATGAATTTTAAAATATTCCAATAGCGTTTCAATGAAAATAAAAAATAACTCTTAAGTAACACAGGATCTTCGGAGCCTAGCACGAGCACCATCTCTCCACAACTTCGTGTACATATTGTTTTACAGGGTAGCCCAGAAGAAAATTTACTTTTGAAAATTCAAGGAAACGAAAACTGTACATTTTTGTAGAACTTAAGCTATTGCAATTTAAAGGAAATTTAGTGCAATTTATTTTAAAATTTACTCTTTTATAAATTTTTTCGTACATGTGATTCCCTTGACGTTTACAACATTCGGTCAACATACATCAACATTTTGGAAAACTTTCGTAAGCGCTGATGCACACGACGCCGCGTGAACACCGCTGCCGCGCAGCCGCCGCGCCGCCGAGCGCCGCCGCTTTGTTGGCGCGGTGGCGGCGCGGCGGCGGTTTTACTCGGTGCGTATGAACAGTGTAGCGGCGCGGCGGCGGCGCGGCGACGGCGCGCGGCGGCGGCGCGGTGGCAGCGTCGTGTGCAGGAGCCCTTAGAGTTACCTCAAAATGGATTCAGGATGGATGAATGCTGCAGAGTTTTTGGATTATTAGAGTATACTCTGCTCATAAGGTAACCTCACAAAAAGAAGTCTGCTGGAATGAGATTAGCGCTTTTTAGAGGCAGTGAGATTTCACCCCTGCTTAATTGGTTTGTTGCATTGAAAGGATGATTAATTTTTGAGAGCGCTATACTTGTAGGCTGAAAAGCTTTTTGATTTCAAAGCTGCAAGATTTGCAAGGTTATGATCGGAGCACTTGGTTTCATCAAGATGGGGCTACGTGTCACACTTCAACTGAGAGCATTTAGATGGTAAGAGCACAGATAAGTAAGAGATAAATGTTCCCACAAAAAAATATTTCAGGCAGGGGTGACATCTCCTGGTCACCAGGAAGCCCTGATCTCACTCCAGAAAATTATTTTTTGTGGTGTTACATTAAGAATAGAGTATACTTTTATAATCCAACAACCATGCAGCATCTCCTGGGCGATGTAATTTAATAAAGGTAAATTTAAAAATAAATTGCATTAAATTTTCTTTAAATTGCAATAGTTAAAGTTCTATAAAAATGTAGGTACAGTTTTCGTTTCCTTGAATTTTCAAAAGTTAATTTTCTTCTGGGCCACCCTGTATTACCAAGCCTTGGTCTTACTGTTTACCTTTCAGTAGTTCTTAGCTAATTATACTGGATATAGACTCCTCATGGCTCTGTGTACATTCAGGTGAGAAACTTTTCTTGCTTAAAACGGTTTAAAAACTATCTACGATCTACTTTAAGTCAAGAAAAGCTTATAGGCCAGTAGAATTAAACACAAAAATGAATTAAATCGGAAATAATTCCTACTAGAGATTTTAGTGCTTTAATGGCTTCATTAGTTGCCCATAAAGACTCCTAGGTTTTCGACTTCGACGGAGTTGTGCTTAAGTGGTGGGGGCCCCCGAAAGGAGCGCTTTTTCGGTTTTCCGGTTATACCGCGTAAAGGACTTACCCTATCGAAAAGTGGTCTTCCTGACGGTTGAAGGGCATTTAATCCTGCATTAAATAAGATTCAAATTCATATGTTTTGAACAAACCGTTCTCGTGTAAATGTTCGGCAAAGTAGAAAATATGTGTATAATTAATGACCCTCTCCACGTCCAATGGCTCGTTACCCGCAGGCTTCCAAGTCTTGAAAAGGAGCGCCTCAACCAGTGTAACCCTATCAAGGCTTACGAGCTGGTTTGTTTTTAGGTCAACATTAAACTCTTCATTACATAGCGGATTGCAATAATAATCTAGTAACTGACAGAAATATCATTAAGTTCACAATCATACTAATAACGGGATTAAACTAACGTATTGAATTTCAAAAGTCAGTAGGTAGGGGCGGCAAAAATTGAATGGCCTACTAGCGGCAAATTTGTAAATCCGCCACTGGCTGTAGGTATCTAGATAAAGGGGGAATAGATAGATATCTATAGCTTTTGTTTTATGTTGGCAATAAACATTTTATTTATTTATGTTTTAAAGTTATTAACTCTCTAAATAACGCATGGCTACTTTTCGAATCCATTACATTAGCTGGTGCTAATGTATCAAGGAATGTAACTAGATATTTCTCTACATCTCTTATGAGGGTATCTTATTGCAAAAAGAACACAAATAGGTAAATATAAAAAGACAAAGAGTTATCGATGTACCTAGGTTGAAATCATGAAACTTAGGTAGGTTTTGGGTAGGTTTCTTCTATAGATTAGGTAAAAAAAAACATTTTGTTGAATTACATCGACAATAAGAGGTAAATAAAGATCAGATCTGATCAGTCGACATAAGATAAGTTTTCAAGAAACAAATAAAGCTGTAACATGATCAATTTTCAACGTAACTTACAAACGTAAAAGCTTCACGTTCACATATTAAAAAAGTATCAATCATGAAATGAATCCATACATCCTCAAATCCATTCACCCAAGCCAGCCTTTGTTCCATTTGCACACAGATATAGCTAGTTCTGAAACCGCTTGAAAATTCAGACCCGGGGCGGGCGGCGCGGGGCGGGCGGGTCGTTAGTGACATTTCGTATTCATGACGTCAGCCCCGGGCCGATTGTTTTGCAATATTACTCTAATTGGGACTGTAATTACGTGCACATATCCCAGATAGTGCGTGTTAGAGTTGATTTTGATGTAGAATATCGCGCGATATGTTCTGGTTTACAATATTGGTTGATTGGGCGCTGTGGGCAGAATCTATTCTCGGCATAGACAAAAGAAAAAATTTTTGGGATTGTTAATTTGTCTGTCGTGTAAAGCGAATCAATCATCGTTACGGCGGCAAACAAAATGTAGTACAGTGGGCCACAGAACTTAGTTTGTTAGTAACAATTGCACTATTGCTATGTATGCCGTGGTTGACTGGCAGAGAATGCCATCCGGCATTAAGTCCGCCACAGTGCATTTGTTACTTTGTGTGCTGAAGTATAAATAAATAAATAAATGTATATATCTTTTATTACTTTTGTTTATTACGCCCTGACAAGTTTTTGCGAATGTTCTTTGACTGCTTACCTAAATAATCTAAACTAAGTTAAAAAGGTTTATTAAATACTAGCTTTCCGCCTGCGGCTTCGCCCGCGTGTAATTTTGTCTGTCACAGAAAAACTTTATCGCGCGCATCCCTGTTTCAAAAACCGAAATAAAAACTATCATAAGTCCTTTCCCGGGGATCTCTATGCGAAACTTCATCAAAATCAGTTCAGTGGTTTAGGCGTGAAAGCAAGACAGACAGACAGACAGACAGAGTTACTTTCGCATTTATAATATTAGTATAGAAGTATAGATAGTATAGATTGAATTGGACTTTGAAAGCTAATTGTATTGACAGTCTGTGTACATAATACCTAAATTCTTTAGAAATTTCCTCAAATGTAAACAAACACTTGTGCACACAATAACACCATAATCACTTACATGTTCATAATATCATACACATTATTTCACAAGCCCATGAAACCAACTTTATTCTCACGATTATAC